CAATTCGATCCTGTTTTGTACACGTGTTTAAAGAAACATTTGGCTTTATCCCTTTTAATTAGCCTAGGGTCGGCTAGAAACTGTAATGTAAATGTAATAATCTATTTTTTATTTATACTCATTTATTTTAAGGAATACGATATTTGATAGAGTTATATTATTATTCCATATATTTAATAAAATTACTCTAAAATTACATTTTTAAATATTACTATAAAATAAAATAAAATAATATTTAAAAATATAAAAGTAGGTGCCAGCCGGGCAGCGGGAGCAAGGTCCAAGCTACCGGCAGTTAGGGCTCCAAAGACAGGAACCTCCTCACAATACGTGCCGTTTCAAGGAGGACTGCCTTCTGTATGAGGCCCTTGATCCATCCGCCTAACGTCAGCCTCTTAAGGTGGTTGTCGAGGCTTTTGGGGACTAACCCATTTGCCGACACAACTATCGGCACAACGATAGCCGAGTCCACACACCACATGTCAACAACCTCGTGAGCTAAGTCAAGATATTTTAATTGTTTATCTTTCTCAGCTTTCACGAGGTTCTCGTCATGAGGAATGGCAACATCGATTATCGTCGTGCGACGCGCTAGTCGGTCTACCAACACTATGTCAGGCTTATTGGCTACAATAGTCCTGTCTGTGATGATAGACCGATCCCAGTACAATGTGATATGGTCTTTTTCGAGAACTGGGTCGGGCACATACTTGTAGTACGGGACCTCAGACTCAACAAGCCGGTATTTCAAAGCAAGTTGCTGATGGATAATCTTGGCCACCTGATTATGTCTGTGCAAGTATTCGCCATTAGCCAAACGACCACAGCCGGAAATAATATGTCTGATGGATTCACCGGGGCTATGACATGCCCGACATATGTCAACCGTCCCATCCTTCATAATATATTTCCGGTAGTTATTCGTGAGGATAACTTCGTCCATAATTGCACATACAAATCCTTCAGTTTCTCCGAAGAGGTTACTGAATCGTAGCCAAGCTACGGACGCTAGGAAATCTACATCGGGTCCGTGGAGAGCCCGGAAAAAGCGTCCGTGAAGCTCCTTGCTACTCCATACCGTCTTGCGGTCATTGACGCTCAGTACTACGGGTTTGCACCAGTTCTCTTTAGCCAAGGATAGTGGTGTGAATCCCTTGTCCACTGTGACTACTTCTCGATGCATATCCTCGTCCACTTTCAGGAAATGTTCTCTGAGATTGCACACCTCACGGTTGTGAAGGGTCTTAGCGTTTAGAAAGCCTCGACCCCCACGCTTCCGCGGGATGTACAAAGAGTTATATTATTATTAAGTATGTTATCAATGAAAAAAAATATTGTTAGCGTCTATCACAAAATCTCATAATGTTTGATAGAGTTATATTATTATTAAGTATGTTATCAATGAAAAAAAATATTGTTAGCGTCTATCACAAAATCTCATAATGTTTCAAATCGGTTTTCGAAACATAAATAATGCATCTAAAGCAGAGAATGTAAATTTCTTAATCTCAAATTTTCTTTAGTAGGTAAAACATACGGTAAACGCAAACACGACTGACGTGGCTTTGGACATAGAAATTCCACAGTAAAGCCTACTTTTAAAAGCATTGCACGAAGATTCTTTGAAACAATGGCTACTTAGCTGAAATGTCCACATAAAAATTCCGCAATTGGAAATGGCGGGCTTTTGCTGTCTACATTACTCAGACTGACCGACTGCCATCTTTAATTTTGCTCCACAGATAATGAAAAAATTAAGATTGTTTTTCTAATGACTGGATATTGTTGCAAGTCTATTTTTTATGTGAGGTTAGAGTAGATTTTGTAAATAGTATTCTTTTAGTTTTTGATTTTTCAAAAATGCATAAAGCGTAGCACTACCCACGTTCGAAATGTTTCTAAACCCTACGAGCAATTAGTTCAGCTAAATCAACAAAATTCACAACACCACCTATATAGGTAACACATTAAAATTTTACGTCTTCGAGGTATAAATGTCACATTTTACGGCTCCCGGGAAATGTGGTACAGCTGTGGTCGGAACGACTTAATAACCATTTTCCAGCTATATGTCGCTGTGTTTGATTTGTAGCATTTTCCGGCACGTTCTGAGGCAAAGTCACTAGTTTGTATGATTAAACGCCACTCAAATGTGGCAAGAACTAGGTTATTTAAAAATGTCTCCGTTTAAAAATCAAATTGGAACTGTCAAGCGGCCATATTGAAATTCTTAACTAATCTTTACGATTTGAATTTCTCCACCTACTTTTATTTTGATCTTTTTTTTAAACTGTAGTATAATTTTATGAGCCTTAATCAAATGATTAGGTATGCGTTTTTTGGAAATATATTGGTTGCATTTGCCTGTATTTTTTGAGTTTTTGCCACTCAAGGAAAGTCGTAATGGGAGTAGGTTGGAGTCTAGGGTAGAGTATCTAATTCTTCTGCCTGCTGCCTCGTCATATTGTTTTTAAATGTAGCGTATCACCTTATGCTAAGACTCGAAACAATAGAGTTACACAGGTATTGCTGGCCTTCGAGGATCAGAAAGTCAGGGATCTATGTACCTATACTTACTATAAAGATTATGAATGGAATATGGGAGGACAGTATTTAACCTCAGGTAATATCACTCGCGCGAGGAAATAGGACGCAAGCTTGTTTCACGCTGGCTTCCTGTTAGTCCGGGGTATCACTCCTGTTAAGACGGTCAAAACCAATGCATATTTCTGCTAGAAATAAATTCAGTATGAAGCAAATCAATAAATCAATGCGTGTGTGACACGTGTCAGAGTGATTTTGAAGTTCAAAGCATCATAGGTATATAGATGATTTTGGCAGAATGGCCTACACATGAAAGGTTTTTAATTTTCTTCGTTGTTTCTTTTGTTTGTTACGATTTAGCGACATTTCCTAGACTATTCGAATAGCAAATTGTTTGGCTTTTTCCCAAGCCATACTCGTAGGTACCTACTTATGCATTTATATAGATACCTATATATGTGAAGGTATGCATTGCAAAAATGTGACGAGACTACTCTACAAAGAATTTGTTAACATTCCGAAAAGCCATGCCAATTTGGCACGTGTAAAATCTTGTGCTTTTTATAGAATTACAATTAGGTACCTAAACGTATCTGTATAAAAAATCTGCACTCTACTATGTACCTATTTCAAATTAAGAAAATCATTACATTCTAATAGTTACTCATTAAAAAAGCCTTTACATTAGTCTTCAGATCTTGCGAACAAATAAATCATCAAATCTGACAATCACTATGAGTTGTGACCATAGAGTCCAATTGTAGGTATTTTTAGTTACTATTTAAACTGTCTAAACAGCTATATCCTTTCCGATAAGAATTTAAAAAGGTAAAAGTCTATCAGAGAGCCTCGTAGGTAGTACTGTATGATCCAGAGATAAGTGATAGGTAAGGTAGGTAATGAAAAGAATTATTTTTGCCGTAGATCGGCTCTTACAATATCTGTGGAAACGGAGTTACCTCATAGAAAACTGGCGAAATACAACACTACTGTTGTGTTAATAATGCTCAAACCTTCACTGTGAGAAGAGGCTTTTGCTCAGCAGTGGGCACTTACAGACTGATTATAATGATGATCCCCAATTCAAATAATTCTTTAAATCAGCACACTTGCCACCTTTGGTGTTGCAGGCTCTTACGGCCCCGATTGCTTACCATGAGGGCGCCCCAAGTCTGCTATTCTAATAGCATCAAAGTGGTCCTTCATTGGTTTCATAATTTTTGGTTTTGACTTGTTTTGGTAATCTACTATTAAGATGGCGTCATTATGGCTGACTGAATCTGCTAATTAGCCAATCTCCGCCATAAAAAAAAATTTAATCCATTCTTATACAAACTTTTCTGTATGCACATTATGTGTTTGTCCCAGAAAAATACTGTTGTGACAAAAAATATCGACTATTGGCGGTTCCAACCAGGCGAATTATTGCTCACTCCAAGTCGCTTATTCCTTGGACATAAGCAGCTATTAACGCTCTTCTGAACTCTCTGAACACTGATCTCGATATATTTGTGGATGAATGGAAGACGATAATGTCAGAATGATTGAAGTTTTGTGAGAAGAATGCATTCCTGACAGTGTATGTTTAATTTTACTGTATTGTTTGTTATATTTTTCTCTTATTTGTTCTTAAAGTAGTTTATAAATGTTAAAATAGTGTAATTGGCTTCTGCCTATCTATTTAAATAAATAACACTTATAAGAAAGAACAGTATTCGTTCAAAATTACCTAAGTATTAAAACATGTCAGGTCACATCGATCGTGTGTAAAAGTAGAAACGGCTTGAGGTAATTGTCTATGGGAGCCATCACGTTTACTGCAACATTATATTGATCCAAGAAAGCATTCGACAAGGTCACTTTCAAGATAGGTAACCTACATACATAGATTTTATCAGAATGTTATTTGTCTAATCTAACTAAATAAATAAGCATAATCTACATTTTTTTTATTGTGCAATAAACTTCACCTCGATGTTTTTCTTACTTAATTCTTAAAAGGTTTTTTTTAAATACCCGTAGGACTTTTGTGAAATAAACTGATCGATGTTTGTTTTTTTTTATTTTTTGAGAAAAAATATTAAGAATAGTGTTAGACTCTTATTGACTAAAAACCTCACCGTTATTCTCGTGCGCAATGCCGTGATACATAATAGTTCTACAAAATATTTTTAAAGTTTCCTAAGTAAAAATGGGCCTATTATAACCACTAAACTTCTGTAAATAAAACTTTGGCATACCGAACCTTTAAGTTTAACCTTTAACTTTTTGATTGTTTATATACCTACACGCTATAATTTGTCCTAATTCATTATTTTGAATACCTAAGGTATATAAAATATGGCAGATTGTGCTAGAAGGGCCTTTCCTTTAAAAAAAGCACTTTATGTATCCCCTTCCATCTTTAGATCAAGCATTAGAACCAAAAAATAATCAATATTATGTCTACATTCCAGATTTTTCACCGCGTTCCCGGAGTCGAAGAATTTCTTCAGAATGATTAAGAACATACCTGATGACGAGTACCTAACAAACCCTCAATTCAAGGCACACGTCATCAATTTGATGACGTCACTCAACCTGGCCGTGGAGAACATGAACCAGCCAGAAGTAGTTGCTGCCATGATGAATAAGCTAGGAGAATCTCACGGCAGAAGAAAGATCCGGGAACAAAATTTCCAAGTAAGTTTACGATTTTATAATGATCTTATTACTACAATAGTATTTATTTTGTGTCTTAGTGTCTGACCTATTTCTAATGAGGCAGTATAATAAAGGATAAAAATCCTATGTGTCAATGAAAAACATTAATTGAAAAAACTAAATCTAAGTACCAACTAAGTACTAAGTACTAACTAAATAAGTATAATTAGTGTCAACAATTTGCTGTTTTGTCATAGTTTAAATAAGTAGTTACAATATTTACAATAAAATTGCCTTTTTTTAGATTATAAGCTCAAATTTCTACAAGAAATACCGTACAGTATTGTCCTACAGTTCAACAAAACGGTGCCCCACTCTACCTACCAGACACGCGTAAACATTGATTTATACGAAATTCGAATTCACATTGAATCAAATCAAATGACATTCGAATCTACATTCTTTTTATAAAATTATTGCTTCCGTAAGCCCCTTACACGGCAGACGTGTTCGTAATTCAAAATGACGCGGGAAAACGTTCGATGCTTGAATAAAATTCAATTTGTGAACCGCAAATATGGGCGATACGCTCATTTGCATGTTAAATGTATTAGATTGGAGTATTGGACTAACGTACGACCACGGAGGGTGTGGCTTTGTCTATTATTGTATTGCATACGTAAATACTTCATGTTTTTATACACGTGGTCACAAAAACTTAAACTTTAATAGTAATCTTCTAACACGTATTTAAATAAAAAAAAAGGAATGGTCATCATTATTACCAGATTGTTTTTGCCCTATTCACAATCCGAACTTCAAAGCTTTTTTCTCTTTTTTATTTTATTATGTTAATTCTATTATCGTATTACTTGTGCAGGAAATAGGTAGTTTCCTCAGTTGAAAAGAAATTGGGTATTTCAACTTATAACAACAAATAAAAAAGTCACACCCTAATATTCATGTTTTCTTGGTAATGACAATGAATTTGGCGTAAATAAAAATATGACAGCATATCTTTCATATTATTTCATTGAAAATTTACGTAGTCGATATTACGGAAAAAAAAATATATAGAAGTTGTAAATTACCCTGTAGAACACGTGTCACATAACACGTTGGGCAGTTACAAGTTGCCAAGCCATAGTACCAGCCACGCAGTATGGAGCCTTCTTGTCCCTCATAATCCAACCTTCCTACATACGTGGTGATTTTAGATATTTTCAAATTTAAATTCCGAAATATTGCTAGAAAATGTTTTTCTAATCATACAATTTCTTTTCTTTTCTAGGAACTGAAAGAAGTCATAGTGAAAATGTTCATAGAGGTGCTGAAATTGGACGAAACGACACTAGGCGCCTGGGGCAAGACCGTCGATTTCTGGTACAAGCACATATTCGAGACCCTCAATAAAGCGGAACAGACCAGATAACATACGCATTGTTAACCAATTACAGTTTAAACGAGTAGTTTAGTATCTACAATGGCTACTGTGAAAGGCAAACTCGGTTTGATCTGTTGTACGATGATAGCAAAATGACCGAACGTCAAATTCAAATATAGAATGAGAACGCGCTTAGAAAATTTAATGACAAATTTCGGCCAGTTTTAACAACTTTTGAATTTATAGATTTACTTACTACTTTTCATTAATTTTGTATGAGACTTTAGGTAAACTATCGATCTCTAGGACCCCTTTGATAATAAGCAATAATGTAAAATACCTACAATTACCTAGTAAGTAGTAAGCAAATCTATAGAACATAAGTCTTTTTATCGACTTACCAATATTTTTTTTGTTTTGGTAATCTGTGACATTCCAGTAGTTCTCAAACCAACAATTATTTCAATTACTTATGTTCCTTTCATGTTTTATTAGAATCTGGTCCGTCAAAATCTCATTAAAGGATAATTTTACCAAATAATCACCGTCATAGAGTTTGCTTTTCACCGTTGAAAATCAGGCTGAATAATCCATACTGTATTTGCATTGTTTGAAACTAGATGGCTGGCTAAAATTGGAGAAATCAGAAATCGATTAATTTCCTATTTGTACAATTTGTATTTTTTTGGAGTTCTTTTTGTTTATTAGTAGCTACTTAGTTGTTGATTTTTAGTTTTTTTTTTATGTAGGTATTTGGATTTTTGTCGGCTGCCTTAGGCTGTACCTACCTATAAATGTTGTAAACACAAAAATCTTTATGTATCTATCACAATTTTTCTCTTTTATTAAAAGTACAATGTAAGAATTTCTATACATAATTAACTGTAACATTTTATACATTGACTTTTAAGTGTAGATATTTAATCAACACTTGAATAATTGTTTTGTCATAGATGTATGTAAAATGTCATTATATCGTAGTTTTAAGACGCATTTAATAATATTGTAGGTTAGATATAAAGCTTCGAACATCTTCCATTATATTGCGTATTGTAAATAGCTATATTTGTAAATAAAGCAGTCGATTTTTGTACATTGTACACTTGTTAAACCAAAAAAAAGAACATTATGTAAATACGTGATTATTCAGTATTTATCAACGATTTATCAATAATTATTGGTTCATTAAATTTTATATGAATTAAATGTGTTATTTGTTTTTAACTTTCTTGTATTATTAGGCCTGGACTAATGCTCCTGGACATGACTGGACAAGATTTGCTGTAGATCTTCCCATTTCGAGGCTTATAAACTTTAGATTCGGTTGGCGTAGAGACTTGGCAACCAACTGCTGCGCAAAGTAGCACGAATTTGGATCAACTCTTTCTGTGATTGACAAATTACAGTCCCGGTCTTGGTGTAATATCTAAGCACTTTAGGCATTTTTTTTTTCTTTTTTTATGTATGGTATGTTCATAAATGCACTCGCGACGTTCAAAAAAATAATAATGTGATTATTGGTAAACGCAGTTTAAAAGCTTCACGCTTATCAGAGAACTGTCATCCGACAGAGGGGCTGGTGACAGACCAACCAACCAAATTGTATTCTGCTTTCCCAGTACCTCACGACTGACTTACCCCTATCGGACGAGCAATCTAAAAATCAATATATCGGGAATGAGTAACAGCAATATACCTAGTGGCTTAATGGCGCAATTATGTGTATCGATTGGGTTAACAATACGACTTCGCTATTAAGGTTTACGTGCGTTTGAAGGCAGCCCTTAAAAATACAATAATAATTACACTGTAAGTATGAATGAGTCTGGTAGTTTTGATGGACAGTAAAAAGTGGACAGCAATGACATACCTACCGCTGCCTCAGTTCGGGCAAGGAGAAGTAACGGAGCAGTTTTTAGTCAATAAGAGTCTGACACTCTCCTTACAGGGTGTATGATATTCGTCCCTCAAAAAAAAAACACATGGTTGTCTATTTATATATATTGTACATTACTGATGGAATCACTCCATTCAATCATTGTGATTAGAACCGGGATACTTTCTCCAGTGAATAAAAAATTTGGGTAGGTTGGGCAGTTAAGTAGGTATTTACGCTTAAGTTTCTTACAACAACAGGCTAGCGTTTCAGGTAAAAGGTGTAAAGGGTCCGAGTTGTTAAGTATCAACTGGTAACGCGATTATTATGTGTGTAGTCAAATAAAATTTATTTCTAGAGCGCAGATAAGTAAGTGTCCCATTTTCTTTAAATTACGTCAAACGAAAACCAACCTAACATTACCTACATCCTATATTATATTTCCTGCATAACAACTAAGTACCTACATCGCTCACTCAAATCAAAGAATCAAGAAAAACAGTATAGCAGCTAGCAGCCATTGTAAAGACCATGCTCCTAAGTAAATACTTGGCTGTATAATAAAATTCCCGAGTCTCGCAAAGCGACCATAGAGTCAGAGTATAGAGTACGTACCTACGGCACGGACTCAAGTGCTTGCATTATTCAGCCTGCTGCATATTTAACGCGCGCCGTCGCCGCTCTCCTGTCTCTCCTTACGTTCTTTCTTACACGATTTACGCAAAATAAATAAATTGATTTCACGATTATGTTACCAATCTTTTTTTTAGTTAATCCTTTTTAATGGGTCGGCTCGACCGGAGTTATACCACGGCCTCACAGAAAACCGGCGTGAAACAACCACAGCGTCGTATTTCGCCGTGTGTGTGTTACCGGAGGCCCAATCTTTCCCCTCCCCCGATCCCTCCACAATCCCTACCTAAATCTTCAAAACCCTATCTGTAAAAGGTCGGCAACACACTCGTAACTCCTCCATTGCGGGTGTCTATGGGCGGCGCTGTTTGCTTACCATCAGGTTATCCGTCGGCTCGTTTGCTAACTTATTACCTACATAAAAAAACTCCTCTTTTATATACCTATAAATATGAATTGCTGTTCGTAAGTCTCGCTAAAACTCGAGAAAGGCTGGACTGATTTAGCTTACCTATAGCTTATTGTAGTTGTGGAGCCGGAGCTTTTGACGGTGCCGGTGCCTTCTAAAATTCGTATATCCACTCCATTAGATCAATTATTGTAGGTTCTTATAGGAATCCTATTTAAACTGTGTATTCCTAATAGGAGAGCTATTTTTTTCTGTTTTATTATGCTCTCGACATTTTACGACTACCTACAAATAAATAGCAACATTTTTTTATCCGAGTTCCTGATGTTTCATTTTGTTGGTGCGAGTGACACTACCTATATATATCTACATGTTAAAAACTTCGGCAATAACTTGAAATGAATCTACATAGGTACAGTGCGGCCGACGTATCTTGCCGAGTCTGAAGTTAGCCGTTTGTCTGCGCAATGGATCTTTTAGGAACAAAATTGTGTACTGCGCAGCTAATGGGCTAACTTCAGACTCGCCATCATACGTCGGCCGCGTACGTGTAGGTACTTATTAAATAATTCAGACAATTAAGTAGATACATGTTTTATGTAAGTCGGTACCTAACTAAGGAACCTGCACCGAAATAAACAATATTTTTATTACTTACTAAAAGGTATGTTGGAAAAAAGAAAAAGCCAAAGAAACCTAAGAGAATAACAATATAGCCAAAAATAGTAGGTACCTGCATCAGTGAGTCCCAACATAACATCATCATTAAGCGAATGTAATGCCGAATGCCCATGTTACTTAAAAATTATTGCTGAGAATACGATTACATAGGTACTAGGGTCAGGTCTTCAAGTTAGCTAAGTAAAATTTCAAAGGAAGGTCTTCAGCAGTCTTCCTACTCCATAATAAGATTTACTTCATAACTTCATTGTAACCCATATAGGTGCGAAGTTTTCATTGATATAAATGAATTAAGTCCAAACACAAGGTAGTTACTGTGAACCGTTCAGGAGTTCCCTGAGCTGTCCTTCGTTCTCAGCATCAGACCCCTAATGACAGTCACGATCAATCTTGGTGCAAAGTGCTCACCAATACGAATCATTTAAGCCCAAACCAAGGAGATCCTTCGACTGTCTTCCGGATCCATCATCAGGTCAAGTTATCGGTAAATGGTAGCGTTGTAAAAAGCCTACTAAAATAACATGCAAAAACACTACTCGCTCCTACAATTTTCGAAAGTTCTCCTCGGTTTCCCAAGGATTCCATCATCAGATCCTGACCTCATAAAAATAGGACCCTCTTGGGAGTACTTTCAAATAAAATAAGAATTTTGGAAATCGGTTCACAAATGGCGAGTAAATACAAAACAAAAAAAAACAATCAGCCGAACATAGTACCTCCTCCTTTTTTTGAAGTCGGTAAAAACTAGATAATGGCCAAACGTTCGCGTAGCGGAAACTTGAATTTCTCCGAAATTTAGGCATGCACTGATTTCTTTCATACATAAACAATTACACACAAATAGATACACACTAATTTTTGGACACGTCTCTTTTCTTCTAAAGTCTATGGATTAAAAAAAGTTCCGCCAGGACAACGTTCGCCCATCGGAATCAGTTTTTGGTGAATTTCTCCATAATGGCTGCATACACAAATTTTTTGTTACAATACACAATTATAGGACATCATACACTAATTATCTGCATAATTAAAATCTTTAAATTCAACAACATTCCGCTGCGCGAACGCACACCGTAAAATGATATGCTTGTGCAAGTGGACAGATGGGAGAACCGACGGCCGCTGGGGCGGGAAAATTCTCAAAGGAAGGCCGCCTACCGGCAAGGGTTCACAAGATGGATTGACAACTTAATTAAAGTTGTAGGTAGTCGCTGGATGCAAGTAGCTTCCAACTATCAATTAGTTTTTTAGCTTTTATTATGTTGGACTGACTACTAATTTAGGTTTAACATAAGAACAGATAATATTTTATTAAGTAACCAGTACCGAAATAAGAATGTATTCGCTAAGTGCGAAGTGGGTGGTGGGGAACGGCAAATCGATCGTTGCGCACGATGTGGCAGAAATGTGAATTAATTCTGGGCTGTCATGTCATGTGTCAAATTGCTTTATTTTCATAACTTCCTTTATAATTTTACTTGTTAAAAACGTAAATATTTGCGATATGGGTCATAGTACATGCTGTGTCGTAAATTGTAAAAACAATGGGAAAAACAGTTCGAGCAAGTTTTATTCGTTTCCAACATCAAAGTGGACATTACAGCAAAGACAAAAATGGATAGCTGCTGTGAATAGAAAAAAGTAAGAAATTTAACCTAGTACACTATAATAATAATAATAAGCGTTCCAAAATTACAGTCCTTTTTTATTTGTTTTAGTGCTGATGGGTCCCCATGGCAACCAAAGCGACATGATACAATATGCAGTGAACATTTTATTGGAGGCAAAAAGTCAGACGCAGAGGCGAGCCCTAGCTATGTTCCAACAATATTCCCGTCAATATATCGGTGTAAGAAAATCAACCATTCTCAGGTCACTGCTAGATATAATCGTTTTATGACACGAAGATATCCAGATCAACAATTTATTGGAAAATACGAACAGAATCAGTTACCAATAGAAACAGTTACTAAAGTAATTAAAAGGGAATTTACTATGATGGCCGATAAAGGATGCCAAGCAGATATTTATAATCAGTTCCAGTTGAAAGAAACAACATTTATATGTAATAGGTATGTTCAAAATAATAACTGTGATGCTGAGATCCAAGTAGAAATACCAACTATTTCCAAAATTGTCACCACAAATACTCCAAAAACTAAAGATATAGGTTGTTGCACTACTAAAGTTACATATAGCACCCAATCAACATCTATAAGTAGTCAAGATTTTGTTGGTATTTCATCAATTAAGAATGACCAACAACTACTAGATCTCGCTGGTGTGTCATTAAAAAGTTTTGATATTTTGTTAAGAAGAATGTCAACTGGGAAATATACAGTTTCCAAAAAGGACCGGCTTTTAATTTTTTTGATGAAATTCAAAACTGGACTGTCATTTTCAGCATTAAGTGTATTGTTTGGCATACATAGAACCACAATCTCAAGAATATTTAATCATATTCTACAAGATCTAACGTTAGATAGATAGATAGCAATGGCTGATTTAGTCTTTTGGCCGAATAAAGTTATTGTTCAAGCTACAATGCCTGACTGTTTTCATCCAGCATACAGTGACACACAAGCAATCATTGATTGCACTGAATTGAGAATTGAAGTACCATCAGCAGTGGATCATTGTGTCGCTTGTTACTCATATTATAAAAAAGGATTTACTGCAAAAGTCGTCATAGGAATTACACCAGGAGGATTAATGTTTTAAATCTAAAGAAGCTGGTGGAAGGAAAACTGATTCTCAAATGACTGTTGAATCTGGATTAATTGTCAAGTTAGAAATAGGAGATTTTGTTCTAGCTGATAAAGGTTTTCCTGAAATAAAAAAAAATCATAGATACCAGTGGAAAAGAAATTAAAATAGTTATGCCACCATTTCTACAACATAAAAATTAATTTACCAAAGAAGAAACCCAACAATCATATGATATTGCTTGATTTAGAATCCATGTGGAAAGAATTATGCAAAGACAAAATTCCTCACAATTTATTTAATTGTATCGATAATATGATGTACATGTATGTTGTGTATTAGTCAATTTACAGCCCTCAATTTTTGATAATAAATAATAGTAATCGTAAATAAAACACATTTTCTGTAATTCAAAACAAAGTTTCTTATTATGAAATCAATATCGTTTCATTAATTATCGTTTAATAACTTCGTATTCTTTAAAAATCAAATAACATTAAGTAGAAATAATTTGGAATGAAATCAAAAACACAACATCTACTGAAATTACTTAACATTAGAGCAATTGAAAATATTTTTTCCTGTGAAATCACGCTTACGTGTAGCTTTTTGGTTCATATTAATAAAGTTTTCGTTATGATTGTCCATTGCAGTTGTCTAAAGTGCAGGTAAATAATGTAGAAAATAAAAATATTCGCTTTTCAAAATAATTTCCTCAAATTTTTCATCCCGGTTCACTTCGATAGTCACGCTGCCATTTTTAATTGGTGAATATCGTGGTGAATATACAGGGTGTAAAAAGACACTTAACGAAGCCGTTAACTACGCATACTGCAGTTCTAACTAAGTAGCTTTACGCTAAAATTATCACTGGGAAACGACTTTTATTTTTTGGTATCAAAAAATAATTTTATTGCGCGCAATGTAAAGCAAACGGACTTCGTGTCATTGTGTGCGTAGGTTCACAGCTTAGCATTAAAACGCTGTGATAAGTACGTAGGTCGACGTTTTACTTCGCAACAACAAAACAATTCTGTAAAATAAAAATCCTACTGAGATGCACGATGTTTTTTGTGCGGGTCTCCATTTATTTATTACGTACATTACTGTTCGTAACTTCAAATGCGTAATTTATTTAGAAAAATCGAAAATTCAGGTAATGTTTGTTTGGAAAAAAGTTTTGTAATAACACTTAGAATTCGATTGCGCAAAAAAATAAAAAATGCATCTTTGACCTTCAATATATATAGCATATCCCAGCTATGGTCTTAAAGAAAAAAATGATCCAAATAATGGGTAGAATACGTGGCTTTCGGCTTCGTTAAGTGTCTTTTTACACCCTGTATAAAATATCACACACACATTTCAGTGACATACCTACATTTGTGTTTGTGTTTGCGTGTAGTATGGTTTACACTATAGGAAGCACTATATTTGTATGGTAAAATTGTTTTAGTTGATCATCTAATATATAATTTTTTTCCAATATTTCACATTCTTCTCCGTACATAAAAAAAAAGTTTAAACATGCAATGCAATGCAGTCTTCTCGTTCCAAATTTGACTCAATTTTGTTCAAAATTTCTAATAACTAATATTTCCTTTACTCGACTTGCATCTTTTGATTATTCTGCTGCTGCTTCAAGAGCTAATGTTAGAGTTGGTTTTGGATCTGATTCAGCCAGCAATACTGGTTGTATTTCGTTGAAGGCGAAATTTCGGGTATGATTTGCAACTGGCTGCAAATATCTACATTTATTTTTGACAAATTGTCAAGTGCTGGATTTTCCCCACTGCTGTTCGCTGCTTGTTTTCGATAAGCTCTCTTCTGTGTTGATGTAATGTATCAAAGCAGCAACATGATTACACTTGCCACTTTGGTTGTAAACACAGTCGCACTTAACATTTGTAACAACACGTTCATTATGTATCTGGAATTAAAATAAACAATAAAATAATTAATATAAGTAAGCTGACATGAAACTGACTCAAATATACTATTTCTATTTTTTTATATAAAAAAGCGGGGTAAGCGCAATGAGGCACCGCGACCTCGGCCCAGAGCAGGAGAAGGAACAGAGGGTTTTTAGTCAGTAAGAGTCCGACACTCCCTCCCGCCCGGCCCTGGGCGGGAGAAGTCATTTGATGATTATCCCTTCACAAAAAAAAACGTTAGGATTTTCTCCTGTGTCGTGGATGCGTTTAGAAACACAATTTCACATGCACATTACACCCAGACCCGGAACAACAATTTGTGGATCACACAAAGAATTGTTCCGTGCGGGAATCGAACCCGCGACACGTTGCGCGGCAGCCAGTTGCCCAGCCACCGCGCCAACCGTGCAGTCAAAACTACCAACTTGATATGTTTATGTATATATTTTATGATGATGTTTTGTAGGGAGTTTGTGTCACAGACGTTTGTCTTATGATCCTGAGCTCTTATTAAGAAGCTTTTCCCGTTCTTTCTAAGCTCTTCCACTTCTCCATGCTGTGCTAATACTAAATTTTCCCTTTTTGCTCCGTTTGAGGTTGGAAATGTATTTTATGCTTATTCGATTCAAATCCCGTACCTACGTATTATAATATCCATATTTTTCACGAGGAAGAAAATCGCTAGGTATAATATACACTCCCTTTTTAAACTATTTTTTCAATTCCAAATCAATATCACAAAAATATCTTATCATCTAGTACACATGATTTGACAGATGACAAGTCCTGAATAGTTGCGGCCACTAGGGGCGCTGTCATCGCGCACACAACGAATAACATAACTGGCAAATGTTCAAACTTCAAGGTCTATTAGTTGGAGATAAATAAAACACAAAGTTTTAATGATTTTTTTATTTTTTTTTTACAATTAATCAGATAACATACATATCAAACCAGCCGAAGTATGGCTAAACCCATTTATTATCTAAACTTACGAACAATACAAGAAATTGATACCTCTCAAATTCACCTTACTTTAATATATATAGATATATTATAATAATATAATATGCGTTCACTCTACATATAATCTACAACCTACTTACTCATAATCTAAATTTGCATAAATTCAAAGTAAATATGCCCAAAAGAAATATTGTTGAACTATGAATATATATTACTTTTTGGCAATTAATTGAGTATCATTTATGTGCATAGCAAAATTAATTTTCTTTTAAAATGTAACTTAGATCTTACTTCATAAAGAGGCCACAAATATAACATGCGTTTCTGTCGTCAGTTCGATTAAATAGGGACTTTTTGTTAAACATTATTTATTGCCTATTCTATAAACATTACACTTATCGAAATGTAAGAAAAATATCCTTACGCAATAACTGAATTAGTCTAGCAGTGCTGTGCAGTGAGTGTAGAGGGTCCTCCGGTGGCTGGGCGGCGCGCTGGCGCCCCCGTGAGCGGCGCGGAGTGCGAGGCTGGGAGCGCGAGCGCGCCGCCCGACCCGCCTCACCGTTGTGCGTACACATTGCGCTAACAATACGAGACAACATTTCACATAATGATCAAAACAACTATTTGTCATCTACATAAAATTTGCTCCAAATGTTTATATTAAAATATTTCTACTTATTGTAACTTCTAATTAGTTACAGCCAACTTTACAAATAATTGATACATTAGACTCTCAAATAGATCTCTACTAACTATTATTAATTAATGGTAAAAAATAAAGAATAAAAATACTTCTAAACATTGCATTTCAATCACATAAGGTTTAGTTAAATACAATAATAACATTTTTTAAAACCCGAACATAAGTATTACAAGAACAATGATATCGTTGAGTTCTGGAATGGAAAATAGCACACTTAAATTCACTAACTGTTACACTTACATAATAATTATTGTTCTCCTGCTTTGTTTGTTAATATACATTGCTTTTAAGGTAGTATCAGAAAAATAACAGTAAAATATATCGACTATTTGATACACTGATAAAATTCATGATAAACCCTTAATTAACTTAAAGAAATTGTTAAAACTGTGTACCAAATAACAGTGCAGTGCGTTTGATAAGTACAGAGAATCGATAAATACATTGATATAGATAGGACATACTATGTGAGGTTATTGAATGAGGTAATACAGATATAAGAACATAGAACCGCTGCCGATGCCTCGGACGCAGCCGACCATTCGCGCCTGTGCTACTGTCCACACCTTATGTAAATGGAGACGGCGATGTCTAAAGACACGGCCCTTGCAAAAATAGATCTAGAACATGTGTAATCGGTGTAGGACGAGCGTGACAGAGGCACGGCGGGAAGCTCGCCGCGGGGCAGCCGCTACGCTATTATTTGGTACGTGACGGAACACTAACGATTCGGCGCAGCGAATCGTCGACGGAACATACGTAGAGGATGGTGTACAGATCAATACAAATTCATATTACTATTAAGGCAGCCGTTCATAAACTTACTACGTGAAAATTACTTACGCATGCCTCATTTTTATTATTACGATCATAATTATATTATTACATATTATACTTTAGACATTGAGAATACAAAGTTTCAAAATAAATACCCAACAAAGATAATTTGAAGAACATAAGGAACACTACAGCAGCAATCAAATTGCGAACACATTTTGTACTACATAAAAAATAATACACAACCCTTTGCGCGAAAAGACTGAAAAGTTCAACTTTTAAAGTCACCATGAAACTCGGGTCCTAGCATGAAATGCAATATAGACTAATATTCCGTGCGTTCGTCAAAGATGTGCTTACATATGAGTTTAGCGTACATATACTTGGATCTCCTGCAAACGCAAGGAAAATGCTTCATAGTACGACCCTCGAGTCACTTTCAGTTAATACTAGATCTTTAGAATAAATTTTTCCCATCACAGAGATTTACACAGAAAAATCTTTTAGTTTTTTTTTCGAATATATTTAGCCTATTGATATAATTATGAAATAATTTAGTATCTGCTTATTTATTAAGTGTTCCAATACAATACCAAGGAGAATTATTAATTATTAATATTATTGGTGTAACGTGAGACGAGACAGCCTAAGTCTACGCTAACTTATCAATTAGTTATATTGATATTGTTATAATGAAATACGTCGCTGAAACATGCTTTATATACTACATTGTACTTTAACTCAAAGGTGGTACCGAAAAATATTATTTTTATTATAAAACAACGCCAATCGTTCATACTTTATAGAGATGCGACTCACTACAATACTAGGGACAATCAATTTAGTATTCATTATTATGATAACTTAAGGTTTTACGATTACCAAACTTAACGCACAGCACGGGAACCACGGATATGAATACAACAAAATAATTCGAATTAGAAATGTAGACGATATGCAACGTTCAAACATTAATTATTTAAAACAAATTTCAGATGACATCGGTGGTACTCGAAATAAATTGTTGTGATCAGTCTCCGCCCTGGAGCGGCGGTGATGTCATGATACTGAGTGTTAACTTACTTTCATTGGGATATCGGTACACTATATCTTTACATGGTGGGCTTTTAATTACTAATTAAGCTTGTTCGATTTGTACAACATAAACCGACAACGGTACTAGTCCACTCATAAAATGGTCTTCCAAATGTATTCCAGCTCGATACATTCGATACTAAAGTAAAAAAATATACGAAGCAGTTAAATATTATGTCTCGTCACATAACATGTGCCGCTGGCAGTAGGAGACCTCTAATAAAATAAATATTCTCATCCGACTCACTGGACAATATTAAAAATATTTTCTTAATCACAGATATCAGTCTGTCAAAATTTAAATTAAGTATATTTCAGAATTGGATTAGTCGTTCCTCACTTACATAGGATATTATTCAAGTACAAGTACAATCAAGGTACAAAAGTGACTAATTTAAGACCGCAGAGTATTGATTTTTGACGCCAATAGAAATATCTAAATATTGAGAGGTTATTAGTACTTTAGTGGAACATTCACGAATTTTGGTCGTTCGAAGTACGCGATTACGTATATGTCAAGCACGGTGTGGTCGAGACCGGTACACTTCTCTTATAGTACAAATGAACATTGAATATAAACAATTTGACACAGGTACAACAGAGATCTAATGAAAGAATAATACGAATATAAACTAGTTTTATATAGGATATGATCGTTAAATTATGCTCGATTATAATCACTCGATACATGAATGCGAGAGAGACTAGAGAAGCAGTGTGTAGTTAGCGAGCAGCAGTCCGAGTCTACTGCATCAATTAACTGTTGGTGGGGGTTGGCCTTGTACACATACATACATATATATTACGCTACATAGTACTCGTTAGCTCGTCCAACAAATGCAACTTTACTCCAGAATCCGAACGTAAGGCAGAGCCGCGATGTGTCTACCGGTGAGCACGTCACTTGTACGCCAACAGAAACGTGCCGACTTACTGCTCTATTACATCTATACACAATAGCAGTTAAAATATTCTCAGCAATCACATTTAGTTAAATTACCACATAGAGAATTTAGCTTAGTTCAACATTTTTATCAATGGCCCTCTGTTTACACGTAAAGTCACTCAGTACATTTTTTATTATTTTGTTTATAATCAGTTGTTTGTGTTTTATCAAGAACACCCTATGTCTTACAGCTATATATTCCAATAATACAAAAATCCATTCACTATAATTAAGGTAAATTTTAGATATTTAAACACTAAAATGTAAAATATGAACATCCTAAATAAACTCTGATATTCCAATTTTTAGGCATTAGCTCAATTAAATATATGATTGAGTGACTATGAAAAAAGAGAAATAAATGCATTATAATAATACTACCCAACCATTCCCTTGTAAGATTGACAGTCCAAGCTGCTCGGGCCGACCTATCGATATCGTAACCTCTACACACTAACGTCAAAGCCTTCGTTATTTTATATTTGGTATTCACTTATTCGCACCACATAACAAGACTAGAGGAATGATTGCCTCTTGTGTCGACGTCACGCGTCCCCGCCATCTCAACACGATCCCTCGTAAATAAGGAAGACTAGTTTCTTTGTAGATATCACCTAATGTGTTCTCTATTGTATTAGGACGTCAACGTCGCAACGTACAAAAATATATATAAATAAAGACAACAAGCAAAACTTTAACCTTATTTAAATTAAAAGGCCCTCCTGAATATCGTAAGCACTATCACTATCAATTATGTCGTAATATAAGTAACATCGTCAGTAATACGCGACGGCAAACGCATCTAGTAACAATGGAAAATGAGAATGTCTTTTAGTGTGCAATGTTCAGCTTATTTAGGTATTATTTGATTTAGCGCGAAATGAAACTGGATAATAATCATAGATACTTGGTCCCTATATGTGAATAGACAGTTGATCGAGCGAGTGGTGCCACAATGAGTCTACTGCAGCGACTGCTGTCGAGCCAGAAATAAGCCGAACTATTGTCACGCCACCGGCCCGGCGCCCTTGAACCGCGCTGCTCAATATCCCAACTATTGTATCGACTTTCTTGGCGTTAGCAACACAAACGAAACGACAATCAAACTCGGTGACACCAATGTATAACTATTCGAATACCACTATGAATTGAGGCTTAACTAATAAAGCTACCGATTTATAAAACATATAGTTTAAGACAAGGCCACAGGGACGGTAGAGTGACAAGCGAAGGAAAGCTATAAAATAAAGTAACGCGCTACGCGTCGTTTAGGCGGCATGAGTCCTACGCCATACACACTGCAGTTATCAGCTATGGTTCAGTACATTAAAAGCTAATTTGGAGATTACAAAATAACTTTAGAATTTTATTCCACACTAGGAAAGTTTTACAATTAAGATAATAAAAAATTAAAATTAACAACAATATGAGCAAACTACTTGAATAGTTGAGCTAAAATAACACCAGAGCAGCTTGGAGAGACCACAGCGACCTAAGCGTCGGCTGTCAGTATAAATGGCTCCTATTTGTACGATCAATAGTTTGTTGTGATGTCAGAGATCCACGCAGTTAATGTAAACAACACAAGCGGTCGTCCAATGGCTTACAGACATCGACTTTGGCATTCAAGTGTTATGGAATAGATGCGATCGTTCGAAACACGCGACACGCGCATCATCTCACTCAAAAATAACCAACTAATTTAAGGTTACACGTTAATTCGGGTAAACTTCATGAAAACCAAAAATAAATAGATAAAAATATTTACATATACGTAGGTATATATATAAAATGTTGATTGATGAAATAACACTTATTACAATAAAAGTAAAACATAGCTAAGCTCATTAATGATTACACAAGGCGTGGGCGCGGGCCCCGCTGCTCGCAGCCTTATATTGTCTACAGCTAGTCACAGAGCGGTGCCTAGGCGCACAATTCATTATAATACATTTTTGAAAAGGAAACGATTACACCTGCCATCGGTTACGGTAACGTACCACAGTTCATTGAGGCACAATCATTGGTTTCTTTTAATTGCTTTTCTTTATATTTTTTTAACTTTTTTTTGTTTTTTTATATTTTTTTTATTATTTTACTTATATTTACATCTATGATCGTTATTATAATTACTTGTAGGTACGTAAATTTATTCTAAATAACAGAAACAAATCACGAAAATGTTATTAAAAGAGAAGCATGAAGCGTATTAAATTTTTACGAATAAAATTCCACAATATATACATATTACAGTATAGATGTATCATATAAATACACAACAACATAATAATAACACAGACTAAATTGCACATGGCGCAATAATTGTGTGCAGGAAATAATGATGCAGTCATTGAACCGAGAGGAGATTCAGTTAGCGCGGCGCGATGGCCGCTACTCACAACCTTGTGATGCGCGGACGCGGGGCGCACCTCTGCCGAGACCTCTACCCTAACACCATTTACTGCTACCGACACTACACATTTAAAATACGTCCACTTTACAATATGTATAATCCTTTATTAAGTACTGATAACTTTAACTGACTAAAATTTTAAAGGCATAAACTTCTTTCGTCTTTAATCTATGGATGACGTATTCTAAAGGGCACTGGTTATTATACTCTCCGTTTGTTCGGCTTGTCTAAACCTTAAAATGGAAAAAACTTTATAAAAAATTAAATATGACATATTTTATTGCTGTATCATTAAATTTAAATTTGCACCAGAGTAAACAACTGAGATTTAGGCGTTATCGAATATTGGTGTACAATTGGACAGAACAATATCAGTTAAAAATAATACCTAGACTCTTTATTATTCTATCAATCGGTAAAAGAAACACCCTCATCACTTAAATTGAGCTTTAACAATACATAGAATTGACATTTGTCTGTTTTATACGTGCACTATTGTTGCATAGACGTAACACGAAATGTTATAGGAACATCAGATCATTAACCCGTACCGCGAATATAATTTCAAATTTTGGAAGAATCTTTATCAAGCAGAGAAATGCAATCAGTTGTTCCGGACATCTTTGATAATCACTCTTTGGCACCTAACATTAAACTCCGTGACAATCTCGATTATGGCCCCTTGGAAGGCGAATCAAATAGTTCGGCCGCATAAACCGTGCCTTCGTATCGACGAGCCGCTTGTGATCAGACGCCGGCGACGTCTGCCGTACAAGCGGACGTAAAGAAATATCAGCTCCGCGTTCAAACTAAATCTGTATCTGATACAAACCGCGAAAGGCAACGAAGAATATGCAGTGATGAAAACGCAAACTGCCGTCGGTCCCTATAGTACGATAATACGGTAGTAATGACAATTGCTAACATTGTTTCTAAATGAACACATCACACATCGAAACATTTAACACTAGACTACTACAGGTCCGAAGCGAACAGAGTTCAAACGCACTGACACGTCCAAATCGCGTTCACCTAACTTAATTAATTAATTTGTGAAGAGTATGCGAGCCGGGGCTCGACAAGGTACAGCGAATCGCTTACAACTAACTTAAGTCTAAAATCGTTTTATCATAAAAACACTGGAAGATGTTCGAAATACAGATACAATTTACATAATAAGTCGTCGGGTGGCGCGCGGCGACCGGTCGGCCGGGCGCGGTGGGTCGTCGCGACGGAGCGACTCGGATCGGCTCGGAGCGACTCGGATCGACTCGGAGCGACTCGGAGGCGCGAGGCCCGCGTGTCTGCCTGCCTGCGCCTGCTGCCTCGCGCTCTACTATTCTAATCCCGTAATAATTGGTAATTTTATATTTTGGCAGAGTATCTCTGTGGCACACCATCAATAAATTAAAAAGTAAATAAAAGTGTAAATAAACTTTATGATAACGAACTTTAACTTACACGTGCAATCGTTGCCGTTAAATATCAGTTGTATGCTTATTGAACTCTACGATAGGACTTAAAATGTAAACTTACACCTACAGTTATGTAATACCGACAAACCTACGGCTACAAGTATATTATTAACAGAATATCTAAAGCATATGTCACTTTGAATAACGTTCAAATTGAGCCTATAGAAAATACCACAAATCTTTTATTTAAATAGATATTGATATGGCTAAATTTAAGTTAGAACTTTATTCTTACCTATACACAAAAGTGTAATATTTAATTACTGTTCAATTATAGTACTTTAATAACATTTCTCACAAATGTATGTGTAATATAAAATGATAAAACAATTTTCAATTTATTATATTAGGTTACCCTTACGTTAATCGTATAATCTAGATAATCGTTTCATTATATTAAACATAAAGTGGCACTTCAATCACAAATACTGGAAAAAATTTGGGGATACGGTCGCTTCGGCGGGGGCCGACCGCCGGCAACTCGCGCTATGATACTCTCCAACAAAATAGATTATCCTTACATTAGGCAAGATATTTTACATCACAGGATTACTGGATTGCAAGGGAGCGCGCGTCCCACCTTGTACTTGCTGGCGATTGCCATCGCTCGCTCCTAACGCATATAACTATATACTCGTTTGCATCAGACTATACGGCTTAAAGGAATTTACCGCTACAAGAATGCACTTCAAATCTCATAATTTTCAAATTTTGTTACCTTTATAAAATTACAACTAATCGTAAAAGATTTGTTAGTGGGCGAAATGCACTTACACGTTTATTGCTGAATAAAATATCACTACTGGAAAACGAGGGCTCTATGCGAGTGAGAATTCAAAACAGAATAAATAATCATTAAAATACAAGTACAGATAAAACGAGAAAATAAAAACGAACACGAAAGAAACTCGGAACGCAGCTCGACGGGCGAAACAGCAACAGCCCTCGAGCACAACAAAATAAATATACGCTATAAAATAAGGCCACGGGACGTGTGACTGAGGTAGCCCGCGACGCACTACTCTATCTGATACCTACGATTATTTGGTAGATTTGCAGGAGCGGGCCGCGCGCGGTCTCACCGCGATGCGGCCCGCGCCCGCCGCGACCGGACTCTTCCTTATAAACCTCGATACAGTTTAATTTGCCATTGTATATGTATAATTCTTATATACACTAAATATTCTACATGAACACTTAAAACACAGTAAGATAATATAGTATGTGGACAGTTGGCTACCACGACCGCGTCGCGCCGCGTGCTCCGACGCCACGTGACGCGCTCGACATGATCTGACTAGGCGAATAAAATTAGTCGATCCCCGTACGGGGGACGGTAAAGCGTAATTACAACTAGACACCTAAAGCTTCGATCCTAAACTCGCGCCTTCGACGATCGAGCGACTTGCCGGCCGATCGATAAATACTATTTATACTATCCAAATCGAAGATTTTACGCTAACCATAAAAAATTTGCACCTCAGGAATGACCGAGGCGACATTTCCGAGCGACCGCGACCGAAACGAAATTAGGACCGAAACCTGATCAACACGGACAAATGCATCTGTACAGATCTCCTTCTCGCCTTAGATAGACTCTCCTCCGAGCAGGTCAGGCGGCAGGAAGGAGTTGAGGGAGGAGGGCGTGGCACGCTGGTCGTGCGAGTCGGGCCAGAGCGCCGCGAAGCCGCCCCAGCCGTCCTTGTTCCCGCCGCGCCAGGCGCCGCCGCCGCCCGACCCCAGGTGCTGCAGGATCAGCTGCACCTCGGACTCCGCCGGCGACTCCGCGAAGATCGTCGTGTTGCTCAGCACGCAGTTGTTCAGGGCCATTTGGGCCTGCACACACACAACTCACTCAATACTCTGCACATGCTAACTTATCGACAAAACATTTCCATTCCAGTCTAGATACTGACCTTGGCAGCCTCCTCGCGTGTCGAGTAGCGGGCGAGGGCGAGACCCTGGTTCAAGTACAAGTGGAAGTTCTGGAGAGGGCCATGCTGAACGCACAGTGTCTTCAGAGTGGACCCATCAATCTGATAAATAAATTAGATCATTATAATTTACATTAGAACTTATGAATTTAACAATTTTATTAACCTCTTAATTCTACTACTACTTCTACTTGATATATCAGTAAATTTGATATTGTCAATTATTGTTCTAACACAATAAAGAGTGGATGTAGTGGTAGGAAGTTCAAGAGGTACCTGAGCTGTGAGGTTTTTGAGCAGTAACCAGGTGGAGGCCTGCCAGGAGGGCACCGCGCGCGGGGGCGCGTTGTTGTGGTGCTGTGGCCACGCCTTGTTGAGGCCGGGGGGCGCAGGCCTCGGCTTGGCACCCCACGCGTCAGACTTCAGCCCCGCGCCCGCACCAGCGCCGCCGGGGGGCGCGTAGCTCCACGTGGACGACGACAGCGAGCGCTCGCCGCCAGGCGGGGACGTCTTACCGCCCAGCATGTCGGAGTCCTTGATAGCCGCCAGCGACAGTGGTGACCGCACCACAGAGCCCGGAGTCATCGCCGGATCATCTTCTACATTTTTCATTTGGTTGCCCTGTTTTCAATAAAGTTAATGAATTAACGTGGTTCCTAAAATCGTAGCATACAGATTGATCACACAGAATATATTAAGAACACCATAAAATTTATGATGCACTCAAATATTTCAAGGTGTAATGGGTATAGGTATGTGTCCCTTACCTTCCATGGCTTGCCAGGTTCAAATTCAGGAACCAAGTCATATACAGGTTGGTGCACAGGGTGTGACGGCCAGGCATCTTTGCCATCAGCTACATCAGCACTGCTGTCACCCCAACCTTCAGAGCCACGGCCAACTCCCCAAGTCCTAAATATTATAACAAAGGTTAATTTCAAATTTTTAATTACAAATTATTGTAAAAGACAAATATGCTATGAATTAATACATATAACAATAGCTGTTACGTTATATTATGTTGTATATAAAGTGTGTATAAAAAAATATTTTAATTGAAAAGCAAAAATGTCTCAACATACGAATCTGGTTGCAAGCCAAGTTGGTTGAGCTGTGGGCTCGTGGTAGACTTGGCAGTTCCAGGAGCACGGCTAAATTCGGAGCCCTCGCCATCCTTATCCAGAGACGGTAGCTTCCATTGGTTCAAGCGTGACTGTTGGTTACCGCTGCTGCTGCCGTAACCCTACACAAAACCACCATCATTAGCATTTCCAGAAATTTTTTCAAACAAAATATAATAAAATACCTTAAAAAAGAAGTAAATTTATTGACAGCTTACCCCTTGAGTATCTTTCGGAATAGTCATGTCACTGAAGTTGTTCTGCAATTGGGCGATAGGGTCATGGCCCTGCTTAAACAAGTCCGAGCTGCCAGCTTGCTGCTTCATGTACAGAGCTTGCTGGGCCGTTATCTGGTTCTAAACATAAAAAAACGTTATTTATTAAGAATAATGAAAACAATCACGTTTTAACCATATCAGCCTACATCTATTCAATTTAGGTCCATTTCAATATTCTCATGCAGAAACTTACTTGTAGAGCCGTAATCTGCTGCTTAGCCTTTGTGATTTGTACAGAATACTGCAGCGCGAGAGATGAGTGACCCTTGGTCATTGCAAGGGAGTTCTGTTGCAACAACTGCTGAAGTACTTTGATCTGTAAAGTTGAAAAAAATTAGGAATAATTTTATCAAATATAGGTTTTCATTAACAAAATCTTCATTTAATATTTACCTGTTGCAGTAGTTGATTCAGAAGCACTAGGGTTTGAGGAGCCAGAGGCTGGTTCAAGATCTGATGGTTGAGGTACCCGGCAGACACCGCCATTTGTATCTGCTGCACGAGCATGCGTAGTTGTGCCGCGCTCGGCTGCCCGCCATTACCCGTACCGCTACAATATTTATTTATATAAAGAATGCAACAAAGTTGATTCACAGAAGTTAATGACTCATTTATTTTGTTTATAAACATAAGTTGTGTCCTTATGTAATTATTATTTGTAAACACCATGAGTTGGAAAAAGTGTATAAAGGTTTCTCAATTATTTTTAAACTTTATGATATTCTAGTTGTGACCTTCATCACTAGGTCATTTGAAGATCATATAAGGGGTCAGAGGTGTTCAAATGGGAATATACTGATACACTTTGACCCATTTCGGATTTATGTTTTACCTGTTGGGGTTGTAAGACTGGTGGTGTTGCTGGGTAGGCGGCGGCGGCTGGTTGAGGATCTTCTGCACAACGGCGGGAGACACAGCAGGCACAGACGGCGGGGGCTGGAAGGGGCCGCCGTGGTGGCCACCGAAGTGTTCGTCACGCCGCCAACCGTCCCCACGAGCGCTGGCTAACATCTCCAGCGCTTCTTCTGCGTTCATATCGCGACTGCGCAATGCTGCCTCTGCTTCCTCTTTCTTGAAACCCATCTCAACGAGGAACCTACGATAAAAAGCGCACTGTGTCAAGACAGGTGTATAAGAAACATATTTCAATAAATGTGCTTTCTGATTGATCACAATTGCCTAAACATCTAAATATTTACCTAAACTGCTTGCTGTTCCACACCATTTCCTTAGGCAACTGTTTGCCCAGAGGGCCGCCTTGCTGCGGTTTCGGTCCACCCCATTCACCAATGTCATCAGGCCATGCTGTACCGGGTCCAGCTGGCTTAGGCTTAGGCACAGGCCACAAAGCTGGTCCAGATGCATCAGGCCAGGCTGGCGCGTCGCGGTCAGGCCACGCTGGCGTATGTGGCTCTTCCCATGAGCCATTGCGTTGGGCATGAGCGCCCCATACGGCATCGGGCTTAGTAGGTGTCGGCGGCATGCGCTGGGGGCCAGGCGGACCTTGTGGTCCTCGAGCTGCCATACCACCCATTCCGCGCTGTGCCCACAATGAGGTACCATCGTCAAATCCGCCTGGAGCGCGACGTGCAGCCGGGGGCGATGGTTCCTCCCAACCTGATCCCTTGATTGGATCTTTGGGTCCTTGAGCGCCCCACTGGTTGACGCCACTGGGCATCATCTTGTTTGGTCCGGCTGTGTGTTGATGATGTTGGCTCCACATATCTCCATTAAGGCGGCCAGATATTCCTCCGCGCAAGTCGTGGCGCGGGTCTGCGCTTTGTTGGCGTGGATCGCTGGAGCGGTGAGGATCAATACGTGGATCTACAGGGCGATGAGATTCACCCCACGCATTCCAATCATCTTTCTTGGGAACACCCCACTGTTGCGCATGTTGCGGTGGGCCTGCGGGCCACTGTTGTGGTGGCGGTGGTCCGGTCCACACATTAGCAGAGTCTGCAACATCATCATCTTCTCCCCATGTACCGCCAATATTTGTAGTAGGTGTATGACCCCACGGTGTTTTTGAAGCGGGTTGCGGCGGCGGCTGTCCTCCATTTCGTAAGTTAGCCTCCCATAAGTCGGTACCAAGGAATGCTCCATTATTAATATTCGGTTTCCAGGCGGGAGGACCTCCAGCAGGCTGATTTTCCACTTTGCCTGGACCAGGCTCAGGAGAACCAGGTACATCCCAATTCGTATCTTGATTCACATGTTGCTGAAAAGTAATAAATCATTGAAAAAAGGGTTTTTATTGATCTTTTTTAAAAAAAACTTCACTGGAAAATGACTTACGCCTCCCCAGCCATCTTGACTAAACAAAGCTTCTCTCATTGAGTTCAGTTGCTCAATCTTAGCAGAGGAAGTGCTGTTGGCGTTGTTGCCATTGTTACCATTGGCTGAAGTAGGACCATTCGAATTTGAAGTTGAATTAGGTGGATTAGTACCGCCATTGTTTCCGTTACCCGCGTTGTTCGTACCTAGGTGAAAGAAGAATAACAAAATCAACCCAAATATCAATAAAACACACAATACGTGCTGCTATGCATTTTATTTTGATTGTCAACAAACCATTGCTCGTTGGTGCACCATTGTTGTTAGGCTGAGCATTTGGCATGTTGGGTGGGGAGCTTTGCCAATTCTGTGCAGACGCGCCACTAGTTGGGGGCATTTGATTACCATTCCCCTTGTTGCTATTCACTGCAAGAAAGAGAATCCCAACCATAAGCACCAAAATATAATGACAACATCCATAATGTTAAATGTAATTAATTTCTAATCACTGTAACTGAACTGCCATTTGCCAACAATAGAACAAGTTTTATTTTGATGACTTCATCATTAGTGACGATATTAAAACAACTTACTGTCTGCTTGAGAAGTGGGCGGGCGTTGAGCCGTGTTATTCCATTGTTGAGTATTGTTTGTTCCATTATTTGTTTGGCCACTGGAATTACCGCCCCAATTCCCAGCTGGCAAAGAAAAAAGATCTATTTATAATCTCTTATCATCGACGACGGTTAAAATATAGTTCTTATGTCGGCCACGGGCGGTACTGCCAAATATTTGAGTGTCGATCAACCTACCGTATAATATCTGACTCGGACGTCAGATAGATGACAAAAACAAGCGAACTCACCATTGTTAGAGGCAGGCGGGCTGCCCCAGCCAGTGGCGGTGTTGAGCGAACTTTCGCCCCCTCCGCGAAGTCGAAGGCGTCGGGGAACGCCCCAACTGTCCACATCTTGAGTTTTCATTTCCTTGATAATTCGATCCTCGTTTTTCGTGAGTTCCAACATAGCGTCGAAGGTGAGATCACCGTTCGCGAACATTCGCAAAGCCGTTTTATTGGCGGGTTTGTCGTAACCAACTTCCAATTCATTATTGTCATGGTATGTCTTCACAGACTTGTCTTCATTAGTAATGATTCGAGTTTTCGTTTTGGATATCATATTATGAGCAGACTTGTCGTTTAGTAGTTGCGTATCGCAAGGCTCATCTCGTATAATACAAACTGAGGATTTAAAAGCGTAATCAGACTTGTTCATATGCTCCGGCGCTCCGAACGCCATCTTATAGTTTAAGTTAAAGCTACTGAAATATGGGTCACTGTATGAGATACCCTGGACTGTTATGGCGTTAATCGTTAAAGGAATGCAGTAGTTAGGCGTTTCGCCAATCATTTGGTTTTGTTGGACACTAACAACAAATTCTACATTATAAATATTTAAATCTACCATTTTTACACTAGCTTCATGACTTTCATTCTTCTCAACTTGAAAAGCACCAAAATTATTTGTGTTCACCACCAACATCAAGGTGGAGTAATTACATTGCATTGGTTCGGTAACAGTATTAATATTGGAGTAACAATTATCCTTAATTAGATGTCGAACACATAATATTACAGAAACATTAGACATCAGACAATTATTATAAATAGAATAATTTTCTACAGTTTTGACCTAACATTATACTTATGTTCACAGATAGCATATTGTTTCAATTATAAACTAAGTAACAATGGTTCGTAGTGATGCAGTCAATAAAGCAGGTAGCAGTGTTTAGTGCCTCTATGGTAGAGGACAAGGTGAGATCACCACTGGAAGCTGCTGCGGACTCGCCTCCTAGCCCCGATTGGCCCAGCCCTATAAATACACAACATTGTATCAGCAAACAGCTAACTTGTGTCTCACATTAATGCAATTTATGTGCTAAAATCTTTCCTAAACCTATAAATATTATTTAAAATCCAAAATTTTAATTTGAATTAATGAACTAGTCTATTTTGGTTTCAATTGCTAACATTTATTTATATAAAGATTTTATTTTATACATTATATTATTATTTACAAGAGTATCTCGCAGCAAAGTCAGCCAACCCAAAAGAGTATGCTGTTATCTTGACTAGACTCAACTAGGAGATATAAATCAAGCCAAAGATAGAATTTACTGAACCATTTGAATGCAGGTTTGACATCTTACAATAAATCTCAAATTGAAGCTAGTATCCTAAATATGTGTAAAGGATTGTACAGGTAGTTTACAATGAAGAATTTTAATAAATCCACAATAGTGCCCTTTCAATACCAAATAATTTGAGTAATAGGTATGGCTACTTAGAACTAGGTGCAGGTACTCAACTCAATCATTATTTAATAAGAATAAAAACTGTTTCATATTCAAATGGATTCCAATCTGTGTTCTCAAGATATACAAGTTTTATATTAAATAGAGCTTACCTTATAGGACGGACGAGAGGCTGAGCTGTATATCACAGATAATGCGGGCTCGGCAGATCCTTAGAGCAGCTTTACAGTCAGCTCGTAACGTTTCAGATTATCTGTGAGACAAAGAGTTCACAATTAACTTTTCCTATTGGCACTTAACATAAACAATTAACAAAAATCAATACGCAAGTCTTAACAATAACTAAGTACATACATGATCATTTTGAGGTTATCTGAATCAAAAAAAAAAGGTCACTTGGATCAGTGCTTTGTACTCACACAGCATAGATAGACACATCAAAGTGAATAAATCAAAATTACAATTTTAAGATTTCCGTAGCAATGATACGATAAAGCAATCCTCAAATCAAAAATCATAATGGTGTTTCACAATACGCCATTCCAAAACGTATACGAGCGATGTAATACGACGCAAGTACTTATGGTCACACCGAAAATTATCAAGAACAGTGTTGCCAGAGGCCGATAGTCAAAAGTTACACGAGACGAGACAGATCAAAAAGTAACATTTTGTCAGAAAAAGTAACATTGCCTTTTTTTGTGGAAACTGCCAAAATACGTAAATAATGGTATGTAATGTAAATAATAATAATGGTATGAAAGATGGAAAAATACACACGAGTGAATGAATAAGTACTTAGATTTAAGATTTGACAAACAATCGTATTGGTTAGTCAGTCCAGTCTGTCCAACAACGCCAAGTTGTTGTTGTCGTTGTTTTCTATCAAGCGTGTCAACATGACTTAAAATTAGATTTATAAGTGCGTTCCGATACACGATTTTGTTCGAAATACTGAAAAGTAACATAAAAGTAACATTGAGTGTGGTGTAACATGGAAGTAACATTGGAGGGCCAAAAGTAACGTAAAATGTTACAAAAGTAACATTCTGGCAACGCTGATCAAGAATAAAATGTTATAGTATCACAATTTCCCATTTCAGTTTTCACATTCCTCTAAAAACCAATATTCTTTTCTTACATTATATACCTATATATTTGTGTATTTCGGCCTTGAGACTCGACGACTCGATGTTGAATATCTACAGTCGTATACATGTATCTATCTATGCTATATCATCCACGGTACCTATCTATATCTAGAGTGAAAGTTAGCACGACCCATATCATACAAATAAACCAAATATTTTTGCAACAAATTAGTTCCCCACATACACAAACACTTAATTGACATGAATATTACAAAACTTCCTCAAAATTCACACTCTAATCAGGCAAAAATACAAAAAATCTTACGTGACACGACCGAGCACAACGGTGTTATATTACTAGAAGGAATGAGACAGAAAATTAAACATGTCGCTGACATCCCGTTTGTTGGAGGGAGAACAAACATACGCCTGAGAAAGCGATGCCATAAATGCTCAGAGCCATCAACGACGACATAAAGAACTTCTTCGAAAATCTAGCTTTATTTAGGACTTACCTCTGTTTTGTAATGTTGTTGGCACATAACTTATGGATTTATACAAAATCACAATCCCAAACCCCCGAGAACACGGCTTCGACGGCTGGATGGAATGATTTCGTCGTCGGGGTTCGCACGAGAGCTATGAAATGCTACCAATTTATGACGGACAGAAGCGATTCAGACTACGTACTACAGTTACCGTATTTTTGTCGTGGTCGGGTTATAGCAATTTACTATACCTACATATAACTTTCAATATGCAGAGGTATTATCTATAGTCTCTATCTATAAATATGTACCTATAATAATACCGTACGAATACATACCTATTTTTATACTGTTGTGTATTTCTATATCTATAGGCAGCCATTGGATTGACTATGAATGCATTGTAGCTAACTGGAGTACTAAAAACTGCTAATTATGCATATAAAATCGATGTTAAGTGGACTTGCGAGCCCCACTTTCTTAATTGTTCATTTAAGTACAATACACAGGGCTATGTGATTGATACAAAGCTAAATCATTTGCTGTGGCTATGTACAGCCAATCTATTCATATACCTACTTAGTTAGCTGAATTTTGCGCATATAGGTAGATAGATACGTACCAAAGAAGCAGTAGTTGATTTACAGGGTCGGGTTTTATTTACTATTTATGTAATAAAGGTTTTAGGTATTTGGTGTAAAGTGTAAACAAAATTGATTCAACTTATTGACATGTTCTGTCATTATAATTATTTTACCTAAAATATAAGTGGGTAGGGTACTAACTACGTAGATAGATTTAAGTAATTAGGTAAAATATCACAAAATATACTTATTTTATTTTGTTGTTGATTTTTGGCCACCACCTAAATGGTTACGTAACAAAATTATTATCAAATAAATTTATTTTATAAGTTATATTACAGTAGGCACCTGGTTACTTTTTTATACTTTAAGTCCCGAATTTCCGTGCCTTTTTGTATTAGCTATTTTCTCACAATGTGTACATGTATAATGTGTACATATATGTTTTTGTAACCAATAAATTATTATTGTACCTATTTTATAATAAGACCAGCTATTGCTTGTATTATTTTAGAGAAAAATCTATAAATATTATTAGATAATCAATTTATTAAAAGTAAAATAACAAACAAATTAAGTGATTTAACTGCAACAGCTTTAATAAAATTACATGAACAATTGTCTTTACATCTAATAAAATTATATATAGCCCAAATTAAAATATATATACAGACTTTATAACCTGCTGATAGAACTGCTCGGTTTCTGGAATTGTATAGGTAAATGACCTATTCGTTTTATAAATATTATTATTGAAACGAGTTAGGAATGAAACAATTAAAAGAGGAGTGTTCGGTACGAATGTAAAATTATTCTGAATCTGACTGAACTACATCCTCTTCCTCTATCCTGCAAAATTACCAACGCCATGGTGTTGCAAGCGTATATTGAATAATGTTTAAAAAAATACCATAGATTTGTCAAAACTTCAACGTCAGAAGATATGTCAATTGTCACTGTCAATTTGATTAGATGGTGTTAGCTGTTAATTGCGAAATCTTTTGTGTTCATTCGTTATCACTAATTTTCCCTATTTATCGATACACATACATATTTTACGTCAAATTGATGAAAATTCGTTCATTGCTGTGTCAGATATCCGGCAGCAATGTTGTGTGAAAACCGAGAACTATGCCTCGTCGTTTGTGGGGTCTAAGGAGGCTGTTAAGGATGCCTTTATCGGAGACTGGGGACCAATATTCAATATGGGTATGTATTTTTAATGTTATGTTAATATAGTAAATGACAAAATACCGTAAATTTAATTAAACATATGTTCTGATATGTAATACATCTTTTTTTTAATAGTAATAAACGGATTGCCACATAATCGACGACGGTAGATTATCTGTTGTTGTGTTCTTTTGTCCATGTAAACTAAAGTTTCTCCCTCCACCGTAAGCGGAACCGTTATACTGTCCCTAACCTACTTTTATTCCTTGCCTGCTTGTTACATGTTGAAATTACTAAAAACTATTAAAAGAAAAAATGTACAATAAATCTTAATAGGTAAATATTAAATTATTTTAAATGGAAAAACACCATCAAAAAATCTTAAAATCATATAATTTTTCATAGTAAACAATAATATAGTTTATTTTCATTCATTCTTTCTTCCTTTCCTAGGTGGGTTTAATTTATGTTTTCAACTTAATTGTTGGAACTGGAGCTTTGACCTTGCCGGCAGCATTTGCTCGAGCAGGATGGGCTCTCAGCACAATATCACTGATGTTCCTTGCATTCATGAGCTTCTTGAATGCAACTTATGTCATAGAAACTATGGCTTGCGCTAATGCTGTATTTAAGTGGAAGAGGTTGCAGACTATCAAGAGGGAGAGTGTAAGTATTACAGATCATAGGTGTTTACCTATGAAATTGCCATTCTGCAGTACTGGCCATTTCAAATCATTATAGTTTTTGTTAGGCCAAGGCTAATTAATTTTGTGTTAAAAACATGGGATTCTTTTTCCAAAAGTAGTCTTTTGTTTATTGATTAGTGTTACATTTCCATAGCATTTCAAATAAAAAAATTCGTTAAAATTTTTTTTATGCAAAACTGCAATTTCATAGGTAAAGACCTATTATATATATTTTTTTTAAACATAGCTTAAAATATGGCATATGGCATTGTAGTTCCACATCCTCACAAATTCCAAAAAAGAGGTTGCATTTCTTTTGATTTACTGTTGTAGCATGAAGAGGTTGCATTTCTGTTGTGTTATTCATGATGTTTTTCACTTTAGCTCTCTTCTGTATGTCCTAATAGCTAATGCCAGCATCCTCAGTATCCCTGAAAGCCTGGTGCCTAACTACACAGCTCCCCTTGCACTATAACTTAAGACTGTATAAGAGTTGTAATAGAGGCAATCTATTACCATTCAAAAGCCACAATTTTTGACATGCTCAAAAGTCAAGTCAAAATCATTTATATGACTATATAGACCCATACAGGCACTTTTGAACGTCAAACAAAATTTTAAAGATATAAAGTGTCAGTCTGTCGGTCAGTCTAGCTATTCGCTTGTTCCAAAGTGTAGATTCCGATGGAGAAGAACGAGCAAGAAACTCCATGGTTACTCTTTTAAAATCAGTGTCACATAAAGATTCTTTGATACATTATTTAGTTGGTTTGATTATTGATATTAAGTATATTATGATTTTAATTTTCAAAATGTATTTATATCTTCATGTGTGAAGTTATGGCATGTTATGTTGGTTAAAATACATGGTGAGCAATCTGTTTCACTGATTATTGGTTAATGAACTGTATTGAATAATAATATAGTAGAATATGCACATAGAATACATTATACCTGCTTTATCATTCTATGACACAGACCTATAATTAGAATCGTGTTTTTTTCTGCATTTGAATAAATATATTGAGTTCTCTGTCAAATTCTGTATTCTGTCATAAGTATATTTTTTTTAATCTAAAAACACTAGTTATTAACTGGAGTATGCCACATTCAAATTTAAAATTATGATTATGTTTGTTTAAACTTGTTTCGCGCGAAACAAAATGTCAAAGAGATAATGTTTTTATGTAGGTATTTATATCTGGCTACATTCAAGTCGAAAATGCTGTGCTATACATCGATTTTGTGCACCTAAATCATTACCTATCAAAAATAATTACAACACCATTTTTTCTTACAACAACACATAGTTTAATGTTATAAAGCTAGAAATATATTCAAATATATAAGTCATTATTATTTCTTAGGACATATTTATTTATGTGCTTTATTTAATAACATATTCATTAATTATAAAGCTATGTGATAACTTACTATTGTCTAACTGTCTGTTATCTATTTATATCTATCTATAAATGATAAAAACATATTCATTTTTAAACAAGTTTTTAAAAATGTACTTTATTTATTTTCCAACACACTACCTGCCCAAAGTGTCTCTTATCCCACGGAAATTAGGCATGTAATGACACCTATTATTAAACTACAATCAAATGAAAAAGTTCTTTTTTAAAATTATTGATTGAGTTAATCTCCCACTCGTGCTAAAATGCTATCGGCGAAAAGCTCAAAAAAAAAGAAATATTTTTTTTTACGTCTATGGTCAATGCGCGCTCACAGAAAATCAGAATATTTTTGCCCGCCATTTCCTACGAAACATTTTTCACGACACATCTCGTTTTCTCTTTTGAAGTTATTTATTTAAGAATTATTTTAGTCGGAAGTGTGTTGAAAAACGTCGTGTGACACCCTTCCTTTACACACTTGTACCATAATGTACTATTAAACTAAACGTTTGGTCTACACTCAGAATACAGAACAAACCAGAAGGCGTCATCGCGCTTCAAACTAAAGCTACTAAAACCATTCTCAACTAGAATAGTATGAAATTTCTACGATTAGTCAATTTCAATTTTGGCACGTGGCATGTCGTGACGTATTTACGAGTATCAATTTTAATTTCATTATGCCGTCTTGTGTTATTACTACGAGTAAAAATGCGACTGGAATTACGAAAAAAGTGGATAAGATTACATTTCATCTGCAAGCATCGACTGCAATAGTAAATTTAATTAATTATTGTTTTTTTTTATCGATTTATTTTTCTATGAAAATGATGCGGCCATTTTGTGAGTGTTGTCATTTTTGGTGAAAATTTTACCCACTTATTTATTTGTTGTGGGTTATATTTTTGTCCATTATGGAACCTATGCCATATTAGTTTCCCTAACAAAAAAATAAATACAAATCATACAAAGGGCACGGTTAGATTAATTTTGGAAACCATCTAGCCAGAGCATAGTTTGTTCAATTCACTTTGAAGAGATATATTTATGACAAAGGTGGTTTGAAAACAGCATATCCTACTAAGATATATCTATACTAATTATAATGCTGAAGGGTTTGTTTGTTTGTTTGCTAGAATGCGCTAATCTCAGGAACTAAGTAAAGTAAGCAGACTTCTAATCTTTGGTTCCGAGTCTAAAGACAAAACATATAAAAAACTAAACCAGCAAAAGGGAACGCAATAAAACCTTTGTACTTATTGAAGCTTTATTTGTTGTGTATAGTAGGTGTAACTAAAATTAACAAATCCAAATATCGTCAACTTTTATGATACCTCTATGAAATGTGTGAACAACTAGTCTGTTGCATTTATCGTAAGTTTACCTATATTGTTGGGTTTAGTCGTATCTTACCCTCCTGTTGTAAAATTACCCCAAACTAAGGGAATTGTTCCACTGTCGGCAACACTACGCGGGTGGGAAGTGCGGCTGGCGGGGGGATTGACGTATTGTTTTTGGACACATTAGACGACATGCAATTATGAGTGAACGCGGATTCTGGTTTGTTCTGTATTCTGAGGGTCTACACCGCTACGCATGAATGTCTCACTACTTTGTTGTCAGCAATGTCAGTCATTTATTTTGTGAGCAGTAATATGTTGCGATGTAGAAAGATTGCTAATTTCTCGATATTTTCAAAAATTTTTATTCATATTGCCATTCTCGTGTCGTAATAAAACAAAAAAATGCGAAATCTGCTCAGCCGTTCTTAAGATTGTGCTTAGCAACCATCGATCACTAATAAAGAACTAGATACACAATCAGTGGCAAAAAAATGTCCCAACTGAAAGTCCACCAAACTCAACATCGCGGTGTAGTTTTAGTTTAGTACCACTCGAATGCTCGGACGGTAAACACGCCTCAGTGCTCGTTAAAAAACTGCAAAAACACACACATCTAAGATGCAAAAAAGGATGGAATTTCATATTTTCGTTAAGTAATAATATTATCATTATATAATTGTCATCATTCTATTTTAAATATTGATATTTTATTAAGAAATTAACTTTAAAACTTTTTCCAAATGAAATCGTATTCAAAAACCGGGGTTATAATGCACACAGTTTATAAAGACACTTATACTAAACGTAAAATCATTCTCTAGCATGACCACTTAAGTTGTTCGGTTTACGTGGATTGATTCTGTTCCGTTTAGCGGAGACGCTATTGTTCCTAATTTTATTTATTGTTTTTTTTTTTTATTAAAAATAGTTTTTATTTAATATTATAATTCTTTACTGTGTTTATTAAAATATGGAATAGGCAGATATAATGGATTTAATTTTAACTGCAGTAAAGACATTTTTTTTAGCTTTCATCAAAATCCCGTGCGATATGAAAAATTTACAACAATAACGCCAACATTTTCAGTACTTACTTTAGATATATATTCTTTTTATTATTTTACATCTTTTTTATTTGACTTCGAATAGAAAGGATTAAGGAGGACGAAAATAAAAAAAAAGAATTATGACTATATGCATTAGTTTCATTGGTAAATAAATGAACAAACCTATAGAAAAGAATACTATAAGTAATGCGTTTTAATTTGCGTATTTTCTTTTTTTGATAAATTATAAAATACGAAAGAAATATATTTCTTACGAGACATTTCGACTCCAATCATTCTTTGTCCTAGCGGTGAGCCGAAGTCGTTAAATTTTATTGCTTATTTTTTAAACTTTGTAAATTCGACTTAAAAACATGCGAATATGGTTCAATTTCTTATGATTTGTGTTTGTCAAGAGCTTCGGTCGCAAAAAGTATTAAGATTTTGTACATCACTTTGTAAAAACAACTCTATGAGTTGCATTTAAGGTTTAATTTACATTAATGCATTTTTATTTCAAGTATAAGTACCTAAATACAGTTGGCGACAGTTTTGAAGCGAACTTTTGTATGGGATTGTGTATCTAGTTCTTTATTAGTGATCGATGTTAGCAACACATTAAAAATTTTTTTTTTTTTTTTACATTTTTATGTTCCTCTACAACTATATCCACCAATTGAGACCTCTTTTTCTAGAATCGCACAGAAGTTGCACACTGTCCTTATCAATCAATTGCTATAAATGTATTCAAGCAATAACACTCTATCAAATTTAAAAAATGATTAAATGCAAAGACTCCCCTTGACCATATCGTTTATCTCACTCCATGTCTACCATGTGCTGTAAATCTAGGTCATCAAACTACCCTGCACTACCAAAATCATAAGAACTTATCTTTAAAGCCGAGACTTACCGTCGTTCGCGCTATTATACATTTATATGACTTGACGTTAATGTGCCTGCACGGGTGCAAACCACGCTAGTGCATTCCCGCACGAAACAACCATTTGTCTGGTCTACAAATTGTTGTTTCGGGTCTGTGTGTCATGTGCATGTATGCAATTGTACGTTTGTAAACTCACCCTTGACATAGGAGAAATCCTAGAAAGACGCAACGTTTTTCTTTTTAAATAGAAGGAAACAATCGCCATGCTGGCACTTTTCCATTGCCCAACAAAGGCTTTTCATACGAAAAAGACTTAGTCGAGACACATTGGTGATTTAAAACTTATAATTTGATGTTAGCCCAGTTTTCCCCATAATTTATACCTTCACCGTATATCTGCAGTGTGTAAATAATTTTTGGCAGGTCCGATCGCTCCTGTTGTCTAAAAAAGGGTACCTACATATAAATTGTCACATTCCAGATCCAAGACCATGAATCAGATGATGACCCGTCTACGTCGCAGAATAACCATGGTGACCTTGAAGAGCCCTTGGTCTGTGGTGATACTATCCCCTCTCGATACTACAGCCTGGACCGGCGGGTGGAGCTCGGAGAGATGGCCAACTTATTCTTTAACAAACTGGGCAGGACCACCTTCTATTGCACGCTCTGTATATACCTGTATGGAGACCTGTCTATCTATTCAGCAGCTGTCGCGAAGTCGGTTATGGATGTAGTGTGGTGAGTGATTTTTCTATAATATGTACCTATATGAAAATCTGAGATCTGATTCGGTTTTACAAAATCTTAAATGGGCATTATGACATTCGGAAATTCTACAAACTGTTTTCACTTGGTCACTGACTGGAAGAGAGGGAGGATTGGGCCTCCGATAACTTCACTTCCACGGCGAAACACAACGCTGTGGTTGTTTTACGCCGGGTTTCTGTGAGGCAGTGGTATCACTCCGGTCGAGCCGACCCATTCGTGCCGAAGTATGTAAAAGTAAACACTTTCTAAGCAATCGAGTTGTCAGAACGTGGAACAGACTACCGGGACACGTAATCTTAGCACAAAATGTGAAACAGCTAAAAACAGTGACAGTTTAGAAAAAAAGTGTCTCAATCTTATCGGTTACAGATGTCAGAATAAATTCCACACCCAATGATTTCCAGATACCCCTTTACATGGTTAGGCTCAAATGCAGAAACAAATTCCATAAATTGTTTTCGCAACTACTAATTGAAAAGAGTCTCAATTTCGAAATTAGCAGATTCTGAAATTGGGCAATTTTATTTGGTGAATTGCAACAAGCCCTTTAAATGAGACTCATAATGTTATAATTGATAATCTGTTCTCTTACTAAATAATAATTTCGATAACTATTCCTGTCACGAGCCTGCAGGAAGAATTACCAATGGGAATGTGTAGAACCTATTTACTTAAAATCTTTGAACGTTTTACGAAATAAGTTTGATTTGTTCTTTCTACGAAAATCTTACAATCACCTCAAAATTATTCTAGTCATCGTTTTTTATAATTTCCTTGACCGATATGATTGTTTGGTAAAGAAACGAACGCAAACTATCCAAGGATAAGTGACCCACACGATTAATGAACCGTGTCATAATCGATTGTATTGCACAATTCCTATCGATCATCAATCATATACACTCTCCATGTTTATTATTCTTCTTGTGGAAGTGAACTTTATGAATTCGTCCTTGTCATTGGACTGGCGAAAAAGTTGTTTGACCGAATGAATTCTTCCTCCCCTTCTGTTCCATCCCTTCTGTTCTTTTATTTATTTATTTTTATGAGAGGGGAAATTCATCATATTAATATGACTCGCTCGCCGAGGCTCTCACAAAGAAAAGACTTGGTCGAGACATATTAGTGATTTCAAAATTATAATTAGAAGTTAGTCCAGTTTTCCCCATAATGTTTACGTTCACCATCTACCAGTATTGTCTAAATAATTAAAGAAATCACGGAGTTGTTTGACAGAATTAATTCAGTTCTGCTCCTTTATTTATTTTTCTGAGAGGGAGTGTCAGACTTACTGACTAAATCACACCCCCCTCCCCCTTTCTCCTCCTGCTCCAGGTCGGGATTTTGTACCTTATTGTGTATTCACGATGCCTTCCTTCGTCCGCCGCTTTCACCTACCCATCATTATTAGATGAAATAGTCTGTATTTCTTGCGTGTACGCGTCGGAGATATTCTATTTCGCCCTTAAAAATAGTTAACATTAGTATGCGTGGCATGTTGTGTGCATTCATTGTGCATTTTCATAAGTGCCACGTGGCATAGGAAAGTGTGGGAGAGCCACGCTTCGGCAAGAATGGGTCGGCTCGACCGGAGCGATACCACGGCCTCACAGAAAACCGGCGGGAAATAACCACAGCGTTTTGTTTCACCGTGTGGGTCAGGTTATCGGAGGCCCAATCCTTCCCCTCCCCCCATCCCTAAATCCCCAAAACCCTAATCTCTAAAAGGTCGGACACGCACTCGTAACTCTTCCGTTGTTGTGAAATTACTTTTTCAGTCGAACTTATTGTTAGGTTTGGGTTGATGAAATAAAACTAAGTTTATTTATCAAATAGCAGAGGTGGAATTTATTATTTTACTTTAGGAGGTGTGTGTTGCCTGAAGGCGTTAGCAGAACCGAATGAGGGCGAGATGCAAACATCTCAGTGAGGGTTAGCTGGCCACTTAAGGCACTTATAATAGTGGCGTGAGAATAATGAGTAGATTGATTTTTGTTATTCCAACACGCCCCCTCAAAAATTAATCTAAAATAAAATTAATTACAATCATAGTATCACACACCATCCTTTATCTGGGGTACAATCATTCAATGGTCCAACATTCGTTGCATAGGATTAGGGAAACCCAGAAAAACCTAATCAGACCATGTTATACTTATTCAAAATCTTAACCTAGTTAAGTATTTAATACTATAGATTTTATTCATATATGAAATATATTGTAATCTATTCTAGTCCCAGTTTCTCTCTCAACTGGGAGAAACGAACAGTGGGTAACTGTTTCGTTAACACATCAGCCAACTGGTTACCTGTGGACACATAAATTATTTTAATAACATTTTTCTCAACTTGTTCTCTAGAGAAATGATATTTGATGTCAATATGTTTTGACCTTTTATGACATGTCGGATTATTTGCAATGCTTATGCAACCACTATTGTCCTCATAAATAGGAATCGGATCCAGTATTTTAATGTCTATACTGGTTACTAAAGACTTTAACCATAGAGCTTCCTTTACGGCCTCAAATAGTGCCATGTACTCTGCTTCAGTACTAGAAACTGCTACTGTTGTTTGCCTTTTTGTTTTCCAACTTATAGTGCATTGCTCAAATAAGTTAAACAAATAACCCGTAGTACTTTTTCTATCCACTTCATCAGAACCCCAATCAGAATCAACATAACCACTTAACGGTATTTTATCTGAATTGCTCCGACGATAAGTCAATTTTAAATCAATCGTCCCTTTTAAATAACGAAGCACTCTTTTTAAGTGTGACCAAAGTGCATGGTTGTTTTTGTTAGCAAATCTACTCAAGACGTTTAGACTATAACTCAAATCGGGTCGAGTGCAAACCATAATGTAAATTAAACATCCGATAAGGTTTTTACAAGGGGCATTCATTGTTTCACACGAATTTAAAGCTTCGAAATCAACTTTAGTTTCAAGTGGAGTACTGACATGTTTACAGTCACTCATGTTAAATTTATTAAGGACTGTTTCTATATACAGTTTTTGGTCTAAAGTTATTTTGTTATTGCTTCTCTCAATTTTAATCCCCAAGAAACACTTTATTTCTTTCAAATCTACCATTTTGAACCTTTTCATTAAGTATTGTTTAAAGGTGTTCATGGTTTTGATATCTGCCGTTGCGATAACAAGATCGTCAACATATAAAATCACATAAATGTTTTTAGAAATATCACCTGCATCTAATATATATAGACATCGGTCAGCTGATGAATATCGAAAACCTTTTTCAATCAAGACTTGTTCGAACGTTGCGAACCAACAACGTGCTGATTGCTTTAATCCATATAACGACTTATTTAATTTACAGACCAAGTTGTTATCTGTACATGGGATTCCTTGTGGTACTTTCATAAAAATCTCTTCCTCAAGTTTCCCATTTAAAAATGCCGTTTTTACATCCATATGATGCACTAGCAATCTATACTGATTCGCGAATGCTAAAATAAATCTGAAACTTGCTATTCTTGCAACAGGTGCAAACGTCTCATTATAATCAATAAGATATTCTTGATTGAAACCACGAGCTACTAAACGCGCTTTATATTTTAATGGTTTTCCAGATTCATCATTTTTAATAGAAAATACCCATTTACAATCAATGATATTTCTGTCAATAGTTTTTGTACCAGGGTCCAGGTTTCATTTTTGAGGAGTGAATTAATTTCCTCTTTTATAGCACTTTCCCATAAATGTCTATCATCCCTGGATTGGATTTCATCAAAAGATCTAGGTATAGAACATACTAATGATTGTGCATGCAGCAAATAATTATTTGATAGATCATCTTTACTGTCATCATAACACACTTTAGGTATGTTTTTAATCCTTTCACTCCTTCTTAGATTCGGAGATGTTTTATCATCTTGAGATATTGTCAATTCATTTGGAAATGCAGAGTCTGAGTACACATCTGTTTCACTTACAGATTTATTAGATGGTGGATCTAATGACATAGGTATTTCGAATGTTTGTCTCATATAACTATCTGATTTCATCTTATCAGATTTTTGCACCTCCCAACCATTGGAGTGCCCGTCAGATTTAATGGAATTTTTACTCACAATTCCTTCAGGCTTAACTGGCCTACTTGATAAGAAATTAATCTCATCAACTATTACATCTCTGACTTTCACAAACCTTTCGTCTACCAGTAACCACACCTTATATCCATTTGGTTCATATCCAACCAGGATACCTTTTGATGACTTTTCATCAAACTTATGTCTTTTTGTCTTATTCATAAAATAAACAGTTGAACCAAAGACTTTCAAATACTTAAGTTGCGGCTTCTTACCATGCCACAATTCAAATGGTGTGTTATCAACTCTCAGTGCTTTTGTGGGTGTGATATTTACTAGATAAGTAGCAGTTAACACAGCCTCACCCCAGAATGTTTTCTCTAATTTCGCACCGGACACCATAGCCCGACTGCGTTCCGTTAATGTTCTTATCATTCTTTCGGCTACACCATTCAAAGCTGGCGTATGCGGCACTGTTAAATGGTAGCTTATACCTTTTGTAACACAGTACTCTCTCATTTCTTTCGATAAATATTCACCACCATTATCACAATATAAATTGACAATACTCAGGTTAAAGTGTGCCATACTTTTTGTTGCATAATCCCGAAAAGCAGTAAAAACATCTGATTTATGAGCTAATAAGTATGTTGCACAATAATGAGTAAATTCATCGACAAAAACCACAAAATAGTTTTTGTTATCAAGTGTCGAAGGAGTGACGGGACCCGAAACATCTGTGTGCACATTAAATAGTGGTCGTTTTGTTATTACCTTTGGCTTTGATTTGTTAAATGGTAAACATGCTTGTTTTCCATAAATACAAGCTTCACATAAGTTGTCACATGGCTTAATATGACTTATTTTCTCTATATCAGAAAACATTTCTTTATGCTTTATTTGCATAAATTTTGATTTACTAATGTGGCCTAAACGTTGATGCCACAATTCATAGTTATTTACGACTCTATTTAAAGAACACACAACAGACCCTTCAAGTAAAAAGTTAATTCCAATTAAATTGTTCAAACACTCACCCTTTGTTACCAATGTCTTACCCGTGTCGAATATTTGTACGCTTCCATCTTTGCCAAAAATAATTGTCATACCAGCTTCTTGCATTTTCTTTACTGAAAGCAAGTTGTATGGAATATCTTTACAGAATAAAACATCCTGTACCTAATATACCTTTTAATCCCAAGTTACTAATAACCGGTAAGTTTCCCTTTCTTGTAGCCTGGATGTAAGTACCGTTCTTCGCCACGGAGATATTTACTGGTTTTTCTAATTCTGTAAACTTTTCCGCTAAATCTGGCCTGTTGATGAAATGGTCTGAAGCGCCAGAGTCCAGCACAAATGTAATTGTTTCTTGGTTATAACGTTTTATGGCATTTGCTCCTACCATAAATGCAAATCCGGATATGTTTGGATCAGTTGTTTCAGTATTCACTACTTGTATTGTTCGATGGTATTCAGGCTTTTGAAACCGTTCAGTTGCCATCTTGTTGTAATAACAGTTTTTCATAATGTGACCTTTTCTTCCACAGTGGTGACATTTCACGTTTTTAGATTTATAATTTCTTTTAAATCTGTTATTAAATAATTGTTGACCCCGTTTCTGTTGATGATAGGTCGCATTTGGGAATTTATTTGTTTTTGAAAACGACGTAGTCTTAGCTTGTAATACTTTTAAACTTGTGTCTCGATTTTCATTGTTTAGTTTAATTTCATGGTCTAGCAATCTAGTTTTCACGAACGTCAAGTTTAAATTTTCTTCGGCTAAAGTTTCAATCGCAGTAATAACACTATTATAAGAGTTGGGTAGTGTCATGAATAAATGCGTTATTTTATCGTTCTCATTTAACGTTGCTCCCGCCGATACTAGTTCGCATATTAAACCATCAAAATTTTGAAAATGCTTTACTAATTGGTCTTCTTTAAACTTCATATTGAGAAGTTGTTTTCTCAAAGTTAACTGATTAGATGTACTATTTCGCTCATATATCAAATCTAATTTATTGAAAATGTCTTTAGCTGACGATTGTTCAGTAACTAAACCGAGTAAGGTGTCTGATAAATATTCTACCAAAATATTTTTCGCTATTTTGACACTTTTAATCCACTCAGTATTAGGTTCGTTTGGCGATTCTTCATCGATCACATGAAGTACATTAAGTTCACTTAATAGATTACGAATTCTTAATTTCCAAACACTATATCTTTCACCGTCGAATTGTTTAATGTTCCGTTTCAAGTTGGAGCTGTCCATTTTCACTGATTTTAATTTCACAGTATATTTATAAAAATAAAGTCACTTAAAATTTATTAATTGTCTTTTAAAAGTATTTACGATACTTCTAACAATTATTATTAATTACACTGTACTTTACTGCACTGCACTGGTGCACTGGTGCACTGGTGCACTGGGCCCATAACCTGTTAGGTTTGGGTTGATGAAATAAAACTAAGTTTATTTATCAAATAGCAGAGGTGGAATTTATTATTTTACTTTAGGAGGTGTGTGTTGCCTGAAGGCGTTAGCAGAACCGAATGAGGGCGAGATGCAAACATCTCAGTGAGGGTTAGCTGGCCACTTAAGGCACTTATAATAGTGGCGTGAGAATAATGAGTAGATTGATTTTTGTTATTCCAACACTTATGCGTAATAGTAAAATTATATTTCGAACGCGTTTGTGGGTCTGATGGTATCATCTATTAAGTCTTTATTACGGAGACTTTATGACAAGTAGTAGGTACTTAGGTACTAGTAAATGTACGAGTATTTTAATATCATACTAACAAGAAATTCGTTATATTTAGTCAAGTGTGAGGTTTTATTATTATTTGATGACAGCAGTTCGCATACGAACTCAACTTTAATATAAAAAGTATAATTGTCGAGTTTCAAATAACAAGATATCGTGTTCGGTCGAATTACTAAACACAAGCGCGTGCGACGCGATCACGGTTAGGTAGGTACTGTTTAAATGTCAAACTGATTTATTTTTACTACAGATAATAAACATTACCAATGAATGTTGTATTTTCTAGCTTCAATTGATTTATTAAATAGTTCTTGTTTCATTCGTTTTTGAATGTCATAAACTTTGCTGTCTCCAATCGTAAATATCTATGTAGAATTATAGTTGAGTGTCTAGTTTAGGTTAGGTTAGTTTTCCTACGCAAGAAATTCTTGTTAGTTGTTTTTTTTAATAAACATCTTATTACGGCGATGTAATGTAGCTATCAAAATATATATCTATACACCCGGGTCGACGGGAGTGATACCACGGCGTCACAGAAATCCGGCGTGAAACACCTGCGTGGAACAACACTAACGTTGTGTTTTGCTCTCTGATCGAGGTTACGGGTGGCCCAATCGCCTCCCATCCATGGGCGGCGCTGATAGCTTACCACCAACATGTGTTAGCGACCCATCTGCTATTTGCCGACCTATCCTATGTTTACATAATACACAAAACTAACTTCTCATTAATAATAGGCCCTCTTTTTGTGAGGGTAAAATCATCAAATTATTTCTTCCGCCCAGGGTTTGGCGGGAGGGAGTGTCAGACTCGTAATTACTGTCTAAAAACCCCCCGTTGCGTTGCTTCGGATTCGAGATTTGCATAATATCTACACCAAGCTCTGGGCTAGGAGATTGCATTTAAAAAAGTTAATCATGACCTCGCTTGGTCTGAGAATCCTCTATTTTTTGAGGGGAACTTGACTCTTTGTTCCCTAAAGGTTTATCCTCTGACAAACTAGACGAGAGAATAAGAGCTAGAGAGCCGTACTTATTCTATAAAATATTCAGTGTCGTAAGCTTGTTTGTTTTAACGCGCAAATCTCCGGAACTACTGATTCGAATTGAACAATTCTTTTCGTCTTTGTTAGGCCATTTATCGAGGAAGACTATATACTATAAAACATCACGCTACGATACGTAGAAGCCGAACAGCAGGTGAAACCGCGGGACAGTAGCTAGTTATTTAAATAAAGACTCTTATTCCAGCTCCCCAATTCCTCCGAACGTGACTGATTCTAAGATGTGGGATGAGCTGCCGTGCTTCAATTCTTCTACCGCGGAGCACACCGGGTATACCCGTCTGGACACTTACCGGGTAGCTCTGCTCACATTCGTCGCAGCCATGGGTCCCTTCGTCTTCTTCAACGTTCAGAAGACCAAGTACCTGCAGCTGTTTACCTCGGGCATGCGGTGGTTGGGTAAGTGTCCTTCATCATCATGTAATAATCATCATCATTATCAGCCTATAAATGCCCACTGCTAAGCAAAGGTCTCTTCTCACCCGGAGAAGGTTTGAACACTAATCACTACGCTTGCCCATGGCGGATTGGAGATTTCCAACTTATAATTAAGTCCAATTTTCCTCACGATGTTTTCCTTCGCCGTATGTCAGTGGTGTTTAAATTGTCATTGAAAGTACCTACTTATAATTCGAAAAAAAACACAATGGTACTTGCCAGGTATCTAACCCACACTCTCATGCATCCAGTGAGAAGCTTTAACCTACGGGCCACGACTACCATACGCTAATAAAATATGAAAATATCTCATGTAATAATGATATTATAAAATAGCTTTATCTATTCCACAAAAATATCAATCATGTAGCACAAAATCATCTTATACGGCTTTCAGATTGTTCTGCTGAAAGCGATCTGAATCTGCATCATATCTCCTTACTGACGCAAAAAATTTTCAAAAACCTACATGTGTACTGTGTACGGCTTATTCGAAATCAATTTTCTGTCTTTGAGTGTTAAGAAAAGCAGACCTAGATATTAAGCAACATAACATTTTTTTTATACAAAAGTTAGAAGTCAATTCGGGTGTCTAAAACGTTGATAAAATTATTAGGTACCTTCTTAAATATTTTCGATTAGATTCTGCTATATTGTTGCCGACTGTTACTTTTGATTCCGTGCGAGATTTTTTTTCTGTTCATTTACATTTAACAAGCGATGGAAGTACCTACATATGAGATAAAAATAAATAACTTTATGTACTTACTGTTTACATATTATTATTAATTGAGAGATAACAAACAGGCCTATATATCGATACCTATAAGTATGTGCCCTGCAACGAACGCGTTTGCATGCCACTATTAGCAACATTATCGTGTTAATTAAAATTATACAGAAAATGTGTAAGTTATGTAATGCTATCGCAAATAATGTTATAAAATTGATAAGTATCACTCATACATTTAGGTAGATTTGCAGCGTGGACCGTGTGGTTCGTTCATTGTTTAGTTTGTCCAATTTTGGGCGTACCTAAATGATAAAATAATTCATTTAGAGATTAAAACATTGGATATAAATGAATACTAGTATTATTATGCGCTACTACGCTTATTTGAAATGCCGTCATAAAAATTGGATCGATAATATCGAACCAACACTCTATTTGTTTCCTAAAAATAAGATAATCTAATTTGATCGATCGATCGAAATTGAATCGATGCTACTTATTTCGATTTGGAGGAGGCCTTCAAAATGCATCCAGATTATTTTTTAGGAAACACAAAGAGTTTGAGGTATTCTTATTACAAAAATATAAAATTATCAATAAATATAAAAATATAAAGGGGCACTAAGCCATGGCCCTAAAAGTGCATAGGATAGGACCCAAGTTTGGAGCTATTGACCTGTCAGGCTCAAATATGAAACTGCATGTTCCTGATATATTCAATACTAGTGCAGTGATAGCCCACTTAATGCATTCGCGCCAATTACCAATTGACAAAGAAATAAATATGGCGGATGACACAATAACGAGAGCAATCAGCACGTTGTCGTTGAGTGAGGTATGGCTAGTCTGGATGTACCTACTGTAGTAGTACTGTTTATTGTATTTTTTATTTGTTTATATAAAACTTTGACCTCTCATTAGGTTTTTCTCCTCTGTCGTGGGCGCGTTTACAAATATACAATTTCAAATACATATCACGCCCTGACCCAGAATAACATTTTGTAAATCACACTAAGAGTTGTTTCTTGCGGGAGTCGGTCCCACGACACGTTGCACCCTGGTCACCCAGATACTGCGCCAACTATGCAGTTATACTTACCCCAGATTTAGTACGTAGTAATACGTTGGTAAACTTAGTTATCATTTTCTAAAAATGTTAAATATAATTTTTTTGGCGAAAGGATGTTAGATAATAAATAAGCTCTTATTTGAATTTAATATTTTTGTTTCTTTTGTTTTTCAGCATTCACAATAATGATCTCAATGGCGATCCATCTGCTGGTGGGGCGCGGGCCGCAGGGCCACCCGCCCCCCTTCGACGTGACGGGCATGCCCACGCTGTTCGGCGCCTGCGTGTACTCGTTCATGTGCCACCACTCCCTGCCCGGCCTCATCGCGCCCATCCGCGGCAAGACGAGGCTCGGCCTACATCTGTTCTTCGACTACGCTCTCATCGCCATCTTTTACCTGCTCCTTGCGTTCACTGGCGCCTTCGCTTTCGCACAACTAAACGACTTATACACCCTTAACTTCATCCCAGCAGACAACGACAACATATTCCTAGAAGTCATCGAATATTTCCTCGCACTGTTCCCAGTCTTCACTCTGTCGACCAGCTTCCCAATCATTGCCATAACTCTAAGAAACAATTTACAAAGTCTCTTCCTAGACACTTCAAGACTTGAATCGTACAATTTTATTTTGAGGAGAGTAATATTTCCGATCGTAACTGTGGTTCCTCCAATATTGCTTACTTATTACTTAGAAGATATAAGTATTCTGATCGAATTCACGGGCTCGTACGCTGGGACGGGCATCCAGTACTTTATTCCAACGTTCTTAGTGGTGTCTGCGAGGCGCCACTGCACTAACTTGCTAGGGTTAGGAGTAGTCAATAAGTATAAAAGTCCATTTTCCCACGTCGCGTGGGCGATCTTTGTCCTCCTGTGGTCATTTGTGTGTATAATTTTAGTGTCAGTTAACATATTCGAGAAGAACTCATGACATTAATTGTACAATATTGCAAAAAGCAGATTTTGTTATGAAAAGGAGAAATGGATAGTAATCAGAGTGAGTATACAGGCAGGTTGCTTAGATCTAAACTGAATAGGATAAGTTTTTTAATGTCTAATTACTGTTTTTAACTAAATCCAATTATTCGCTAACTCGGTGTATGCGTGAGAAGTCTGGTAAAACGACAATATATTCCTTGTGTGTTCATATTTTTATCCTCCGCTGTGCGTTCGACAATACTGATTAATTTTTACCTGTATAAGGTTGTCGTGGGCACAGCCATTCTATTTTTGTATCAACATTTGCCATAATTCATATTTGATCCATATCGGTATCAACTTTTAAAATTTATTAAAAATAAATTGTTAACTTCCATTTATTTCGGATATTTCTATTAATACTAACTATTGAGTTTCATAAAATAAACCAACAAAATTTAATTTTATTATCGTTAAAATAAGACCCGTAAACTAATACATTTGAATCAATTTCCTGACATTCCAAATATAACAAAGGCATTTGTTCTTTTTTTAAATCTTTTTCCAATATTTTTTTTTTTATTAAAATACTAATTATTCTTATGGATTTAGAATCATGTTTTTTGCTACCTATAATGTTACTTAAATCCCAAAGAATAAATTCCTACGCTTTATGCACGCTTTATTTATAAATGATTTTTTTGATTTTGATAATAACCAATGTAATCTTACATTTTTATTACATTTTACTTCAGTTTCGCACAAGTATGTAAGTACATAATATATGGGTTGTTGACTTATTTAGGTGTTTACCTATCCTAATAACGATTATGAGCCAAATAATATATACGAATAATAAATGTTTTAGTAAATAGTATGTATAAAATGTTGTATTTCTGTGTAGATGTTTAATAAATATGTGATTCTAGATATAAACAATGTGAAATCAATTATTGCGTAATTATTCAATGTTAATTAAAAGTAAGTACTTAAATTCATGACAATTCACAAAAAATGTGCAGGTTAATTTAGTCATGACATCTTTTTTTTATATTTTTGTAAAGATTACACAACTCCAAGTATAATAATGTTTTATACACAAATATTTTATTCACATGCATTTTATTAATTTAAATAATGTATTAATTAGTTTAGATAAAGCAATGCATTGCTTCTATTTTAATTTTATTTACATTTTTATGAGAGTAAGTATTTTTGTAATCGCTAGGTTTTATATTTGATTTTGAATGTAATGGTGCCAAATCAATGATTATTAATTAATTCGTATGTTTTTGCTGTGTACGTAAATGTATTAAATGTCTTTTTTTATAATTTTCACACACATTGTTTTATATTTTCAATGTGATAAACAAACAATTATATAATAAATGTATTATATTTAAATAACGAGTTTATTAAATCGACTGAATCATTGATAATTTTATTAGCAGTACAAAATATTTTTATATTAAAAATAAATTAACCGAGCGTGTTCAATTTCTTTTGTTTTATTTATCTTCCCTGTAGACCGGCCAGTCTTCAACTCCACTATTCATCTTTTATTCATAACTAGCTGACTCGGCAAACTTTGTACCGCCTGTTTTTATTTTAAACCTTTGTATATCCAGAAATATATCAAGATCACAATAAGCCATGTCTGTCCTGCCTTTCTCGAGTTTTAGTTAAGACTTACGAACAGCATTTCATTTTTATATGTAACAAAGAAGATAGGTAATTGAGATTTACTGGTTATGCGCCATTAATCACGAGCACTTCCCGAGGATCACCTCGTAAAAACTACATAGGTATGTAACACTGCATCCATCAGGATGCAGTGTTACATAGGTATGTAACACTGCATCCTGATGGATGCAGTGTAGTTTTTTATATTAAATCGTCGGACTCTGAGGGTCTGCAACACAAGTTACCGTTACACAAAAACAAGTTAGGTACTACCTACAACAGCCAGCCCTTTGGTTTGCGAAAGTTAGATCAATTTTGACACAATGTATTTTCAATTTTTTCTCAAATACCGAGGTGGTGAGAAAAAATGGAATATTACACATATTACATTTTGTAATATCGAGGGCACGGTACAACAAAAATTGTGTTCCCCCCTTAGTCCTTGTCTGTAGTGGGTGTCCTTGGCCTGAAAACCTTTGACGGCAACCAATAACTTCCGTACAGGACAAGTTTCGCACTATTATTGATTGACTATCGCAAAAATGTTGAGTATTTTTCAAAACCACCTCGTGCTTCGATACCTACTTTATAGATGTGAAAGAATAGTCCAGAGTGATTGACTGAAATGGGCCCATAAAATAGTTGCGACATGGATTACGATATTCTCTTCTGCCTTCTACTCATTGTAAACTGGGTGCCATGAAATGGTAATTTGAGTTCAGGAAAAAGATAGAATTCCATATCTGGCGAATATGGTGGCTGCTCGATGGTATTTGTTGAGTGTTAGGTCAAAAATTCGTTCACAATGATGGCCTTCGGAGCAGCAACAGATATGGGTCCAGCCGAATTCTATCTTTTTCCTGAACTCAAATTACCACTTCATGGCACCAGTTTACAATCAGTAGAAGACAGAGGAGAATATCGTAATGCTCTTTGCTCTTCAGATATAAAGAGTTTTGATAATAAAGCGGGCGGAGGAAATTTTATATTTCCCACGGTACACCCAGGTGAACCAAGGTGAACAGTAGGAAAAAAACTTCCCGCTGCACACCTAGGTGGTAGATTCTAGATATAAACAAAGTGAAATCAATTATTGCGTAATTATTCAATGTTAATTAAAAGTACTTAAATTCATGACAATTCATAAAAATGTGCAGGTTAATTTAGTCATGACATCTCTTTTTTTATATTTTTGTAAAGATTACACAACTCCAAGTATAATAATGTTTTATACACAAATATTTTATTCACGTGCATTTTATTAATTTAAATAATGTATTAATTAATTTAGATAAAGCAATGCATTGCTTCTATTTTAATTTTATTTACATTTTAATGAGAGTAGGTATTTTTGTAATCGGTAGGTTTTATATTTGATTTTGAATGTAATGGTGCCAAATCAATGATTATTAATTAATTCGTATGTTTTTGCTGTGTACGTAAATGTATTAAATGTCTTTTATTATAATTTTCATTTGTCTTTGTATATTTCTTTTATTATATTTTCAATGTGATAAACAAACAATTATAATATAAATGTATTATATTTAAATAACGAGTTTATTAAATCGACTGAATCATTGATGATTTTATTAGCAGTACAAAATATTTTTATATTAAAAATAAATTAACCGAGCGTGTTCAATTTCTTTTGTTTTATTTATCTTCCCTGTAGACCGGCCAGTCTTCAATTTCACTATTCATCTTTTATTCATAACTAGCTGACTCGGCAAACTTTTGTTTTTATTTTAAACCTTTGTATATCCAGAAATATTTTAAGATCACAATAAGCCATATCTGTCCTGCCTTTCTCGAGATTTTGTTGAGACTAACGAACAGCATTTCATTTTTATATGTAACAAAGAAGATAGGTAATTGAGATTTACTGGTTGTGCGCCATTAATCACGAGCACCCCCTGAGATGATGGATGCAGTGTACCTACAGTGCGGCCGACGTATCTTGGCGAGTCTGAAGTTAGCCGTTTGTCTGCGCAATGGATCTTTGAGGAACAAAATTGTGTACTGCGCAGCTAATCGGCTAACTTCAGACTCGCCAAGATACGTTGGCTGCACTGTACCTATGTAGTTTCTTATACTAAATCGTCGGACTCGAACGGTCTGCCATACAAGTTCTACCTACAACAGCCAGCCCTTTGGTTTCCGAAACGTAGATCTAGGCACCTTAGACACAATGTATTTTCTATTGTTTCTCAAATACCGAGGTATAGATGAGAGGTTAATGTTCAATGATGATGAGAAAAAATGAATATATTATCATTATTACATTTTGTAATATCGAGGGCACGTACAATGGCAAGGGCAATACATCCTTCTTGTTCATATGGGTGTCCTTGGCCTGAAAATCTTTGACGGAAATTAATAGCTTCCCATTAGGACAAGTTTCGAACTATTATCGATTGACTACTAACCACAAAATCTAACGATGTCTCAAAACACAAGAAGGCATCGCAAAAATGTTGAGTATTTTTCAAAACCTCCTCATGCTTCGGTACCTACTTAGATAGATGTAAAAGAATAGGCTAGAGTGATTGACTGAAATGGGTCCATAAAATAGTTGCGACGTGGATTACTTTATACGACTCCAGTATTTATTTACATCATACCACCTGTTGAGGTGTAGATGGCTATTGATGAAGAGCACAATATGGCTGATCATCGACCTCTTGTAGGGTAAGACTTGGAGAGGATAGAAAGGACTGGCTTAGGGCCTAAATAAAATAATTATAACACATTTTTTATTATAGTAATCCTGGTGACGTTTATGAGCATAGACAGACGACACCTTCGCCTTTCAGTGAGTAGATAATAAATAAAAAAGACACGAGTAATGTTGAAGAATTATTTATTTTTCATCATTATACATAGTTGTCACTTATCTCGCGTACACAAGCGACAAAAGCCTTCCATAGCTCAATTGACTTTGGCATGAAGTTACATTGTATTTGTGCTGCCGCCGGCGCGGCGTGGGCCGTATGGTTTAATACTATAAGCACTAACGAGGAAGATTTTTTTTCTAAAACAAGATTGAATAGAAAATTAAAACTATTTTCCAAAATATCTCACTAACAAGCGCGAATCACTGGATAGCACTTTAAATTTTTTATATTGTTTATATAAATTTTCGGGAAATGTTAAATACAAACTAATAACGTGGATATCACTGTAAGTAAGAAATTACTTTTGTGACGCTCGTATTTGGTGAGGAAATGAAATTCCAAACATGTACATGCACTAAAGCTAATAGTGTAATGATGTAATTACGTTGATACACTGGTAACAAGAAAACAACAACAACATAGTGGACACCTAAAGAGTCGCGTCGAGCTCGCTGCTGCTGCCGACTTCGCTAGTTATGTACTGTCTGCCGGGACTGCGCCGGAACACCACGACCAAACTACATCACTTTACCATACAAATCATATTCCCGCAATATAAAACAAAAATAAAATAAAAACAAAACTATAATTACATAAAATGAGTGAATGCATTTTTACATACAACATTACATACATAAAATAGACATCGATGAGATACTCGTAATACTCGCACACATCTCTAGCCTGGTACGTAGGGGCTTCGTAATATTAAACAATATTGGAATCGGGAACAAAATGTTCTAGACGTTATATCTAAGTAATCTGTCTTTATTGTAAAATATTATATTAATATTAGTGTAGGTAGCAAATATTCCAATGACAGCAAAAAGCTTCGCTTCGTAAAAAGTATGCAATTTCAATAAGTACTCATAATCTAAACATTATAACGTCGAATGTTGAATTAAAAGTAGACATTACTTTGTAACAAATAAATAATATTAATCTATGCATTAATAAATCTAAGAATCATACCATTCGCATAAGATCGAACATTTCATTTAGAATTTGATTATCATTAATTTTATAGGGACCGGTCGGATTCATATCATCAGGTGATATGAACAACTAGCCCGACTACCGCATGCATAGCGTGGCACTGGCCTCGCTATAACGAGGGCGGCGGCACGCTGATGTCGTGCCGCCGCAGCGCCGCGCGGAAGCTCTCCAGCGACGAGCGCAGCGTCAGGCAGAACCCGCGCGACGCCGGCACCAGCGGGAACTCGGGCGCCTCGCTGGGCTCCGCGGCCGGGGCTCCGCCCTCCGCGCCGCCCGACAGCCGCACGAGCCCCTCGAGGCGCGTGCACAGCGGCCCGGCCGCGCTGCGCATGTGCGTCAGTATCTCGGCGCGGAATGGCTCGGGCGGGTTCATCAACATCTTCGTCATCGACTGTACCAGCTTCAGCAGCACCATTTCGTTATACATGCGAGAGTTCTCTTTGCCCTGCTGAGTACCTGGAACAGACAGACAAACGAAAACATTAACAAACCATAAAAAATCAAAGATAAAAAGTATCACTTGATAATGACGCAACTCTATCAAGTGTTACATACCCTTCTGTTTCTCATATCCCGCCTCATTGAAGTAGGGCTCCGCATTGAGTATGAGCCCTTGCAGCGACACGATCACTTGTAGTAGAGAGCTGTCCTTGCCCCATACCTCGACGCCGCGCCCCGACCATGTGCCCAGGAGAGATACGCACACCTGGAAAGGAAGTAATTTATTAAAGGATATAAGGACGATAATCTACCGAACATTTTTATGTTCATTTATAAATAACGGTGCTAACGAAGCTAAAGGTTTTGTAACATCATCCAAATCATACAGGTCTCATAGAGATTAAAATACTGATGTTTCAAAGTACTTGTTTGTGGATTAACTAGATTCCGTTCGCGGCATCGCACGCGTATAAAAGTAATATATCCCGGGATTTTAAAAACAGGAGCATTTAAAGCGATGATAGCCCGACTAAAATAAGCAAATCAAGTATAATTTATAGCCCTCAAAAAATCGGTTCCAAATATTACAGATTAGATTGAAACAAAATGCATTTACTCCAAACCCTCATATAATACATAAGTTAAGCCAATTTAGGTTTTTAAGAACGCAGTAAACTTAACTGTCACACGATAGATTATCATTATTTTGTTTCGATAGTTTATATATACTAATATTATTAAAGCCCTATACAATTGTATAATGTAGCTGTTGATTCACCATTTATTAAATAAATAAATAAATAAATAAAGCTGAAGCTCAGGAACTACTGGTTCGAATTGAAAAAATATTTTTGTGCTGAATAGATTATAGATTATTTATCGAGAAAGGCTAGGCTATATAACATCACGCTGTCTGTAGGAGTTGAGCAGCGGGTAAAACCGCGCGAGAGTAGCAAGTCTATACTAATATTATAAAGAGGTAAAGTTTGTATGTAGGGGGTAATCTTTGGAACCGCTGGTCGGATTTACAAAATTTTTTCACTGATAGATAGGTACAATGTTCCTGAGTGCTATAGGCTATAAAACATCACGCTACGATTAAAAGGAGCTGAGCAGCGAGTGAAACCGCGCGAGATTAGCTAGTATGAAATAAATAAGAAAAACAGTGAAAGTTCCTTACCTTGCCATCTTCATACAGGTTGGGATTGAGCCTATCAGTACAGTATGAGTGGTAGTGGCAGAGTGGAGGGGCGCGCGGGTACTCGCCGCCGAGCTGTACGTCGAACACAAACAGTCCGCCCTCGTATGGGGTCTTTGTAGGGCCGGCGATCATCACCGATAGCAGGTCGATACGATCCTCGTAGCCACGGACCCATACCTGCAATAATCGTAAAACAAGTCAAAATATTTACAAATATTAAGGGGAATGTTTCAAGGCAGCCTGCGAAATTTTAAAATTATTTTTTGCATTTTGTAGCTTGGTATCAGATAGTATGATTATAAAACATAATTATTATTATTGCGACAATGAAAAATGAATCATACTTTTTTTCTTACGTTAAAAAAAAAACATTACCACTACTTTACGATTTTCTCATGTGTCGTGAGTGCCTTTACAAACGTACAATTTCACATACACACCAAACCCAGACCTGGTACAATAATTTGTGGATCACACAGAATTGTTCAAATTCCCTATTCTCAAACCCCGAACAACCCACAAGAGCAACGCACTTGAAGTAACTCCTTTAGTGCTGCGAGCAATGATATTATAATTGAAAAGGTGTCGATAGGTCATTAGCGCTCAGCAAGTGATACATTAAATTAAAATGTGGCTAACTAGCCGCACTTTTTCATATTTGTCTCTTTCTCACTCGCAATTGTTGAATCATGCTATCTCACTTTGACGTCTAATCATACGAGTTATTCTTGTGTGCATTAGTGTGCCGTTTTTGAAAACCGAATGTTGTTAATGTAACCTATCTACGCCATTTTAGATAATCTGACAGCTCGTTTGCCAAAATATGATATAAAAAAATACTCACGCCTGGCGGTAGATCGCTCTTGAGCAGTTTAATCTCCCTCTTGACAGCGGAGTAGAAGGTTCTAGGTTCGGAGGGCTGCAGCATGGAGAGTCGGAATCTATGGGCGGCTGGTGCAGACTCTAGTATGCAAAAACCTTCGCCGCCTTCCTTGTTCTCTAATGACACGGGGGGGTTGGCCGTGTCCATTTCTGCCTCCTCCGTACCTTCAGCCGTCGCCAGGGGCGCTGTTTCTGCACCTGCTGTGATTTGAAATATAATTATGACTAATGCAGTTTATAAGAAGCCGGTTAAAAAGTGTAAAAGTTGATTGATGTTACAATATTATACCGAATTATTGAAAATAAAAAATCTCGAATCGTGTAACAATTGAATGCCACAGCTTAGTGATACTGTCTGGTTTCGAAGGCGTTTTTTTACGTAAGGTTTTTACGTCCTCCTTTACTTTTCCAATCGCAATGATTTAGGTTTTATATTATTTAGCTTCTTTCAAATTAGTCAGTAAGGCCACCAGTAACCTCATTCACACGGCGAAACACAACGCTGTGGTTGTTTCACGCCGGTTTTCTGTGAGGCCGTGGTATCACTCCGGTCGAGCCAACCCATTCGTGCCGAAGCATGGCTCTCCCACACTGATTGCTTAACATCGGGTAAAACGTCTGCTCGTTTGCCGATGTGCACCATAAAAAATTGTTATGCAGAACATATTCGTCATACAAATGCACAAAAAAGGTTTTAGTGTTTGTACAATCCACTATTCACATAAATACAAACAACCATATAACCAAAGAGACATCTTACCGGGACCTTCAGTTTTCTGCGCAGTCGCGGTAGTGGCGTCCTTGACCTCAGCTACCTTGGACTCAGCCTTCTCTTCATCCGTGATGCTCACCACCAACGCACCGTACTGACTTTAATTGTAAACAAAAATTAGGAAACTTCATAAAAACAAAACAAAAATAGGCAAAGCAATCCAGTATACCCTGACTTCTATGCTGGATAGCTTTGTTTATTTTGAAAGATCAGCTTATAATGGCCAAACGTTAGTTCGTGCCGGGAAGGGGTCAACAAGAAGATAGGGTTAGTTCTGAAATAGTGATCAGGAAAATCCGCTCTCAAGAGAAAAAGAAATCCAGTATAACCTGACCTTTATGCTGGAAAGCTTTGTTTATTATGAAAGATCAGCTTATAATGGGATTATAAGGAAGAGGTATAAAAAAGAAGATAGGGTTAATTCTAAAAGATTGAACAGAATAATCTGCTTTCAAGAGAAGAGAAGAGAAAGTAAAGAGAATATTTAGTAGTTAGTAATCATTAAATTCGACTGAAACTACTCGTTTTTATTACATAATATTTAAACATGATCTTTCTGTCTATATTATGTATTTATATATACTATTATACTATATTTGCTTAACCAATTGAAGCTATCCAAATTGTTAAATATTAAATTAATCACAAAGAACATGAGATTGGATTGCAGATCACCTATTTAATGCATAGATCACATATTCAGAATATGGAAGAAACTTTTAGATTAAGATAAATTGAGTTGAAAGAGTAAAAAATACTAATAGGGGATCTCGAACTGTTCGACTTCATTTTCAACTTGTAAGATAAGGTTATTAATATCAATCTACATATCCAACGTTGTAAGTCAATAATCAAAATTATCTATAAGGTATTACGGGAAATCAAAGTGTAATCGACCATTAGTGGACTAATATTATGTAGTATCTGTTATTAACAGTACCATGCATATATATAACATACTGGGGAAATACAAGGTTACAACAACCGGGTTGATATTCGCTACGACGAAACGCGAGTAATACTATCGCCATATAAACAAATAGAGGCGGCAGAATTAGGAACTAATTTCAAATGTACTAAAATTGTCACATCATTGTCAAATGTCCTTAGAAAGCAGCGCCACCCTGAAACGCAAATACATGATTGTAACGGACAAGTTACTTGCCTTCCTTCATAGCGAATGAGTCCTAGGGATTGCAACACTTACATTAAACAAATATAAAAATAATCGGTAAACTATTGATATCGGGTTATATTGGAAATCAGAGAAATTAAGTTACCACTTTTTATCAGTCGACTACAGAACGAAATTAAAATAAATAATAAAGATAATAAATTATAAAATAACGCTAGCTATACAACAGAAAATTTAATGTAAAACATAAGCGTAGACTGGACAAGATGATGTGTAGATTCTGTAGATATTTGAGCTAGTTATGTCTGCTAGGTAGGAACAAATAATACCATTATGTTGTATTAAACTGACTTCTAATCATAATTCGCTGAAACTAACGAACAGTTGAAACAGTACTGGTGAGCTTATCAAATAATTCCAACCTTCCTAAAACATTTCTAGAAAAATCTATTTGAAATTTGTTCATTACCATTATAAACGAGTGCCTTTTTTGAACTTATTGTAAACACTTACTTAATATTTTATAGAAATAAGTTTTCATAAACTCTACAGTAAATAACTATTAATACGTGAGATTTATATTAATTTTAGACAAATCTTTTATCAGTTGAGTGTCAGTCTTTAAGTCGGTACTGCGGTACATCAGCGCGCTCGACCCCCGGTTGATATTTGAAATAATCTCACGTCACAACTAATTACGTGTTCTAATTTCCAATTAATACACCTCCGCCCAGAAAAATTGTTTATTTCTTGACATCACGGATGGCATTTTGAAATAACATAAAATACTTAGCAAAACGATGAATGGTATATTATAAACACTACTAATGAGGAACATAATATTAATGAACAAAAAATGATAAATGTTCAAGTTGAGATTAATTTGTTTAATATAAGTATTGATCTACGGGGAAGAAGGATACAAAGTAAAGTTCTATAACAATAACTTTCATACTGTGGCATATGATCAATAAGTGACAACATTCCAAGTCTTATGGCCAACCACATATTGACTTTAAATACTAGAAAAAAGAACTAACCAAAGAAAATAGCCATAATGGTAACAGACAAAAGACATTATTTTGACCAAAGATATTATTTTTGTTTTTATTGATTGTTCAAATGTAATCGTTATAAATCACAAACTAAAAATAATATTTTAACATCACTCCTGATACTCGTTGAAAATTTTACCTAATAGGTTTATATGCATAAAACCAATTAAAAATAATATAAGACTGAACAGAAAATTAAAAAAAAAAACGTATTTTTGTGGCACAATACATTCCTTATTAATGCCTCTTTCAATTCGTCGAGCATTCATATCGTCACAATAATATTATGATAATCAAATGCGTCGCCGGGCAGTATTGGAAACAGGCAACGGAACATACAAGCCAATATGCAGGCAGCCTACTTTTCCGAAAACATTAACATTTAAAGCGAGTGGGAATCATTCTCGTATTGTTTTGACATGATCCAAGCATTTATTGGAAATGCAACACTTTAGTAAGGATTGGTATACATATTTACAATATACACGAACATCCTGTACATGAGACCATAACGACACAGTACGACAAGCAAAAATAATATATACAAATAAATTAAACTATATACAAATACATATATAACATAAAAAAATCATTGGAAATCTGTACATGATAATGTCCAAGTGGAAACTCAGTTTTAAGATCGATTTTTAAAAGGAAAATATAACCCGGTAATCGTTAGTACAATTTACCGATAGATCGTATGAAGCAATAAAGTACATGTAGGCCATACCAATAAATATAGTTATGTGTAATGAGAAGTTAGTTATGTGTATGTTATGACACCAATACCTAATATGAATATAGAACATCTTTCATTTATCAGATAAACAAAAAACGACAATCGAAAAGTGATTTAAAAGCATACGTGAGATGGTTCATATTAAAACAATTTAGGTTAACAGCTGGGTATAATGTAATAACGAATTCTGGGCCGTACATAATAAAACTTTTATAAAATATTGTGAAGTTAAAGTAGTTGTTTAGTGATAAATGAACGATGTCCTAGAAGCTAGAGCGACAAAACATGTACAGAAGCCCAGAGATTATAAAGAAATGTAAATAAAAAACAATAAAGGAGGCTCACACTGAAAAGTGGTAGGCTAAGTTCTCCTCAGAGTTGTATGCGATTTTCACTAATCTGTTAAGGAAATCGGCCAACTCTTGCGGCCTTCTCCTGTGAAATAAATTATATGCCTTTAATATTATTCACTGATTCCTGTTGTGACAGAGAAGAGAAGTCTCTCAAACTAAATTAAAGTTAACATAGAGCTGCGTTAACATTTCTAGTATCTTTCAATACTGGTATTAAGTTGGTAAGGCCTATTCGTTGACGGTTGCTCTTAACTATATTATAATCTTGAGTCCTGAAAATAAATGCGTTATTATTAAATAGTTTATTGTGTGTGACTTACCGGCTGACTTCAGCATGTGCCTTGATGAGCTGAGCGTGTATGAGTGAGCACAGCTTGTAGCAGACGTTCTTGCTAAGACTGGGGTCGCCATCCGCTGTCTCCGTGGAGGCTGGCAATGTACAAATAACAACATATCAACATGCTATAGAAATCCAAACTAATATTATAAATGCGAAAGTAACTCTGTCTGTCTGTCTTTTCTTCACGCCTAAACTACTGAACCGATTTCTGTGAAATTTGGTACAGACATAGTTTAAAACTCGAGAAAGAACATTGGGTAGTTTTTATACCAAAATTCTGCAGGAAGTCACTATTAAGTCGCAAGAAAAAGCTAGCATTTGCCCGCGACTCCGTTCGTAAGTAAATATTCATCGTGGCTATGCAAGTATGGGAGAGCCAGGCCTTGGCACGAATGGGCTAGCTCAACCGGATTGATACCACGGCCTCAAAGAAAAACCGGCGTGAAACCACTATAGCGTTGTTTCGCCGTGTGAGGTTACCTGAAGTCAAATCCTTCTCCCCCAATCCTAAATTTCTGAAACTCTAATCCCCAAAAGGCCGGCAACGTACTCGTAACTCCTTTGGTGTTGACGGGGCATCGATTGATTACCATCAGATAATCTGTCTGCCTGTTTCCCAACTTATCACATACAAGGAAAGTGACTAACACAAAAAAAACAAGTCTTTAAAGTTGATAAAGGCTGCCTAGAACAGAGAATATGACCGAAAAAGGGATAGTCTATGTCCAGTACCGAATGATTCCAGAAGGAAATCATGACAATCAAGTATTAACATTAATATTACAATAGTACTTACGATTTTCACTAAGAGCTAATTCTTGTGTACATACAGCTGTGTCAGATCCGGTGGCCTGTGCAGCTTCTATATTCAAATGTAGTTGCTTCTTTGATACACTACACTCGACCTACAAAGGAGATAGTAACGTTATAGATTAGACAACACGTTCTGTGCCAACGACTCGCCCAAAGAGAATAAAAATCGTTGTGGTAATGTGTTAAGTTTTGAAATGTTTCGTAAGCCACGTTACACGTTATAATTCGTCATATATTTTTATTATATTCATTTATTATTTTTTGATATGGCAACATCCGAAAAAACAAAGACATTGAAAAAAATCGAGGAAAATAATCAGAAAATAACTTTCTTTGCTAGGAAAGCCGTGTTTATTAGAAAGCAAAGCATAGCTAACCTGCATAGGCTCAACAGTGACGTTCGACGTGATGATGGCCCGGGTGCCGTCGGGTTGTAGTGGTTTGTCGAGGTCTTCGTCCACCAGCATAGGGTCTGGGGGTGGGGATGGGGGCGCGGGAGGCGCTGCTGCAAGGTCCGCTGGGTCACTGGGGGCGAAGAGTCGCGCCAGTTGTTCGTGGACGCGTCGCTCGCCGGCCCGCGGAGTCACTGCGCCACGCTCACGTACGCGCTCCAAAAGACCCTGAGGAAACCACACACTATTGTAACACTACGTCGTTTACTTGGTATATATTTCACGGGAGACTTGGGACATGAACATGTATCCAATAATATTTACTAACAGAATGTCTTTATGATATAAAGATTCTGTGATATAATTCTACTTTTTCACGTGTTCCTCATAATTGGCGTAATTGAATCAAGTATCTGTTTTAGTTGTAATAATGTAATTTTGTAAGCTGTGAAGAACCTTTTAATAAATAAAATAAAAAAAAAATATTTGTACGTACATGTAACTTGTTTTTAGAGTGAAATAAATTACTTTTCTTTCTTTCTTTCAACTTTGCAATAAAACTTAATATAAAAAAATAAACGTATGCTATTCATTGATAAAATTTTAAACTTAACTTTCAAGTTTATCTATGTTATTTTTAAATTATAGTATGCTATTCGACGCAGAAATATATTGACGTGGCAAGTGCGTATCTCATACAAATTACGTACAACATGGCAACAGTATCATTTTTGAAATTTCGATAATAGTATTGAATTGGACTAGTTATCAAATACCGCAATTTAGAGATCTATAGCTCTTTTTAAACATAATATGAGTAGGAATTAAATGATAAAAACATGATCTTACCAAAAAGTGGTCTTCATGAAAGAAAGATGTACCCATGAGACGGTCTAAAAATCGGCAATCTTTGTACAAGTTTAACAGCTTGCGCATTATCTGGAAACAAACAATCATTCTAAGAAGCTTTTATGTTATACTTCTGAAACTTAACTTGTAAATATTTCACAGGATAAGAATAATATGGGAAGATAATATTTATTATTTCAGATATTATTTCTAGGTAGACACTATATAGAAAAAAATAGGGCAAAACAAAATAAAATGATTTTAAGTGTGATGAGGATCGGATTTCCTATGTGTTTATTGAGGGGCCAGGATTGCGCCCCCTTCTGTATGGTTTTCATCAATAAAGTTGTAAAATTCAATATTTTAGACAGTTAGTATCGAAAATGTAATCCCAACACACTGTATAGGCAAGCAAGTATGGCCAAGAGTTCAAAAATATAGATAACAAAATATATAAAACACAAAAATAAAATGTTTGTAACGATAGGTGTTACGTGTACAAAAAAAAAAAAAACGCTAGAAATACAATGAAATCAAAATGAGGAACCGCGAAGGTTTTTGGCAGCGTATACTTAATATGTAATTTTAAAGGTTTTTTATATCACATGGTGTAATTTCTTCAAAGGTCTTGGTTCCTTTAGAAAAAAAACAAATCTACTGATTTGTCCAAGTCCAGGGCGCTCGTAACGATCACTTTCAAGGTACTGCCCGACGCCGGCAAAAGTATCCTTCAACGTCATCAGTTGCATCCCGAAGCGAATGATATAGGATGCATCGGGATGCACAGGCGCCCAGTTCTGCCCATCGTTTGATATTATATAATTACACCGCTCTCAAACTCGAATGATGTGCACATGAACATGATACTTTTGAAATGAGCTCTAGTGGTAAGCATTGCATAAATTAGCGAAACTGGAAGAATAAACCACATCATCAAGTCGGCCGGAGTACTGCAACCATCACGTTCGAGCCACAAGCCGACAATGCATCCTCCGTGCTCACCGCGTCGCATGCCGAAGCATCCTTTCTGTCACCCCTCGCAGTCGTAAAGGAAAACTTTATAATATGAGCAACATGGCACGCGAGTCCTGTAATGGTCGGCCAGAGAAAGATACTTTTGCGAGGTCGGGGCAGGGTGTGGCGTGTCGCGGCCTACCTACCTCGTACGTCTCTAGCGCGGGCTCTTTGTGGAACCTGTCGTGCAGGTTGCAGACGCCGCCGAATAGGCGCTGCATGAGCGTCGTCACCGACGGCTTTAGCAGCGGGGGCACGCTCACCGACACGGACAGCGGCAGGGACCTTAACAGAGACAGGAGCTTTACCTCTTGGCTCTGTAATGTAGGGTGCTTAGCGAACATCTCCTCCAGTTTCCTCATGGCCACGCGGCCGCGCTCGATGTGCGCCGCCACGCGCGGCTCCAACAAGCGGGGCACGGCCCCCGCCCCCGCCGCCGCCGGCCCGGGCCCCGCCGAGCCCTCACCGCATGACCCGCACTCCACGCCGCCAACTGTGGATACAACCAGGACTGCTGTAATACCCCACATTTTCCCTGCATACTCCCTCCAGTAGTAGTAGGGTACCTGCGGCGGGCGCGAGGTCCGGCGGCGTGGCGGGCAGCGCGTCGGGCGTGCGCGGCTCGGGCTCGTGCGCCGAGCTCTGCGTCTCCCACGAGTCCTCGGACCCGGACCCTTCCGAGCCCCACAGCTCGCCTTCCTCACTGTCATACTCGCCAACCTGCCGAAAAAAGATTATAATCAGAATTCAGAGTATCATTCATTTTAGCCGAAGTTGCAAGGCAAACGCAATAAGGCACTGCGGCTTCGGTCTAGAGAAAAGGGACGGAGGCGTTTTGAGTCAGTAAGAATCTGACACTCTCTCTCGCCTCACTCTGGGCAGTAGAAGCCATTTAATAATTTTCCCTTCACAAAAAAGAGTAACATTCGTTAACTAGATTTTATTACGAATTTTAACCAATTACTTTTATTAAAATGTTTTTTTCTTATCCTTTATTGCAACCGATCATATTCTCATTACATTATCCAACAGTTCTCTAGCCAGAAAACTTTATGGCAATAAGCCTAGTTGTGTACTTTGTGTATGTACTAATCACTCACAGTCATGCTATTCTTTCAAGGTGACCATAAAACAATCTCATTTTTTACATAACCCCAACTCACCTTATATAGATCCTGTGGCCAGCACATACTAGTGTGTCCATCCACCCACCAAACTTTGACGCGCCCAGAGGGGAAGTTGTCTATCACCTTAAACATAAATAAATCACAACTAAAAATGAACGTGGCCCTCAAACGCGGCGAAAGAAAAATTATTCAGTATGACAATTTCTAGCAAATATTTTTTAATAAATTCGAAACACTACCAGCTCAACCGGAGTGATGCCATGGCTTCACAGAAAACCGACGTGAAACAACCATAGCGTTGTTTTTCGCCATGTGAGTGATTAAAGGAGGCCCAATCCTTCCCCTCCCCCTTCACTCATCAATCTTTAAATATCTGAAACCCGTATCCTCAAAAGGCCGGCAATGCACTCGTAACTCTTTTGGTGTTGCTGGTGTCCAAGGGTAGCGTCGATTGCTTACCATTAGGTAATGATCCTACTCGTTTGCCGACCTATCTCATAAAAAAATATATAATATAGTTTTTAACATTACCAATATATGTATATGAAATTTAAATGATAAAAACCTATCTAAATGGAGCCACAATCATTCCTCTTTATAGTCATTTGAAAAATGTAAGTCTCATTGTTTGTTTCGAACTAACCTGTCCAGCAGTACAGTTAGCATCCTCCCCTGTGAAGTTGGCGACCCTGATGACGACAGTGCCGGGCCGGTACTGGAAGTCAGGGTGGTCCTTCAGGTCGTACACGCTCACTTCACTCTCGTGTAACATTTGTGGCCTATGAAACATAAAATATCAGTTTAAATATGGATAAATTGCTTCTTGCAACTTTTCAAATACGCCAATTATACTAAAAACCATTTATTGTTTTTTTTTTATGTTGCCTTTACTAGGATTTTCTCCTGTGTCGTGGGTACGTTTACAAAGATACAATTTCGCATACACATTACACCCAGACCCGGAACAACAATTTGTGGATCAAACAAAGAGTTGTTCCGTGCGGGAATCGAGCCAGGGACACGATGTGCTGCTTTCACCGCGCCAACCGTGAAGCATTGTTGTAACAAACATTATTCAGGCTGGAGCCGAAACTTAACATTGTTTTACTAATTACTTTTGTTGTATTGTGGATCGTCCAAAGCCGTCATTATGTAGGGAAATTTGGTTTTACAAAATTCTTTAATTACTTTCAGATTTCAAAGCAAGTGTACATAAACCATGCCCACTACACGCAAACTGTAGACCGCGAACATTTTTGATACTTTTAATAACTTTAGAAGTTTTTCGTAACACTGGCAAATGTTTTTGGTAACTTAAAATTATCTTCACGACACGTATTATCGTATCGGATTTGTCGCATCTATTCAGTTTCATCTTGCATTATATAAAACATTTTTTGGTTATTTGATTGTCTGGCTGAATTGAAATAGTGGAACATTCAACATGCTATCTTCAGTACAAGATACATTTTAGGACTGTCTCTCTCTCTACGTGACCTGGAAATTTTCCACTATTAAAAGAGATAGAAATATGATTGTAACTTACACAGGTTCGTCAGCGCTGGTGTAGGTGCGGTACCAGTGCACGATGGCGGTCCTGCCGTGGTGGTCCACGCGCTGTACCACGCCGTACTCACGGTGCTTCAACTGAAACATAATAATATTATGAGATCGTTAAACTAAGTACAATCTTTGTTTAATAGACTTTCGACTTTATAACAAAGCATATAAGTTGTAAATCTATTAAAGATCTTCACAATTCAGTAATATGTTTGTTTTGGTACTATTTATGTAATATTCTCCTTTTTTGTCCAATCTGCCTTGCTGTGATATGCGCTCCCCCCAGATGTCGAGATGTCAGGATGGTGTCTAGTCGTTTGAATTTGAAACAAGAAGTCCATGAGCTCTTGTTGAAAGGTTTGGCAACCGCCTTATAAGTGAATATCAAATATGTTATTAATTATTATTTTTGAATTTAAATGTCTGTTTGCTTGCTTTTTACGCCAACCATTCGCTCATCTCTGCATCACCCAAAGCTCGACTGGTAGCCTAAGGCATTAAGTCCGCCTATGTAAACATTGTGAATAAAGTCGAAATAAATAAACAAAATAAAAACTAATACATTAATTTTCATACAAATTACTGACCTGTTGGTTTTCCTCGACATTGGCTGCTCCGCTGACTACAAAGTCACCAGGGAAGCACTCCTGCCCGTCTAAGTGGTGGATCGGATACAGTTGTGTGGATGGAATGCCCATTTCTATGGTGCCGTCCTGTGGAGAAGACAAATTGTCAAAATTCCCAAAGATGTGTAAAGCAAGATGAAGATGATAATCAAGTTGAAGTTTAAAACTAACTTTTAAAAAGAAATTGGTGTAAATGGACTCTGCAGTCATGTATTCGGATTAAAAAAGAGCAAGAGTGACAGAGCCAAACTTCGACAAGAGTAGGTCGGCTCGACGGGAATGAAAACCTCACAGAAAACCGGCGTGAAACAATGACAGAGTCCAATCCCTCTCCTTATCCCTTTCCGATCGTTAAAAATATCCGAAGCACATATCGCCAAAAGGCCGGCAACGCACTCATAACTCCTTTGGTGTTTTGCGGTAGTCCACGAGCCATAAAAAAGAGCACTTTTGTTCAATAGATATTGTTTGAGTCTTTTGGTGTCAGCCGATTGCTTGCCATCAGGTAATCCGTCTGAGAAATAGATCTGTTGTTTAATAGATGCTACCCAATTGTTGAGCAACGTACCTGCCAGACGACATTGGCGCGGCTGGTGGTGTGGAGGGTCTCGACGACGACGCGGTCCCCGGGGCGCGGCGGGGGCGCGGGGGGCGCGCGGCGCACGGTCCGCTTGAGGCGCTTGCCGCGCAGCAGGCGGACGGCCAGCTGCGGGGACCGCTTGCCGCGACCCGACGCCGCCGACGAGCACCGAGACGACCACGTCGCACCACTGACGTATACAATCTCACTGTACATGGCTCTTTACTACGTCACTATCAGTTTAACACTGGGGGCTACACTAACGGGAAATGCCGTTCATTATCGCGATAATCAATGAAATATAAACCTTACAGGCTGATTTTTCAACAGTCAGATTCATGCTATCTGAGGAATAAAATTGTTGCTGTCACTGTCTTATACAAAACGTTTTGACGCGACAGCATCATAATTATTCTCCAGGTAACTTTTATATAACCTTTGAAAAATTAGACCTAAATAATTTGTTTTGTGAACAAATTACACCTACGATTAACTTCCATTATTGCGATAATTAATGGCATTTCCCGTCAGTGTGGCCCCAGCATAAAAGACACGCCACCACGTCAAGCGTGCCTAAACTGTCAAATGACTGCAAAAGATTTTCTATTTTGTTTTGCTTGTTAAGGACTGATTTATCAATGGTTAAATAAAAGTTATCTGGGGGATAATTATGATGTTGTCGCGTTAGAATGTTTGTATGAGACAGTGACAGCAACAATTTTATTCCTCAGATAACATTTATCTGAAAAATTTGACGGTTTAGTCAATGATGTATAAATCTATAGATACGTTGTCCGCGCTCTAAAATGACAACATAAAATGAAGGCAATTGACAACATCGCGCTTAGTTACGCACCAACCTGCAGCGCGACGCTACGTTTGTTTTTAATTTATATCGTGTGTGTAAACCTGTGCGAAACATAAGTAAAGCATGCCGTCGTGTGTGTTCAGACGATGTACAAATTATACTCCAAAAGTTAAAGACAAAAATGTGTCATTTCATGCGTAAGTTCACCAAACAACTTATTTTTATTTTATTTTTTTCGACGCCGGCGCCCGCCATCTTATGGCGGCCATCTTATGAAAATGTAGTTTTACTAATCCTGTGATGTAACTGAAGATGTATATTTATCTCCCTCTAGCAAAGGCATTCCACTATACGATGTCATATTTTCTTTCCCTTTCTTTACTAGTAGAAGTAGTTATCTAGTATTTTCGCCGTTTTTAAGCGCCGCGATGTTGGTTCATGACGTGTCTATATATAATACGTCATTGGGTTTAGTAGCTTGATTTTTTTTGCGTGCTGGTTTTTTTTAATCATTTAAACTAGTGTTCGACTGCAATCCCACCTGATGGCAGTGGCAGGGATGCAATCATTGATAGTAAGGCGCACTAGTTTATAGAGCCTATTCACTATTGAAGACACCTAAATCATAACTGGACGGGAAGATCGTTGGTGTCAAGGTATTTCATATTCTAGGTTTCGGTACGAATTTAAATTGTTGCATTCAAGGTTTAACACTTTCATTACTGCTATGATTTCCACAATGATATCTTTGATGCCGCCAATATCTCGTACATTTTACGTTGAACTCGCCAAGCGAGTCCACGGCGCTGGAATAAAATTTACGTGGACTCTCTGGGCGAGTCGGTGGTACTGATTTGTTAATGATATGAAGAACATGACGTTTGTGACGATATTCACCTGTCAGTATCACTGCCATCGCTGCTAGTGTTCTCCCAGTTATCGGAGTCGTCGTCGTTGAGCGCGGTATCCGACTTGCTGTCTCCATTAAGCAGCGAGGAGTCCTCTCGCGCCGGCTCAGGACTGCGGACGTGCCATCTAGTTAGTCCACATTGACCTCGTCAGATGAGCACACAACTAAACGTATCATGCCGTAAATAGCTATTGTTATATGCCATTACGATCCTTAACTTTATTATGTTTCATTTGTATATATAAATAAATTGTGCAACTATGACTACTAACGAGGTAAAGAAAATTAAAAGTTGTTCTGTAGATATTTCATTAATAGTAAAATACAAATAATAATAAATCATTATTTTATAACCTAAAATTATAACTAGTCTACAGCATCTGGTTGCTCCCATTAAACTAACATATAAAAAAATTGTGGTTAGAACCCAAGTTACTTGTAAAATAAAATGAAAGTTAGAATGCGTAGTATCACCCAAACACCCTATACATACATACACTATTTAAAACTCAAGAACGACTGAACCCATTTGGCTGAAAATTGGTAGGGAGAAAGCCAAGAACTGGGAGAAGGATATAGGGTAGGGTAGGGTAGAGCAGGTAGGTAGGGTAGAGTAGTTAGGTAGGTAGGGGAGGTATGACGGGACCTAAGCCACAGATAAAATGTAGCATAATATATAATAATACAAGCTTTAAGCACCCTTACAATCAGTAAACTACAACGAACCTGATTCCCGAATCATTTTTCTCTTCAGTGGCAGTGTCTTCCTGGGAGCTCGCCATTGGCAGGCAGACGTCGCCAATATTATCAATCTTGATGCTGGGGCAGGTCGCGTCCATCTTTAGAGCATCGTCTAAGGATTCCAGCTTGTCGTCTACTTGATCCACTTCCATGTCGTTCTGTGGGAAGAAGGTAGTTTCGTAAGCCAACAATTATAAATATAAAACTCAATGCCACTTTTCGTTGTAATGTAAGTCAACAATGCCTTGACTGATCTTGCTAATTTTGGTCTTGATATTGATGCGGGCGGCGCCGTGGCCGACCGCTAGTTATCTTATAGACAAAGATACGTCAAAGTGTTTTCTTTGCCGCTAAATTAGTTACGTTACACTCAGTCGACTGCGCGTTTTCGGTGCGTCGTTTCTTGCGCAATGTCCAGGTCTATTAGCCCCTGACGTGGCTTGAAACTAGTCGGATTACCACGACAGCTGTATTAATATGAATTCTTAGTACTAAGAAGCAAGATGTGGGTATAGGTACATAATTATGATAGACTACTTACGTCATTTGACTTGAGTTTCCGATGTGCCGAGGCGCGTTTCTTAGGCCGGGAGGGCACGTGGTCAGTCGAGTTGGTGTCGGTTTTCGAAGGCTTCTTTATCGGTTTTGTTTGCTTACGGAGATTCCTGTAGTATTTACCTGTAATCAAATAAATACTATTTAGATATTTTTCTTGGCTATTGTTAATTATCCTATGTGAATTGTTTTAAACAAAGAAATGACTTAACTATTCAGTTTATAGTAACAATGATCAAAAAGGTAGATCAGTTAGTTAGTTCTATGTATTTAAACAACTTGTATGATTTTATTTATATGCAATAATCGAAAAATAAAGGAATTCGGGCTAAAATAAAAAAGACCATCCTGTGAATAAGTATAAATATTCCACGTAGAATCGCTTATACGTGACAAAATTGAAAGGAAAGTTGGAATCTACAGTACAACAGTACAAGTATTTGTAAGAAAGTTATAAAGATAACATATATAGATAATATATTATAGTATATTTATATAAAAATAACTCACTTTGTTGTTTTCTCCATTGCTTCTTGCTTACAAAGGTGTCTTCAGGACCAATGGTGAGGAAGTTTCTGTCACCGACCTGCAGTGTGCATGGCTCGAATACATTTAGCAGCTTCAGATTCTTTAGATCTTCGCCTGGATAAGCAATCGATGTCTTGTTAATAATTAGCGATTAAAGCGTAAAATGTCACGACCTATATACTTAAGATGGTAAAAATACGTGCATCGTATAAGCTAAACTATTTTAGAGGTGGTTAACAGTTAGTTAAGCTATTAATTAATTATTATTATTACTAAAAGCATAAAATAGTTAAGGAAAAATATTCTAATGCGATGAATGCTTTGAGTTTAATTAATTTTTGTTACTACTTTGTCACTGTAGAATCAATAGTTTTCAGTGAGTTTTATTTCATCCTCTCTTCCTCATTACTACTGGTTCGAGTTAAATAATTATTTTTGCGATGGATAGTCCATTTATTAAGGCTAGAAAACATCGCGCGACAACCAATTGGAGCCAAACAGCGGGTGAAGCCGCGTAGGCGTAATAAGTTGGTGAATTTATCAGTATTATTTTCATCAGTATTATTATTATTCGTATTCAATTAGGTCAATTAAAACTATTGGTAATTATTTAAAAACATTTGAGAGAGGTTAAAAGTGCTGGTGTAGGCATATTATTTATCGATTGCGTATTTCAAGGGTCTAATGCATTAAGTATTTCATATTGTATCAATGTTCATTTTTCAAGGACCACTAAAAAGTTTGGATGTGTGCCAACAAGTTATAATTATTCAATAGTATGTGCTATGTGCATCTTTATGTGGAGTGCAACGGTTATTTTATATGATACTAGCGAATCGCCCCTGCTTCGCACGGGTCTAACGAATCACTATTCCCCCCCCCGCACCCTTCAAATTTTCTAACAATCCTTCTCCTGACAATAACAAACATAACAAAAAAAGAATTAGCAAAATTGGTTAAGGCGTTGTTGAGTTATGCGCTTACCAACACATTTTGCGATCCATTTTTATATATAAGATGATATGTATTTTTATTATAGCTTCATTGTATATCGAAATCTGATGAAATTCCTATTAAATGAGAGTAATTCAAAGATTATAATTTTACTTGTATACTGAGCTAGACTATCCAAATTGTTTAGTATTTTATGTGTACCATTACATTTTTTTTTCTGAAATCGTTTCAACAAAAAGAAATCTTTTATTCTCTGAAGGATTAGGTGCATAAAGGTTAGAGGTCCACAGATTACAATAGTAACACACATTTAATTTCAGTTATTGAGTTTTAGAATACCGGACTGCCATTTCTTTGCCACTAGATTTTTTTAAACAGTGAATTAAACGTGATACTTTTAGCTCGGTGGTCACGCTCTGAATAGGTCTGCTCATTGAAGCAGCCAAAGTAATCATTTTTAAGAAAATTCAGTAACATCAAGGTGGTCCAGAGGTTGAGGCGCCCGATACTTATGCAAGTACCAAAGTGACTTTTTCCGAGTTATATGAATATGAGTACTTCCTATGATTATTTAGATACCAACTGACATACCTGGACTTTAATTTCTAATTATAAGTTTGAAATCGGCAATCCGCCTTGAGCTAGCGTGGTGATTAATGTTAAAACCTTCTCCGTGTGAGAAGAGGCTGTGGCGACTCACACAGATTGACAACAATATACAACAGATGGCGTAACAATTTCTAAACCACGTGCAGTTTTCGCGCTAATAAACACGGATAAAAATCCCAACATACAACTTTTGGGCAGTCAGCGCCGCCCATGGACACCCGCAACGGAGGAGTTACCAGTGCGATGCCAACCTTTTAGGGATTAAGGATTTGGAGATTTAGGGACAAAGAATTGGGCCTCCGGTAACCTCACTCACACGGCGAAACACAACGCTGTGGTTGTTTCACGCCGGTTATCTGTAAGGCCGTGGTATCACTCCGATCGAGCCGGCCCATTCGTGCCGAAGCATTGCTCTCCCACACTATACACCCTGTTCTCTCATTAAAGACCTTTGCTCAGCAGTGGGGACTTATATGCTGCTGATGACGATATCTAGGAGTGAATTATCACAGTGCGCTTACCTTCGACTAAGAACTTGGGTTGCTGCGGCGTGGTGGGGTCTGTGGGGTTAGTGCACAGCGCGCGGCACTGCCAGTGAACGCTCACGCTCTCCGTCATCACCGCCTCCACAGTGAACTGGGAACAAACAGTTGACATTTGTTTAATGTTAACAACATTAGGTTTTTCGAAATATAAATCGTGACGTTTATGAATTGATTTTCTTTATCTAAGATAGTTTTTTTTTTTTGTATAGGTATGGACGTAAAATTTTTTCCTTTTAAAACGTTAGTTACTTTAATTTTTCACGCTTTTAAACATCCATTTTTAATTATAACTTTCGTGAGACATTCTAAATTATTTATTATGTTTTCGGCTTACTCACGTAATAATTTAAGAGAGTATAAAAGAATAATTGAAAAGAGTAGCAGCGCGACAGTCGCCGAGTCGGAACAAACATGGGCCTCTAGCATGCCTTGAAACTAGTCGAGTATGTCGTCAAATTATTACGTGAGTAAGCCGAAAACATAATAAATAATCCATTTTTAAGTGTGGGAGAGCCATGCTGCATCACGAACGGGTCAATTCGTCCGGGTTTCTGTACCGTAAACCGGCGTAGTACAACCGGCGGTGTGTTTTGTCGTATCAGTGAGGTTTCAGGAGGCCCAATCCTTACTCACTCAATCCCCAAATCTCCAAAACCTTATGCTACAAGAGGTTGGAAACGCACTCGTAACTCTTCCATTGTTGTGGGTTTCCATGGGCGGCGCTGGTTACTTACCATTAGGTAATTCAAAAAACATCCAAAATTTCATTATTTTTTCATTGTTCATCTATATCAGTCGTTATCGTTGAATTGACTTCATCATACTACACGATAATACGTGCGACCACAACGGATAATACTTTATGGATCACAATTCGTAATTTAATTACATCGTTTATTATCAAGGCAGACAGAGGACTATAGGCAGTTGACGTAGTGGCTGAGCAACGTATCGCTGGTAAGATTCCGCACAAAACCTTTTTTCTTAGAAAAGGTACAGACCTACTTCAGTTCTACATCTAGGAAAGATGACCAAATTAAACGATGGCCTACGAACAGTATTTGCTAATATATTTTGACTGCACAGTGGGTGCGGTGACTGGGCAACTGCCTGCCATGCAACAACTTTGTGTGATCCACAAATTGTTCCGCGTCTGGGTAGCTTGTGTATGTGAAATATATGCTTATCCCACCCACGACACAGGAGAAAATCAAAGTGTGGGGCAACGTTTTTTTTTAAAAGAAAGAAAAGAATAAAGAAAGAATGATAGTAGTGTAGTAATACCTTATGATCATGCATCTTATGTTTCCTGGCGGCTTTCATCTCCTTGGTAATGTGGAGCCAGTTGGCGGAATCGAGGGAGCCTAGCGGGCCGTACACCACCTGTCCGGGGTAGAACTCGGACGACGAGTAGGGGGTGGAGCGGCGGCGGCGCATGGAATAGTCTTCCAGGGGACACGTGTCCAGGTCGGGGTACTCGAGCCTGGAGCCCTCCGCCGACACGAGCCGGAGTTTGCTATGGACCGCCTGTAGAGGAAAAAAAATATAAACAATTATGTGTAAAACTGAGGATACTATATTAGTTTTACTAATGTCCTATGTCTCCAGCATTAGTATTCAAACGCGTTATTCCAAAAAACTTTAAGTGAGAAAAGCATTTCATTGCAAAGCATGTAAAAAGCGTTTATTGATGTTGTCTTTTTCTTGTGATACTCTATTATATCTCGGACACCATATTAATATCTGTTTTGGAAACCATTGCTTGTTAGATAAAGTTCATTTTATGAATTTGGCTATTTAATTAATTACAGAATTATGTATGTTTTTCCTATTTCCACCTATGTTTCCTATCGCGGAAACATCCATGGCAATAGCCTATCAGAATCATTTAAAAAACCTTTCAATGAATTATACATATATGGGATCATGTTATGTCTACTCACCTTAGAAGTCCCAACCCACGAATCAAGACAGACAGCTAAATCAGGAGTGAACTCCTCTAACGGCTGGAGTCTTTCGCTGGCAACACTCGGTATCACATGCTTGGTGCCCACAATCTGCAGGGCTGCGTTCATGATGATGTCTCTGCAGTAGCCTCTCTGTGTATCCTTGCCAGCAATCAGACGACGGACCACGTCGCCAGGCATCAACGAGCGGTCTGCTAAGCCAACCTGTTGTCATGTCAAAAAACATTGCAATTTGCAGTTAGTACCAGTAAGGTGTAAAGTTTTATTGTACTTGGGCCATGTTTGGCTCTCATACGGAATTTTTTGAGATTAGCAGTTGCAATAGCTTTGGTATCAATTTTATTATAACCCGCAACCATTATATTTTAACAGCTCAGCTGTCACCATCCTTTCATACTTATTTATATATTTTAAAGGTCTAAAGTAGTAAAATAAAAAATTAAATTGTTATAATAAAGTTGTTAAAGTTGCAGATTGCCAGGCATGAGGTTTGTATTTTCTGGCCTGAAAAATCTATAAAATTTTGACCTTTATAAAAAAGTAACTCCACCATATCTCTAGAGTAAAAAGGCAAAGTTAATTGAAAAGATTGCCAGTTGCAAGCAGTTATAAAATTGCTGTAAAACACACTTCAAATGGAACTAATACACTAGTTAAACTTAATAAATAAATATCAGTTTATTTGTGGTCCGCATTGTGTAAGGCTGCCATATATTTTTTTACCATATAACACAATTTTCTGTGTGGTAGACGGCCATTATATAGACATGCATAGTTTGTGAATTTAAAATTATAACTTTAACTTATAAATTAAAAGAAAAAGGCTAATTATTGTAAAGGTGCTGCAGAGAATTTTACTCACATCAGTTGTAATCAACATTTGTAGGTACATTTTCAGCTATCTCTCTAAATAATTTATGCCTGCAGTGTATTTTGTAGGCACACATGATAGGTATGAAAAATAATGTTAATAGTAAACTCACAAATTATCCCCCATTGTGTGTCAGAGTTAAGTATTCTCTAGCATTTCCATACCTACTTCAGACTTACAGGAAAATTCAAACAAAACAGATTTCATAAATATAAGGTTTTTTATCTCTATATCACTATTTCATATAATTTAAAAAAAACTATGAAAAAAAATATTTTGCTAAGCGTAAATCTTGAGAATAGTTGAACCAATTTCATTAATTCTTTATTTATTATCAGCAGTTAGTAGCCATAATATTTTTCTAGAAAAGTAGATGAGTAAATCAGGAAAATGCCTAAAAAGCTAATAATTTTCAGTCACTTTAAAGAAATTGAATCAAAAAATTAGGATTGAATTATTATATTGATTAACACATATTACACTTATATACATATATGAATATGCAGAGTATTAACATATAGTATTTATAAAAAAAAATATTACTGGAATTGTATCTACAAATGTTAATTGTAGTGTGGCTACAGAGTATGTTCTGCGACAATACCGAAATAATTAAAGCTGAACATTCACAAAAAATGCATATAGATTGCAACCATTAACTGTACTTATATAAAAATTAGTGGTATCATAATAAAGATATATAATGTGGTGTTACTGCAAAATGCAATAGAAGTTCTTATTTCTTTATTGATTATAAAACCAATAAAAAATTTGGTATCAATTATATAAACAGTATTGATGACTGTTCTGTAACCAGTATCTTATAATAATTATTTTCTTAACACATTAAGCGCCATGGGGGTCACCGGTGACCTCCGTTAGCGGAGGATTTGCCTTCAACATTTTTCTGTCGGCAGACAAAGGCTTAAATAATATATAAATGTGGTGCCTCACTACAATTTTCTCCTCCGCGATGGGTATACAAATCCACTGGTCCATTATTTGTTTAACATAAATAAAAAATATTTATCAAGCCTGTTACTCCTGTTAGAATGAATTGTTGGAGTATAGCATATCATACCAGTGCTTATTGGAACTATTTTACCAATATTTCAATATAAAATTACAAATTGCAGGAACATGTGCACCAATTTTATTATTAAAGACCATAACAATAGATTTAAGTTCATAATCAATATCTTAATATGATGGAATTGGATAATTTTTGTCCCCAATTACCTTTAACATTTGATTTAAAGTATTGTATCAATTATTTCAGTAGCTCAATTAGGGTGGGTTGCATTGCATGCTTCCTAAATAATTTATGTGTTGAGGGTAGACTTGTTTCCAATTGTGCTTAGACCTTGAATTACCCCTCTAGAACATGCTCAAGGGCATTCGATGTGTTGTTCGATTCAAATTAGCACTAGACCCAAACTTAGGGGTTGTTGTACTCCCGAGTATAAGTCTTATAGATTCTCAATTACGAGTACGGTGCGCAAGTGCCAAACACCGTAAGAGATTAAGTATCATATTTTGCAATTATCCTTGCTTACCGACTTCTCGGATATGACCCGCTCGGTGCCGGAAGGATGCCAGACAACGCGAATTTCGCCTTTTTGTATAGGAGTTTCAATGTCGCTCTCTTGATCGCTGGAGTTGGCTTCATAGTTCTCGAGTACCAGACCGAAGACCACTTGACCGCGATTGTTGATTTTATACACTTCATCCTCGTAAAAATATTGAAAGTCAGTCGGCGAACCTGGATTTTGCCCCGCCATATTGACGGGAATTATCTAAAGACACAAATAATTTTGTTTTTTACGTGATTATGTTCTTTCTGACAGCTGATTGCAATGTGTGGCGCATGCGTCAATAAATTATGCAAGGAAAACGCCATCTTGCGGGTTCAGTAGAAACTGTTGATGCGTTCCGTTTTACCTTGTTGTTATTTTAAATCTTATCTTATTTTGTTTATATTTTTAGCGTCTATAGATTAAAATATAATCTCGCGAAAACCAAGCGATTCGTTATCGCTGCAATATATTTTAGGCAGCTACCACTTGTTATAGATAGTACCTAAGATTAGATAAATAATGTTAGTTTTACACAAAACAAAACAATAGAAAACTAAGGCTTGATACCTTTACCTTTACCCTATTTTGGTTAATGATCAGCAACGGGCACACTGGTTTACGATAAAACTCCTCGTGGTTTTGGGAGAATAAGACAAAAAGTAACAAATAAAAGCATTCAGTTCAATAGAACAATGTTTTATAAATCATAGGTTCCTTTTCGTTCTTATTTTTCTTTACGAATCAATTTTGTAAAAGGCTTACCAAGTTTAGTAGAAAAGCAATTCAGATTCCATTGAGAGAGGGAATTTATGGTTTAAATTTGACATTGGACATAGGCATGGGTATATTCACTCACATTGTGACGCATGCCCTACCCCAATCACTATCTTTGTACCTATCCCAAAGTAGATCTTTGTCAGTCAAATTCAAGCGAGAAACTATGTATAAGAACGTAGTTTATTAGTTATTATAAGAGCTAATAAATTTCCTAATAACGTAGATAAGTAGATTTATATACAATCTTATTTTCGTTCTTTTAGTAAAATACAATAATAATTAATCGGTCGTTGACAGGATTTAAAAATAGAAAGATTGGATAACTATACAAATCAGTGTTAATATTTTTTTGTTTTGGAGATGCTACTATTGTATGTATGAATTTCCTTGTTGCGCTTTTTAATCCCTTAATAAGCACTAAACCCCAAAAAATATGACCTATAGGTAGTATACTTACCTGTATTAGCTTATTCATGCGTTGTGAATAAATAAATACTTCTACTTAACTAGGTAAGTACCTATTAAGTAGTTAGTACGCAATTTACCCGCAAATCGTACAAGTTCTCATGTGTGGCGCGTTATGTAATGTATGTATGGTAGAACTTTAAAGTAGGCCAAGTCATTTTTCGGACATTGACTGAGCCCCTGGCCCCTCCATTTGTTTTTAATAAGGAATTCTAATTAAATGTCAACATAGAATACCTACGTATACTTTACCCCGTTGTGCGTATTCAGTAAAATATCTTATAACGCATCGGATTTTTTATTACAACTATTACCTACTTATAGTTGTTTCGATCGATTCTCAGCGAAGCGAACATCGAGCACGTGTTACCCGCTTTAGTAGCAAAGTGACACAGCGTCACAGCGGAGTCCGCCATGGAACACAGCTGTGACGTTAGTCCGAGTGGCGGTTCAGGCGGTTCTATTCTCGCTGCCCGATCAATACAGCGTTATCAACATAACTGTGTAGGTGTTTACATGCGCGTAGTACCCACACAGCCTCGCTTGAATGAGGTTGTCGCGAGTGATAACGCCGCGCAGTAAATAAATCGTGTATTAATATTTTAAGGAAATGTGAACATATCTCGCAGCGAAATGCCGCTGCCAGAACTTTTGAAACGGGCCTCGAGCTACTTTCTCGGTTTGGAGTTCGATGATAACGAGGAACCCCCGGATTACGTCGACAACGAAATATTGTTTTGCAAGAATAATGTGTGCGTGCATCCGCCGACCGTAGCCAGGCATGAGCTGGACATCGTACACCACCCAGGGTACCTCACAGTCACCACCAAAGTATTTACTGATCAACACAATAACGCCAAACGACCCACGCTCTTCCTCAACTGGATTCCTAATTCTACATTGCGGAAATGTCCTTCGGCTGTAGAAACCAGTCCGAACGATGAGTTGGTGTGTTCAGGTAAACCGGCGAATCCAAAGGAAATACCTAAATCACGCAGTAACAGAAACAGCATTAAGTTGGATGCTAACAACGAACACGCATTCTCTGACTCTTCAGAGACTACAAGTTTGAATTCTAACTCTGATAAACAAAGCATAAAGTCGTCTGATACGAGGTTCACTCCTAATGATACGACTCAGGAGGAATTATCCTCAAGTTCTAAGCCTACAGTGAAGTCTATAGATTCCGTAAAGGATAATGTTTTCAATAGCTTTGAGAAGGACGAGTCCAGGGATGAGGTGTTTGTTTACGACAAACACGTGAGATCACAGTCAATGACGTCTGTTAACATCACAATAGCTAATCCAACAATAGAGAACGTAGATTTGACCCCTGACTCCGTGTCGGGGGACAGGTTTATTAGGTCACTGTCAATGAGTTCGTGTGACGAGGGTAACCCTAATTGGATGAGTACTCCGGAGTTTTTAGCTCTAAAACATAACTTGGTGTTTCCTGATAGTGTCCATAGTTCACCGGTGCCGCAACGACGAGCTCCTTTGAAATGTCGAAGGTGAGTGCTGTCCTAATATTTATTACCAACCTTTCCACATAACTTTAATGTTGCACTTTAGTTTAAATAATTACTAATGCGTTTACACATAAAAATACTGTGGCCCCATTCACATTTTATCCTTAAACAGGATCTGGGTCATCCAATGTTTGTAGTTTCCATAGGGCCGCTAAATTGCTTTTGTTATTGTCATTAGTTGAGCCATTTTACTGTATACTTAGGTAGTACAAGTGTCATAATCATAATACCGAGAAATCCCACAGCAGGTAAACCTTATGTTTTGCATGTTTTTTAAAGTTCTTACACAGATATTTGCTCATGTTGCGTCAGATGTAGGATTTTTTTGTCTTTACACATAGTACGTATTCTGGTTTCGAATTTTTCGTGGCATACAAGCTACAAAGTGCATTAGATATGGTAGTCGGTGTGAAGCTTGCTATCGTATAATCAATTTCTTTCTTTATTTATGATAAGAGAAACTTATTGTTTGTAAATCGTCAGTGTAGCACCCTGACGGATCTATTTGCCGGATTGTAATTATTAATAATTACCTACCTGAGTGCCAATTACCAACACATTGTTTTTGTAGCCATTTTTTTTAAGACGCTCTATAAAGCGTCTTTTTTATAAACTAGTACAAAAAGTATAAACACGACATCTAACTAAGATCAGCTTGATATCCAAGAAAAGTTTGAGATCCAATTAAGTATGCAGTGTGAAAACCAGAAATGTTTGTCCTCATTATTTATGGATAAGAAAACTGTACCTAATACACGGAGCTAGGGGATTATCCCTTTCGAAGCCAGCGAACCGTGACGGGTGAACATGAGTGTTCTTGATTAGCAATTATTATGGAACATTTTTCCAGTTTGATAGATGTAGTAAAATAATGTATATTTTTGCCTAAAGAATTAACGACTTTTATTTGTAGAGGACCTAAGATACGCCCCTGGGGTAAACTTTTGATATTAATGTTTTTTTACACAAGAGAAACTCGTAAATCTAATTTGTAATTTTCATTAGTTAACTTTCGGCATAATAATTACCTTTGACCGAACTGGGAGTTTTATATAAATAACATTTCGCTTGTAACTAAGAGGTTTAATAAATCCGAAGCACGCAAGGGCTCTCGAGGGACAGACGGCGACGGGTCGAGGACGCCCACCCTTCTGTCAATAGCTGTTGCTTGTCTGCTCGTGAAAATATCATTAAATCTTTTTCTTTTTATCCATCTACAGCGAAATAAGGACAAACGTTTTATTTTCATATCATACATTTATTCCTTGTGTATTTAGTAAATCAATTAACACAAAAACAGTTGTACAGCTATTTACTTCTTGAAAAAAAGGCTTTAAAGAGTATTATTTTTGAAGGAAATCATGAAAATTACCAGTGTTTGTTTATAAACTAAGTAATGTTTGTCATTACCAACTCAGCAGAAACGATTGAAAATAAATAATTATTTTGTTGATCATTAGCCACTATTTTCAGTGCAGTTCATTTTCGTTCCGTTATAAACAAAGAGTCAAGTTACAATATAACACCTCACGTTCATTACAATTATTTGCTGACGCCAATATTTAGAATAGTCAGTATCAATAATTAAACAGTGGCAAATACCACTGAATAATGTATTATCAATCTTAAAGAGGCGAAGGTGTCAATCCTAGCCTCGTCGATAGACAAACATATTATTATTAGTTTTTGTCCGCTACTCCGTTCGCGTGGAATAGTGACTTCTTGCAGATTTTTGGTATGCAAACTATCCTATGTCCTTTCTCGAGTTCCAAACTGTGTCTGCACCAAATTTTACAGAAATCGGTTCAGTAGTTTAGGCGTGAAGAAAAGACTGACAGAGTTACTTTCGTATTTATAATAGGTATTAGTTTGGATGGTGTGGTAAGTAAATGCAAAAAAAAGTACCCTTTTTCAAGCTTTCCTCGACTACAGCGTATCAACCTTCTCCGTGAAAGAAAAGGCCTTTGCTCAGCAGTGGGTTCTCACAGGCTCTTGGTAATGATGATGGCGGCGAATCAAAAAGGAGGGTTAAGATTTTCATGTGATGACTCTCGAGAGACATAATAAATTAATTACGTTTAGCAGCTACATAAATGATGTCGTTTCGTCGCGGAATACTACTCATGACTGCTGACATCCTAGTAGGTTAGACTGCTGACATCCTAGAGGTAGGAAGTAGTTTGGCTTGAAAATAGTTACCTCGTCAAATAATCAAAAAAGATTTGCCATTTCAAACAATTAACGAGTTATATTCACTAAAACCCTCAATAGCTTCTATCGTCCCTTTAGAAATCGTCTTCAAGGTCACATATTTGTCTCGATTGCATTCCTTGGGTACATGCCATCGCCGAGAATGTCATTATTGCTCGCACAACTCATTTACAGCCTGAAAACTCGATGCGTCTTGAATGCTAAGCAATAATGGGTAACGGAACATTTGTAATGCCTTTAGAATATTCTAGAAACTGCAAAGGTCATTTGGAGACGCGTGGGTGATGGTAATATTTGTAGGATAGTTTTGTTTACATTTCTAATCCATACTATACTATACCAATATTATAAAGAGGTAAAATTTTTAAGTTTGTATGTAGGGGGTAATCTTTGGAACCGCTGGTCAGTTTCCAAAATTCTTTCACTGATAGATAGCTACAATGTTTCCGAGTGCTATAGGCTATAAAACATCACGCTACAATCTCTAAGAGCCGAGCAGCGGGTGAAACTGCGCGAGAGTAGCAAGTATTTAATATTTACGCGCTTATCTAAGTTCATAGGTTATACAAATAGGATTGTTAGGTAATGTTTAGATCGAGAGATGATCTCCGGCCACCGTAAGCGCGGGTCTGCGGGCGGCGAGTAAGGGTAGCTCGCCGCCCGACCAGAACCAGACCCGAGCGTGCGGCGCGTAGCGTACCACGCGCGCCTCAATGAGCCAATAGACCACCACAGACGGGGCCCAATAGGGCTGATGTTCAGCCGGGGTTGCGGAGTAAGCGCAATTAGGCACCGCGACCTCGGCCCAGAGCAGGAGAAGGAACGGGGGGCCTTTTAGTCAGTAAGAGTCTGAGACTCTCTCTCGCCTTACGCTAGGCGGGAGAAGTCATTGGATGATTTTCCCCTGACAAAAAAAAGGTAATATTTAGATCAGATGTAGGTACCTAGTTAAGCAACTGGTGTTATGGTGTTCAAACGAACACTAGACTTATACAGATACTTCAAAGCAGCCTGCGAATATTTTAAAATGGGAAAATCATCTAATTAGGTACTTCTCTCAGCCAGGGTGGGGTAGAGAGGCAATGTCATACAGACTCGTACCAATCGTACTAACCCCCGCCTCAGTAGTCTTACCCTATGGGTCTTTTTACCATTATGTCGTAGCACCCTCAAAAAGTGCATCTATACTAATATTATAAAGAGGTAAAAGTAAGTTTGTATGTTGGGGGTAATCTTTGGAACCGCTGGTCGGATTTCCAAAATTCTTTCACTGGTAGATAACTACAATGTTCCTGAGTGCTATAGGATATAAAACATCACGCTACGACTAAATGGAGCCGAGCAGCGGGTGAAACCGCGCGATAGTGGCTAGTAATCGAATAAAGATAATAAACGAAAATTACACAGTGATTTTCGAGTTAAGTAGTCCTCAAGGTTTGATTGAAATAATAAATCTGTCAGTAACACTGCAAATTGTAATATCATAGGAGCATTAGGAAATAATTTATCACATCCTAGATAAACAACTGGGGCTGTTTATATATACTCTATGTAAGTATAACAAAAGGCCAATAATAGGTACATTTCAGAAACATTATATGTATGTATGAATGTTCTTATACCGCATCCAATACTTATGAATAATTGATTTCCTCCATCCCTTGCCAAATCCCTAATTCCCAAATACTGATGTTTTATATTCCTACAAACTTTCTGACGTTACTGCTTTTCAATAGGCAGCTTTAATAAGGTATTTACCATCAGGTGATCCGTCGGCTTGTGTACCGTGTAAGTAAGTGTGGGAGAGCCATGCTTCGGCACGAATGGGTCGGCTCGACCGGAGTGATACCACGGCCTCACAGAAAACCGGCGTGAAACAACCACAGCGTAGTGTTTCGCATTGTGAGTGAGGTTACCGGAGGCCCAATCCTTCCCCTTCCCCAATCCCTAAATCTCCAAATCCCTAATCTCTAAAAGGTCGGCAACGCACTCGTAACTCCTCCGTTGCGGGTGTCCATGGGCGGCGCTGATTGCTTACCATCAGGTAATCCATCTGCTTGTTTGCTCACTTATTACATAAAAAAAAATACCGAAATATCCCACAAAAACCATGTAGATGTAGGTATGTATGTAGATTACGAATCCTTCTTTTTGTGGCGACGACGATGATGATGCTGACAAACAGAATCGGTTTCAGTACTTGCCTATATTTAGAATTATCTTTCGCTAGCGGCTTCGCGCACGGGGTGTTTTGATAGAAAGCCTATGTGTTAAAACAGGGTATCTATTTACTTCCATCATCAGCCTATAAGTGCCCACTGCTGAGCAAAGGCCTCTTCTCACATGGAGAAGGTTAAAGCATTAATCACTACGCTTGCTCAATGCGGGTTGGCGATTTCAAACTTAGGCTAAGAACTCACGGAGCGATTTTCGCCCGCGTCCGCTGCGGTTGCGGGCCCGCAGCTTCTGTAGAATTCAAATATTTATATAAAAAATTAAAGCACATTTCACGACGCGTTTTACGCCCGCGGTGTACGCGGTTGTATGCGGCTCCCGCTGTACCGGCGGGCAACTAGTAGAATCGCGCGGGCCGCGGTTACCCGCAGCCTCGGCGGGTGGCACCCGTGCGCTTTGCGATCGGTTGGCGAGCGACCGCGGGGGCCGGCGGGTCTTCTGTGAAGTAAATATAACGCAACGGCTCGTTTCTGGTGCGTGTCCATGGCGGTCTGGACCTCAAGTGATCGTTAACCGCCCGTCTTGGAATCTTGCGATCATCGCCCGCCACGTTTGCGGGCGATGATCGCAACCGCGGCGGCTGTGTAACCGCGCAAATAACCGGTCTCGTGAGTTTGGAAATAAAACCGCAGTTCCGCTACCGCGGCGGGCACGGTTCAAAATCGCTCCGTGAGTTCTTAGCCTTATAGGTAATTAGAAATTATAAGTCCAGGTTTCTTCACGATGTTTACCTTCACCGTATGTCAGTGGTGTCTAAATAATCATAGAAAGTACATATAACTCGGAAAAAGTCATATTGGTACTTGCCAGAACCCAGAGCCTCATACATGAGAAGCGGGCTCCTTAACCTCCGGGCCACCACGACATGTTCATAAGAACATGTCGTGGCGTCGTGATGGCCCGTACTTACTTATACTAAATTTCAACCAATGTGGTCAAGCTGTTTTTGCTTGAAAGAATAACAAACATACATTCTCAAACAAACTGCTACGTTTATATATGTATAACACTATTAGGATATTAGGCATTACGATTATGATTTACAACATTAGGTACTAAAATTATTGTAAGATAGTAGGATTAGGATTCTATAAGTAAGGTCATATTAGAAATATTATTATCTACTTAGTACTTAGGTCTTTGTTGGCTTTCGTAAAACCTTTAGACATAGAAAAGCTTATGTAAGTATATAGGTACATAATTGCCTATATTGTTGTCCTCCGCGGATTAGAGGTCATTATACCCTCTCAATAGCGTCCTATAAGGGGATAAATGAATATGTCACGGCTCAGTAACTTAATTAATCTATCGTATAAGGAGATGACACACTTAATAAGTTGGAACGTTTATAAATAACTGCAGCAATGAACAGCAGGTCACCCTCTCTTTCTGACAATTATCATTGGGTTTTCTACTTTATTCTTTTGTATTAAGTTGAAAATTATTTAAAAAATATATGTTTGGTTGATCTGCTCGCCAATATTTGTAGTAACAGAGTCGTACATATTTACATACCTCGTCAAAGTTCATATTTTTGTTTATCCGTTGACCCGGTTAGAAAGTCAATAGATAATTATTTAGTTATTGGAATTTATAATGGACTGACGGACGTATGTCAACATAATTTGACAATAATACTAACAGTTGCGATCAAAGAACAAGAGACATATGTACAATGCTCATTCCAGAAAGTTCCTGATCAGATAAGAAGCTTGGGCTGTTACCTACAATCCACATGCACATTTTTTTAATAAAAGACAATGCCGAGTTTCATATAGCATAAAATTTTAGAGGATTGTGTAGAACCATTAGGAGAAATAGGTAACTACTCATCAATGAAGACTGGAGACTCGCTCCCAGAGTTTAGCAAAACTGTAAGACTTAATTTAAAACTAGTCAGTTGATATAAAACCTAAAGGGTAACCTAATTGCAAGATTGGCAGCGGTACCGTAGTTATTGTGGCTTTAATTTACAAGAAAGGGTCCCTCTGTCAGCGCAAGGGAAAGGAATTTTACCACTTTAAAACCCTTATCCCAGAAAGATACATGTGAATACTTCAAGCGTATAAATCTCTATTCCCTTGAGCCATGTCTGAGGTGTAAGTCTGACTTGAAGTTATTGAGAACGTAAAACACATTTATCTTAGTTTCCCCGCACTAAATATCGCGGCATCGATCGCTAGCCGCGTTGTATTACCGCGCAAGATAATTTGCATCTTGTGTTCACATATGTAGGTATGGTTTTTGCTTTAGTTTTTCCGATACTCGTAGATTAACGGTAGGCGGTGAGTGCATTAGTACTGTTAAATCACGCATCGATAAGGAGATCAGACTAATATGCTTGTAGTAAAGTTTTTATGAGCGGTATTTGCTTGTTAGTTGATGTTTTATAGACTTTGCTTGCGGGTGTCTCGGATATTAAACTTTATGATTATGACAGTTAGGCAACTTGTTCTATATAGCTTACATTAGGCTGTGATAAGTCGTTTAGTTTTTTATAGTCTTAATTAAAGTGACTTTTCCTAAAGCTTTTAGAAAATGGTCTGTCTTTCTTAGATTCTCAGTGGACCTGAGTCAGATGCGGTCGTTGCGTTTATTCTTCAACGACGACAACTGCACATGCGGACAGCTGGTGGTAGCCTCCAGGGAATCCCAGTACAAAATCTTACATTTCCATCATGGAGGTCTGGATCATTTGGCACAAGTGCTTCATCGATGGCATTCGCTACTTCATAATATCAAACTTACTCCAGGTAAAAATGAAAAACAATGAACCTTTTTTTAATCTGTAGGTGCATTTGAAAGTGTCTTCTAACCCAAGTAGGTAATGTTTCCACAGGTTCTGAGGAGCCAAACTTGCCGTACCGTCATTTTATGGTATGCCGTCCAGAAGTGCAGAAGTCGGAACAACATCCCGAAGAAGGCAAACTTCCCAAAATATCTCCCGAACTCTTTTACGGAAAGATTATGAACGCAAAGGGTGTCATCGAAGACGATCTCTTTTTGAGGAAATGCGTCTTCTTCGGAGGACTGGACAAGGAACTTAGGAGGGAAGTGTGGCCTTTCCTATTACATTGCTACCCATACAACTCTACGTATGACGAAAGGGAGATAATACTGCAGATAAGATCGAGGGAATACGATGAAATTACGACCAGAAGACTGGAAAAGATGACTCCTGAGCAACACGCGGTCTTTTGGAAGACAGTGCAATGTGTAATAGAGAAAGATGTGGTCAGAACGGATAGAGGAAACCCATTTTTTGCGGGAGAAAATAATTACAATGTTGAAATAATGAAGAATATATTGTTGAACTATGCAGTATACAATCCTGTTTTAGGGTAAGATATTAAAATGTTGGTATGGTTAAGTTATTGTTTATGAAGTCTTTGTGTGTTGTAGGCAACGCATGGCTCATTGTTCCACACGCTAATTACACCCAACTGTACAATTTAATAAATGGGTATATTTACTGCGAATATGCACGTCATTGGCCCTGCGTATTGGAGCCGTTTTGTATTCAAGGCTCGTGTCTGTCTTGTTCAGAAAGGTCGTCTTGTAGGGCGATAAACGATCGCAAGAAATGTTATAAAGGATTTTTTACTGACAGACGATTCTTTTTCATTATAGATTGGTCAAGGTCACGTCTTTATTATGGGATTATTTTTCAATCTAGGCATTTGCCTAAATCTAACATGTAAATCTCCTGATGATTGCTACTGGATGAGATCATCGTATCGCCAATCAATAAATTGATACATTAATTAATTGTCTTTACAAGTTCGACGTAATTTTATAAAGGAAACAGTTCCAGACAAAATTAAATATTCCCAACTTTTACAACCAAAGTTATAGTTTTAAAGTGAAATTTTCTATTTCAGTTACACCCAAGGAATGAGTGACTTGTTAGCTCCAGTGTTATGTGAGATCAAATGCGAAGCCGAAGCATTCTGGTGTTTCGTGGGGCTGATGCAGCGAGCCATATTTGTGTGCACACCGACCGACAATGATATGGATAACAATCTTGTAAGATACAACAACTGTTTAATGTCGAATAATGTAGGTACACGAGTCATTTACATAGGTACAGCTTCATCGGTGTCGGCTTTTCTACTATACCTATAACCATAACATTTCTTTATTTTTAACTTAATTCATCAAACCCCAAGCGATTCTATTTGATCTCGATTTACCACGATTGAAAGGTTAATAAGAATCAGATTGAAACAAAATAAAATGCCGTAAACCATGATACACATCTGGCCATAAATAGTGCCACAGTTAGTACATTTCTTCAGTATATTTCTTATTACTTTAATAATAAGCGTGAAGGCACCGGGGGGTTGGTACAAACATCAACATCCCGATCATCGTCTTCACAGTCCATTGCAGGGCGTAGGATTTTATAATCAGCCCGAATAAATTGCAAAAATAACGGACGTCGGCGATCCGTCTCCTATGACAGTCACAGCGCTCGCTCTCCACCATAATGCGCACGCAGAACTGCCATTTTGACGTTCCGCCAGAGTACGATTTATGGTACCCTCGTCCGATGAATTGTGATAAAACCTCTTCAAAATTCAATTTAAATAATCGTCGCTCCGACAAGCGCATAAGAAAATTGGCGTTCGGTTTTTGTTTTTTTAATAGAGCAGTACCTATTTTTTTTTTACTTAACATTACTTTGGCTTTGAGCATACGTTCTCATGGAGAGACGTATCGCTATAGAATATTCTCAACGATTGGAACAATCCTCATTTAAGACAATAGATTAGAAAATTACTTACCGTACGCAATTATTGTTTCGGACAAATGATTCGTACTACTTCGTACAGACAATTTTATTTATCTGATACACGTAATAAATGAAATAAGATATTCAAATAATTTTACAAGACTAAAATCTTTCGGTAGACCATTTAAATGTCTAGTCGATTTTATCATCTATGCTATTTTAATCAAAGGGGTGGTATCTATCAATAGATTTGATGGCTTTTCGGGTGCTTACCTAACTTTGGAGAATATGCTTTTAAGGCTCATTTACACGATATCATTATGTTAAACATACAAATTACAGGTTCCTTTTCATGGTAGTCTACCACGCATTGTTTAGAATATGTATGTCAATTATTGATATGATTTACTTAATTAATTATGCAAGAAACTTGCATTGTGTAAATGGGGCTTAATAAATATGTAGTTACGCTAGTAAAAATTCAATGGAAAATTCAAAGGAATTCGAGCGCTTTTCCAATTACTCAGCGCGCGCTTAATTCCGTAGATGGTTCGCAACGGATTTAATTAATCTGTGATCTAGTATCTACGTTTTTTTAATGCGGGTATCACACGTATGTAGTGTGATGTGACGTCACAAATCATAAAATCAATATACCCTTACCCGGTTTATCAAATTGTTATCAATGGTGTTGAGGTCATGGATTGATTGAATGCGTAGTACAACATTCAATAAAGGTTTTATCTCGTTTATGGGAAGTATTGAATGAAATAAACACCCTTTGTATGTACCTATTTAATCTGAAATCAAATGAATTTACATATGTTAGTTATTAGTTATCTAAATACAACGAATACCCGTGTAAATTACTTCTAGTGAGTCACAGATAATCCTATTTATCATTATCGATGTAGTCAGCTTGATTACAGCGGTGTTACCTAATATTTTATTTCATTACCTCAGTGAAAACTCCTACGTATGACCTTTTAAATTTTCAGAGTTACCTGCGTGAATTAATAAGGATAATGTTGCCACATTTCTACAAGCATTTGGAGAAACATGTTGACGCAATGGAATTACTGTTTTGTCATCGTTGGATATTGTTGTAAGTATTTGTTTTACGATGATGATAGTCGTTAAATAATTTTAGGTACTTTAAACCCGTAAGCATTTTGAATTTATTTCTAAATTTAGGAATCTTCAATAGATGTAGGTACCTTAAAACGTGGTAAGTAAGTAGATTTCAAGGGTTGAACAAGAAAAAGGGTGAATCACTTACATACGCTGTAAGTCCGAGGGGCCATTGTTAAATCCAGACCGCCCGATTTGGCGATATTTAATATATATCATTATCATAATTAATATAATATATGTAATACATTCAATATACATAATTTAAGTAATAATTTTGTTTTCAACCTCTTTATGAAGAACTCGAGAGAGTGGCAGCTTGTTAAGGTAAAAAAAAAAAGTTGGGCGGGTCGGTGGCAGCGACATCTCGCGTCCAGCCTTAGCCAAGGTGGTGCCGAGCTAGGGGAACTGGGAAGCCGTCTCCTCTTTTTACGAAGTTAGTGATGCTCGAAAAGGAGGAGGCGGAGCGCGTAAGTTAGACGACACTCCGGGTGTACAACAGTCCAGAACCAGACCCAAACGTACTGCGCGTAGCGTCCCCTGTGGCCTGGAGCTAGCAAACCGGGTTTTTACTCAGTAAGAGTCACTCCCTCTCGCCTCACCTTGGGCTACTAGAGGATACGGTGGCGGTATGCCCTGCCTGGGCTGAGCACCACCGTCTCCTCAGGGAAGTGATCGGCGGCGGCGACCTCTCGCGCCCGGCCTTAGTCGAGGCCATGGTGCAGAGTGAGGGGAACTGGGACGCCGTCTCCTTCTTTTGTGAAGCAGTCATGCTCGCAAAGAGCGAGGCTGATGTTCAGCCGGAGTTGCGGGGTAAGCGCAATGAGGCATCGCGACCTTGGCCCAGAGCAGGAGAAGGAACAGGGGGTTTTTAGTCAGTAAGAGTCTGACACTCCCTCCCGCCCGGCCCTGGCCGGGAAAAGTCATGTGAAGATTTTCCCCTCACAAAAAAAAAACCTTGGGCTACTAAGTCATTTGAAAATTTTGCCGTCGTCATAAATCCTTTTATTCGCTTCATATCAACCCCTACACAAATGTTTCTAGGTGTTTCGTTTAGTTGCGACCAAGGAAAACATCAAAGCAAGGCAAAATGCAATTATAACATAGATAGATAACGTACGAGAGGACCCTTTGACATACAAGTGTGCTCTTTCCTAGCTAAGGGTATTAAAGTGTCTAGCCTTTTTATAAAATGCTTGCCTGACCTTTCGTAAAATGTGTGAGCAGATGAAATGAATTATATTACAAAAGAGTTCTAAATAAATTTAAGGAAAAACATTTAGTTATAAGGCTTAGCGACATGATTGTTTGTTAAGTATTCGGTAAGTATAACAGAAGTAAAATATAGGTAGGCAATCGAGCAATAACAACCTGAACAATTCTTACGCAAATCAAATTGATTCAATTCGCGGAAAGACTCCATCTCTGATTATAAGAACCCAGATTCCATGGCTCGTTATGTGTGAAGAAAGTTTGGGAAATGTTTTTTTAGCTAATTACTAGTTGCAGACAGATCATACATTAATTTGGTTTATCGCTCTTTTATTAATTGATTTAACTGTATTATAAATGTGATAATATCGGATATTGAATGCACGGTTGGTGCGGTGGCGTGGCAACTGGCTGCCGTGCAACGTGTCGCGGGTTCGATTCCCGCACGGAACGAACGAAATTGTTGTTCCGGGTCTGGGTGTCATGTGTATGTGAAATTGTATGTTTGTAACCGCAAAAAAAACTGCTATCAAAGTTTGCGGTTTTTATTTACTGGCTTATGTGCCCATTACCTTTCGTTACAGGTGTTTCAAACGCGAGTTCACTGAAGCAGTAGCGCTCCGTATGTGGGAAGCGTGTTGGGCCAACTATCAGACGGACTACTTCCATCTTTTCCTTTGCCTGGCCATCATTGCAGTGTATGCTGATGACGTCATCGCACAGGATCTTAACACTGACGAGATGCTGCTGCATTTTAGTTCTTTAGGTAAGTTTCTACTAACAGTAGCCACTTTAATGATTGTCAACTGTCACTGGCGCAGCCCATATAGACCTGGAACCACTACTGGAGCATCACGATCAACTGGAAGACATCCAATGAGACACGTTGAGCAAGGCGCCAGTAGCATTCAATGGTTTCCCGCGTGTCTAATGATATATTGACTCTACCTAGCGGGAGATCGGCCCATGCTGCATCTTAGTCCGTTATCGACACGCAAGCACTTACTGGGCTCGCTCATCCTTCCTTTGAGCGATATATCCTACTCATTGCCATTTAAACATGCAGAAAATTCAAAAGCTTTGTCAAGTCAAAAATCATTTATTCCAATTAGACCTTTACAGGCACTTTTTAACGTCAAACAAAATTTTGAAGATTAGTAAAGCTATTTGCTCTTTCCAAAGTGTAGATTCCCATGGAGAAGAACGAGCAAGAAACTCAATGGTTACTCTTTTTAAATCAGTTTCACATACAGATTCCTTTTACAAACAGTTACACAACACAGTTTGTGTTACTGACATAGCTTTGGAAATCTTAACTCTTGTCTTTTAACAAATTTCTATTATTTGGATTTTGTTACGTAAAGAAACGCCTTTGTTCAAAAACACATTTCTCTTAAAGATTTGTTTGTTTTTAAAAATAATACCCAATACTCAGATAGTTAGTATTTACAGATATTTTATTATACAAAACTTGTTGACGTACATTTTTAAAAGTTATTATTATGTCTCACATCTGTTTTAACTAAACCATATTCATTAACTTTTAGGTATAATTAGGCCGCATCAAATATGTGTACATTATGGTCTTTTAAAGTTTTTGTTTCAAACAATGGTTTCATAAATAAAGAGTCTAAAGATTGCAGTGTCAAGAATAGTTTCTCTTCTTGATTGAGAATTAAAACATCTTTTTCTTCTTCCCAGCTATGTATATGGATGGACGTCTCATCTTGCGGAAGGCTAGAGGTCTACTCTACCAGTTCCGTCAACTAGTCAGGATCCCATGTACCTTGGTGGGCATGTGTCAACGATGTGGTCCAGGGATATGGGACTCCACCCACAGACCAAGCGTTGAATGTACTGGAGCCCATGACTTCTGTAAATACGCTGTGCAGTAAGATCTCGAATATGGGTATTTAGAGTACATTGCTCGATGTCGCTGTGTTTAATTTGGATCGTTTTGTTCAAACGAATTAATGTGTTTGTATTAAATCAAACGGACTATCTGTTCCTTGTTTTAGGATAGAAGTACTAACTCGTGAGGCAGTTTTATGAAATCAGTATTAAATACTTATTTTAACTCTAGTGCCGTGCTTCATGTACCAGCTTTTAATTAGAATTAATTTGCGTTTTGCCATATTTTATTTAAAAGTAAGTGTATAAATGCTAAGAATATAATTTTATGTACAAATGATGTATTAAAACTAAATTTTGTGAAGAGAAAGGTGTAAACGGAGTCTCAAATTAATGTTAAAATATAACAGTTTATATATTTGTATGCTTTTAGGAAGGTTTTAAGTAAAAAGTCATGATTGTTTCTCGAAAGTGAAGTGTAGAATTGTGTAGTAATGTGGCAGTCACGTTTTTACAAAGAATCGTTGTATTCTAAGAAAAGTTTTCAGTACGTAACATGAAGTGAAAATGTGACCCACTTTTCGTGTCCGCCATTGTACAAAACATACTTATTAGTTGCATAGGATTTTCAACTTTATTTCTCGAAGTAATAACTGTTAGTTTCGAAGTTTTACTATACCATGGGATACATAGTTAGAATAATAGTTTGTTTTAAAATAGAAATTGCTACAGAACAATGGTGAATAAGTAACTAGGGTTATTGCTTTACTAATTGTTTAGCGAATGCTCTAATTATTTTCCCAATCAAATGTTGCGAGTTAAAAGATATTAATTGAAAAGTAATTTATGAATTTAGATGGAAACGGTATACGTACAACTGTGTTTAATTAACCAGTGCACAACGTACAAAACAAATTAATTAGTACAAAATTCTTTCCAGTAGCTTCGAAATGAAATTAAAAAGGAGGTCTAAAATGAGATTTTTTCGATATGGCAGGGACATATCAAATTGAAAACGAGTAATGTTCTTAAACTAGTTATCGTTAACAAATTAGAAAATTATTACTAAAAACGTACCTGGTTTACATCTTTGGATCATCTAAAATTATACCTAGAACTTCTAGGGGTATTTAATTCATATCAAAACATGAGAAAGTTATTTACTTTATTTATTTTCACGACAATATGAGTTAGGTACTTATTTATGTCAATTTTTTATGTCTGTCTGCAGGACTTATTCAGAACAATAGTCTCGTGTTTCTCCTTTTTACGAATATAATAAATCCTACCTAAGTATGATAGTAATAATATATTGATTTGAAATATTTTGTGACGGGATTTCGGATGCAAAAATCTATCAAACAGAGGATTAAATATTTTTTTATAACCTAGAAAGAATATATACTAGCATTTATTTTATTCTGTGTTATATGTACCTAAGACATAAAAGCTTACGTAACTATTTGGTAATTATTTTAAAACTATTAGAGAGATTTCGGAGAAAAGTTTTAAAATTAGTGTAAGTACAATTGGCCAATTTATTTGGTACCTATACAGCTACAGAAAATAAGGATTGATTTGGTACGTGGCCAATTACGGGTTAGGTCCTAGATATCCTAGTAAATACTGAATCAATTTTTATTTTCTTATTTGCATACCTATTTAATAAAATAACTTTGTTAATGTTGACATCACGTACTACATTAAATCTTCGGTCAAATTATTGAATGTGACCAAAGATACTTGTTCAATATATTTTTGGAATATTGTCGTGAAAGTAGATAATCACGTAGGTACCAATAATGTTTGCAACAACATTGTAAAATATTGTAAATTGTTGAAGACCGTGTTAAAATTTGATATTTTCTAGGCTAGGCAATACACAGTGTCAGCTAAGTAATTATCTATTATTATATCTACAAAAGTTAAAAGAAACGCAGCTATTTCAATGGTGTAGTATATACCTACATAGAATATAAGTTATATATATTTTTTCCACTGGTTTATAAAAATTAACAGATAGATAGGATATTTAGTTAGGTAGGTACCTACATTATATGCTTGTTGTTAAATATAATATGCTTTTCGAACGATGATGTTATTTACATGTAAAATCTATATTTACTTAATAGGTACCTAGCGGTTCAACCATGACTGGAATATACAGAAAAATGTTTCAACTTGGTAAGGTAACTACATACCTAAAGAAAGGATTACATAGGTATTCATTAGTTGTACAGGAACTTTGATTACTTAGTATTACCAGGCTTAGGTGATTTTTAAACGGCTTGCTCGAGTAATTAATACAAGGATAGTACCTAAATAAAAGCCCGAAAAGGCCCGAGTGAATAGATTGCTTATGGATAGGCTTGCTCCATCATAGGTCGCATCATCGCTTACCACCAGGTGTCCAGGTGTGATAGCGGCCAAAGGCTTACCCATTACGAGAAAAAGGGAGGATTTCAATTAAGGATCCCAGTCGTACCTTGAAACTGGCCGAGCGTGACTAGGCAGTTGTCTCTATGTAATTGATTTTGTATGTGTCACGATAGCTAGTTGTTATACAAAAATGAATGTCATTCTATATATTGCGCCACTTTATCGTTATTTTGTAAATACTTACCTATTAATCGTCTATAATCTTATCAAAGTTGTTGTAATTATCTAATATCATTAAATAAACTACGGAGTTCAATTGAATCGAACGAGGCAGCTCATAATAATTATATATTTGTTATATGTACCTATTTGTATATTTATATAGTAAAAAACTAGCTTCCAGCAGATTTTTTGTTTTAAAACTACCCTATGTCCTTTCTCGAATTTCACAGAAATCGGTTCAGTAGTTATGCGTGAAGAAAAGACAGACAGACAGCCAGAGTTACTTTCGCATTTATAATATTAGTTTGAATTGGTTATGTTCCAAACATGAATGTTTTTAATTTTATTAGTATCATATGATAAATGTGCTAGATAAATGTTATACTTTTGGAGTTTATGATGGTACAAAAATAAATTGTGTTTTAAGTGACAATGAAATAGGTATTTAAAAGAATTAAATTTTACTTCGAATGAGATTGTTATTATTATAAAAGGGAACGCGGACTATACCTAACCAAAACATGGTAGGTACTAGCATCATGAATTCATGACATACCTACCAACTTAAAAATAGGAAATGGAAACTTTTTAATCAGTATTTCAAAGGAAATTTAAACCCAAAAGACAATGATTGGTATAAAAATGTATTTAATTTATCCTATGGTCCAGTTTCACTCTATGTTTAATTAAGTTTCCCAAGTTTTTGTTATACTTATCTACATTAATTTCATAAAAATGCATAGACATTACGAAATCACGATTTAGGTAAATGTGTTCACAAAAAACCATTCACAGACGAAAATATAGAAATTAGATGGTTCACTCACACACAATGTTACAGATAATAAATACTAAGATAGATGCTGCACTTGTAGTTAGCAATCCTATTCAGCCACAAGCTGTTTTTTTTTGTTATTATATATATTTTAAGTTGAACTACAAAATTACTTTGCCAGATTTTCTAAAAACTTATAAAAAAAACCTGTTTATATAAATTAAATTTATTCATCGCTCGTATTAAATTATATGTATGTAAATTTCTATGTACAATCATCCAAGTACGTTGGTATATAAGTAAGAAAATAATAATGATTTGGAACAGAGACAAATTATTACTTAGTTGGTGAAATGATACTAAGTACCTATATTTTACAAAAAAAAAAACAACTTTAATTTCTTACTTGTAAACTAAATAATTTGGTTGATTGTACCTGTTTACTATAGATTTAAAATATTCTTATACTTAAAACCTATGACATTATTACGAGGCTATTATAGAAAGATTTTAAATTGTTTTAATAATTGTTTATTTTTAATTTGTCGCATATTGTGAATTGTTACGCGTACTCTGTGATAAATATATGATCTGCTTGTAATATATGTAATACTATTGTGTAAATGTTAAATAAAATTGTTTGTATCGAAAGTATTGTATCGACTATACTATCGAGGAATAGGAGCCATATCTTATTAGAAATAAATGTACAAGCATCCAACGAGAGTTTGATTTCATTAAACCTGCAGGCTACAAGCTTGGAGACAAGTAAACTATTTGAATTTTATACAGTTGCATGCCTTTTTTGTGGAGGGAAAATCATCAAATTAGGGTATAGCGAGAGGAAGTGTAAAGACTCTTAGCGACTAAAAACCTGCCTGGTCCTTCTCCTGCTCCAGGCCGAGGCCGCGGTAACTTATTGGTCTTGATCCGCAACCCCGGCTGAACATTAGCGTTAAAGAGTCTCTGCATGGTAGTCTATTGGCTCTTTTTGGCGTGCGTGGAATGCAATGGGCCGTAGGTACGGTCGGGAGTTGCATGGCATCTGGAGAAATCTTTCAAGTACCCTTTCTTCATATTTTTCATTCGCTATCTGTTCTCCTGAAACTCTAAAACTAATATATTATACTCTTAAAAATAGCCGAGGAAGTATGGTTGAGGTTATCGGTCGCAAGCGCAATAACAAAAATTGCATATACATAAGTAGGTACTCACATACCTTATGACTACGCAATAATGATCTTAGGCCTCGGCCTAGAGCAGGAGAAGGGGTCTGACCTATCCTTCTCTCTTTCACTCCCCAGTTAGGATGGGAGAATTAATTTGATGATATTAATAGAGAGAAGGTACTCAGGGGTCTACTGTAACATAGGTACTTAGATCTAGATGCGGATGACGTCCGCAATCCACTTATATAATATTATTTAAATTATCTTTATTCTCCAGCGCAGACATAAAAAACAAAATGAGTTGCAAATACGAATTAAATACAGCTGTTACTCATCGTAAGTATTTTTAAATACCTCCAGTCTAAATAATACATTTATTGTATCATTCACAGAGGTCAATGTCAAACGTCACCGACGCCGGCGCATATTTTGGTGAACGTTAAGCTTAGAATACACGCCCGCGAAAATGAATGGTCACAGATTTAGGGGATACGTGGGTCTAGCTTAC